CGAAAGATAGCCGACCGAGTCCATGGCTCGTTGTCGGTAACTGACACACAGCGTGCAGGGCTCGCAGGGTTACAGCCGGTTGACTTTTCCCGGCACCACCGCCACGCAGCGTCGAGTCCTGGGGGGGGGGGTATTTTTCAGCGTTTGCAGTCACTGGAGTTGCCCTCGTGTTGTCTCCAGCCACTGTAGGGCTAGGTACCTTAGGGTAGGACATTGGGGTCGGGTTAGTAACTTAGGTACGCCTTGTCATCGAATCCCCAACTCTCAGTCCGCTCCCAAGCAATTGGAGTTGGTACTCCCAAGTCAGGCCTCTCCATCCGAGTACTATTTGGAGAAGGACCAGGGTCTCGACTCTTTAGATCAGTACCATACTGGATAGCTTTGGCGTGGAACGCATTCTTCAACTACACATGTAAGGGGATGCATACATGGTTGGAGATTGGTGTACGCGATACCAATAACAAAAAGCCATTGCTACAACTCAAGGATCCCGGCAGACGAGTCATCAATGTGAAGAGTGATAATGTGCCATGCATAGCAGTTTGGAGAAACATCCTCATGCATCTTGTAAGCGGCATCTATACATGGTGAATTTTGGCATCATGACTGTGTAAGTGCAGTAAGTTTACTACGCTCCTCCACATATGCTTGGAAGAATCCTCCTTCTATCCACCACCTGCGAACTGTGATATGCTCGAATCATGCTCTTTCTCCCTCTTGCCTGATCTATGTATTCACTCTAGTAGCAAAAGAAAAAAGAAAGAAAAAAAAAAAAACCGACACAGCCACAACCTTCTACAGCCTCGGCCGCGGCTTCTTGCCCTGCTTCTCGATCTCGGCCGCGTCCCTCTTGGACCACTCGCGCATCGTCTTGCGCTGGATCTTGCCGCTGGCCAGCTTGGGCACCTCGTCGATGAAGACGATGCCGCCCGCCAGCCGCTTGTGCTTGGCCACCCGCTCCTCCATGTACTGGTGGATGTGCTCCTCCGTGACCTTGCCCCTCGACGCCTCGTGCGGCACCACGTACGCTCGCGGGTACTCCTCGCCGTGGCTGTTTCTTCATTAGCTTCCCCGCAAGTTTTCAACCCCCAAGGAACAACAGCAAACAAACAAACAAACAACTTACACAGTGATTCCGACGCACGCCGCGTCAGCAATGTGCTCGTGCTCCAGCAGCACGCCCTCCAGCTCGGCCGGCGCCACCTGCAGCGCATTGACCTTGATCAGTTCCTATGCAGGTCGCCAGTTGTCAGTAAAGCAAACCAAAAGAGAGAAAAAAAAAAACAGGGAATCAGCAGCAGTGAGAATCAACTCGGAAACAAACCCACCTTCTTCCGGTCCACGATCCAAAAGTACCCGTCCTCGTTGGCCACGGCGATGTCCCCGGACCGCAGGTACCCCTCCTCGTCAAACAGCTCCCGGGTCGCCGCCTCGTTGCGCCAGTACCCGAGGCAGTTCTGCGGGCCCCGGACGCACAGCTCCCCCGGCTGGCCCGCGGGGACCTCCTTCCCTTGCTCGTCGACCAGCTTGGCCTCGCAGTTGGGGTCGAGCCGGCCCACGCTGCCCGACAGGTCGCGCACGCCGCCGGGGACGTGCAGCGCGCCGCACGTCACCTCGGTCATGCCCCAGCCCTGGTTGATCTGCACGTCGAACCGCTTCTGGCACTCGTTCTGCAGCTCGCGCGACAGGGGGGCGCCGCCGCAGAGCACGTCGCGCAGGCTCGAGAGGTCGTAGCGCGCCGTCTCGGGCCGCTTGGACAGCATGACGAGGATGGGCGGCGCGGCCTGCAGGCTCGTGATGCGGTAGCGCCCGATGGCGGCCAGGAACTCGTCGTACCGGAACTCGGTCATGATGTAGACGGGCGCGCGCAGGCGCACCGACATGAGCATGACGTACAGCTGGCCGTAGGCGTGGTACAGCGGCAGGAAGCCGACCCAGCGCTCGGCGGGGCGGCGGCCGACGGGGTACGGCTTGTGGGCGTAGCGCATGACGATGGTCTGCTCGAGGTTGGCGATGATGTTGGCGTGGGAGACGCAGACGCCCTTGGGCAGGCCCGTCGTGCCGGAGCTGTAGTTGATGGTCGCCACCGTCGCGCGCGCCTCGGCCGGGGTGAGCTCGGGCCAGCGGTAGGTCGCGGCGTCGGCCTCGGTGCCGATCATGGCCCGCCAGTCCCGGACGCCGCCGTGCTGGGCCGGCGCCGCCTCCGAGTCGGAGAACTGGAAGATGCGCGACTCGGGCACGCCCGCGATCCTGGCCGCCTTGAGGGTCGTCTCGACGAGCTTGGGGTGGACCAGGATGCACTTGGCGCCCGTGTTCTTGAGCTGGTGGACGACCTCTGCCACACAAAGAAAAAGGGGGGGTTGGGTGTCAGTGGCTATCTTCTCTTTCTTTGAAAACAAACAGGACATGACGAGCAGGGAGACCACCCGAGACCGGGACACATACCGGATACCGTGTAGCCCGGGTTGGCGCCGGAAAAGACGAAGCCGCCGGCCACAATGCCCAGGTACGCGACAGGGACGAAGATGTGGTTCGGCGTGTGGATCATGGCGACATCACCCCTCTCGAGCCCCAGCCGCTGCAGGCCAAAGGTCAAGCGCTTGATCCAGGGCAGGGCCTGCGCCGGCGACAAGCTGTTCTCGGGGTTCTTGCTGTCGATCCATATCGGGTCCTCGTCCGGCTTCTGGTTCTCGGGGAAGATGTGGCTGAGGATGTTGACCTCGGGCAGGTCCATCCACGGGTAGGGCGACTTGATGGGCATCGTGGGCGGCGTGGCGGTGGCCGTGTCGGTGTTGCTGCTCGACGCCGGTGCAAGGTGGTGTCGTCGTGCGAGTGCGTTGCGAGTGCGAGTGCGTGTAAGTGGGCAGCAAACGCTGGCAGACGGGAGGGCAAAGGCACAAAAAGGGAAAACCACTACACCCAAGGATCACCACCGAGAGAAGAGAAAAAGATCGCGGTAAAAACAAGGCCAGGGCGATCTGATAGAATACCTCTCAGCCTTCTCTTCCTGCTGAGTCGCCCGGCCTGACTCTCCACCGCCAGGGAATGGTGTTGAATATCCGCACATCCATCCCCACCGCAAAATCCCACCAGCACTCTTGCGCGCGCAACATCAGTGATCAGTCTCACGGCCATCGTCACCCGTGGCGGCGCTAGTGCGTTATCCTGGATGACCCTCGGGATTTCGGTTGCGGGGTAAAGGCGGCGTTGTTAGAAAAGCACCAGCACCACAAGCCGGGGATACTGGCCTCAAAGACCCGGGGGAGAAATAGATAAAAGTGCCCCCAGCTCGTCACGCTTTTAGTGGGCTTTTTACTCTACCTAGTGGGCATCCAGCGTGCAATGGCCACTAACTACTCAGGTACTCAGGTAGCATCCGTCCATCCAACGGGCCGTAGAGCAAAGCAGACAGGAGGAAGCGCAAAGAGCCTGGGCTAAACTGATTGGGGGTCGAATCCGGAGCCGACAAAGAGCCACGGGAATCCGCTCTCTGCTCCGGCTATGGAGAGCGCACTTTCCAGATTAGGAACCCTGGCAAGGCGCCTGGCGATGCTTTTGGCGGAGAGCTTTGGCCTGCCTACCGATCTGCTTGCTTTTTTATCTTGTGAACGAACGTAAACTTCAGTAGACGTCGTGATAAACACTTCGTTTCGAGAGAACTGTTCATTGTAAACATCTGCATTCATTGTCTTGACCCTCATTCTTCCCTCTCACGAGTGTCTCCCCGATCTGCAAGCCCTCTCTCCTTTGCCTTACACGCACGCACGCACGCACGCGGGCCTTCAACCACTACCAGCACACCGACACCAACAACCAACACCAACAGCCGCCGCCCACCATGTCGCAGCTCCAGAACTTCGAGACCATGTTCTCCCTCGAGGGCAAGACGGCCCTCGTCACGGGCGGCTCCCGCGGCCTGGGCCTGCACATGGCCACCGCCTTCCTGCGCGCCGGCGCCGCCCTCGTCGTCGTCACGGCGCGCAAGCTCGAGGGCGAGCAGGGCATCAGCCAGGCCGTCGACAAGCTCAACCGCCTGCCGGGGATCCGCGGCAAGGCCGTCGGCGTCGCCGCCAACGTCGGCGACTCCCAGGGCATCGAGAGGCTCGTCGCCGAGGTCAAGGCGCTCGTCGGCGGCCGGGGGCTCAACATCCTCGTCTGCAACGCCGGCGCCTCGTGGGGCTCGCGCTTCGAGGACGCGCCGCCGCACAGCTCGGTCAAGATCCTCGACCTCAACGTGCGCGGCGTCTTTGAGCTCACGCAGAAGTGAGTCTCTGTTTCTTCTCTTGTCTTTCGTCATCGCCCGAGTTTGGGTACAGAGAGTACCACAACAAGCACTAACTGACATTCCTCAGGGCCCTGCCTCTGATGGAGCAGGCCGGCACCCAGGACGACCCCGCCCGGCTGCTCATCATCTCTTCAACCGCCGGCGTCAACGTGCCTCACGTCGGCGAGAACGGCACCATCATGTACTCGGCTTCCAAGGCCGCTGCCCACGTAGGTCCCCCCTTCGCCCAACGCTGTGCCAAGCTCTTTTCCTTCGGGGAGCCTGCCGCTGACCCAACATTCTCTTTGCAACGTCTCATAGCACCTGGGCAGGAACTTTGCCATCGAGCTGGGGCCCCGGCACATCACGTCCAACGTCATCGCGCCCGGCTTCTTCCCCTCCAAGCTGGCCAAGGGCCTCATCAACAACCTCGGCGGCGAGGAGAGCCTCAGCAAGGACAACCCCCTCGGCCGGCTCGGCAAGCCCGAGGACATCGCCGGCCTGGCCATCTTCCTCTGCTCCCCGGCGGGTAGCTATGTGTAAGTCTGCGTGTGATCCTGGGTTCTACTCGCGGGACGACGTGAATGAAGGGACGACACTAACTGAATGGCAAAAAATAAAATAGTAACGGAGTGGCTATCAATCTGGATGGAGGCGTTGTCCTGTCGGCTGGTCGGTTGTCAAAGTTGTAAATGGGAAGGGCAGGGTCTGCATTTTGTCTTGGAAAGCCTAGCATAGGGTTGGTCATGTATTCAGTGTTTTTTCTTTTCAACTTCAGAGGCAAAATCCTTTGATCACAGCTCTTTTTCTAAAAGTCAAGACGTTTCAGGGTCATTCGCCACTGTGCAATAAGTGATTGTGAATTAAACCTATTCTTTTATATCAATCTCATCTACCAAGCATCCTCGATGACCCGACAGACGACCGCAGCGTGACTAGACCCCCACCCAGCATCTCCCAGAATCCTTAGTAGGTCAGGTTCACCATGACCGTCTTGGGCTCCGTGAACATCTTGAGCGCGGCCATGCCGTTCTCGCGCCCGACGCCGCTCTCCTTGCTGCCGCCGAACGGCGCCTGCAGGAAGCACAGGCTCACGCAGTTGACGCCGACCATGCCGCTGTCGATCTCGGCCGACAGCCGCATGGCGCGGTTGATGTCCTGCGTGAAGACGCCCGCCATGAGGCCAAAGTTGGAGTCGTTGGCCTTGGCGATGATCTCCTCCTCCGTCTTGAACTTGTTGAGCACGGCGACGGGGCCGAAGATCTCGTCCTTGCAGATCTCGGCGTCCTCGGCCACGTTCTCGAAGACGGTGGGCTGGACAAAGTAGCCCTATAAGAAAAAAAAAAGGTTAGATTACCCGGGGGTTTGTCTTTTTTGTTTCAATGTGCAGGTAAGACACGGTGTGGAAGACTCATTTTGCTCACCTTGTCGCCGATGGTGCCGCCGCCGACCAGCAGGCTGCCCTGGCTCCTGCCGCGCTCGAGGAAGCCGCGCACGCGGTCGAACTGGGCCTTGTCGACGAGCGGGCCCAGCACGGTGGACTCGGCCTCCGGGTCGCCCACGACCGCGGCCTTGTCCTCCATGAGCTTCTTGTAGGCCGCGACGAACTTGTCGTAGACGCCCTCCTGGACGTAGACGCGGCTGGCCGCGAAGCAGACCTGGCCCGTGTTGGCCGTGATGGCGTTGGCGCACCAGCTCACCGCGTTCTCGAGGTTGCAGTCGTCGAACACGACGGCGGGGCTCTTGCCGCCGAGCTCGAGCGTCACGCGCTTCAGGTTGCTCCGCGCCGCCATCTCCTGGATGCGCCGGCCCGTCGCCGTCGAGCCCGTGAAGCTGACCTTGCGGACGCGCATGTGGCTCGCGATGAGGGCGCCCGTGCCGCCGTCGCCCGACAGCACCTGGAAGACGCCCGGCGGGAAGCCGGCCTCCCGGATCAGGGCGCCCAGGGCCAGCGCCGAGAAGGGCGTCTTCTCGGACGGCTTGAGGATGAAGCAGTTGCCCGTGGCCAGGGCCGGCCCGGCCTTCATGCCCACGTTGCCCATCGGGCCGTTCCAGGGGATGATGCCCGCCGTGACGCCGAGGGGCTCGTTGCGCACGATCTTGAGGAAGCCGTCGTCCTGCGGGTACGTCTCGCCGCTGAACTTGTCGACCCAGGCGCCGTAGTACCGGAAGCCCTCGGCGCAGAGGTTGATCTCGAAGGAGCCGAAGGAGCCGAAGGGCGCGCCCAGCGTCAGGCGCGTCATGGCGGCGAAGGCCTCGCCGTTCTCCTCGATCAGGTCCGCCAGCCGGTACATCATGTCGCGGCGGGCCGTGGGGCTGACCTTGCGCCAGGCCGGGAAGGCCGCCTCGGCCGCGGCCACGGCGGCGTCGACGTCCGCCTCGCCGGCGAGGGCGACGTCGTCGGCCACGAGCGAGCCGTCCTTGGGGTTGCGGAGCTCGAGCTTCTTTGCGTTTTTGGACTCGACGTACTGCCGTCGGGTTTGTTTGTGTCAGCGAGCATGTCCCGGGTTAGTAGGCAGGAGACGATGGCGGGAGCACACACCTCGTTGTTGATGAAGAGCTTCTTGCACAGGTTGTCCTTGTTGAAGGGCAGCTCGAACTTCTTGGGCCCGTCGCCGGCCTTCAGGGAAGGTCCCAGAGAAGTCATCTTTGCGGTTCTGTGGAGGGCTTGTATGTCTGCGGTGATAAAGGAGGACAACAGAGACGAGATGTGAAATCGAGCGTCGGTATGGGAAAGTGTCTACAGGCAAGTGCACTACATACGCAACTCTTCCCTTTTTGACACCCTACAGAGTAAAATCGACTCGAGGGCAGAGAATGTATCTGAGGAAGAGGGGCACCGGCTTTAGGACTTTACGGTGGGTAGTAAGGATGCTACACAACTCTCGGGATGGACCTCGCAACGGAGTGTGCGGTGCATGAAGGAGGTCTTGGGCAGCCCCGGCTGCTGCGGCAGAGCTCAGTGCAGCATACACACAGTATTCCCAGGACTTACGTCCGTCACGGCTCGGGAGACGGGTCGAGCCCAGACCCGGTGGAGTGCCTCCAAGACGAAAGGTGTACTTCGTGCAGAGGCTACCTCCCAAGAACCCAGAATGACCAGTCTGGAGACCAATACAGGAGGCTGTCGAGGGCGGGCGATGTGGACAGGTGGATCTCTGCCCTGGATCCGGCTCAACGCCAACGTCGTGGATGATGGTTTTCGGGCGGTGCGGGGTAGGGAATTTGGGGTTGGAGGAGCTTGAAACCCACGGCTCGGGGCCTGGCTAACCATTTCCCGGGCGAGTCAAGAATCCTGGAGTACTTCGTCCCTCCTGACTCGGGCTTGGGTCTGGTGAAACTGGGGAAGCATGGTGAACATTTGTGAACACAGTACGGATCTCACAACGAGTGCGGAGGACGCCAACATGACAAAGACTCGGGACCAGTGTGAGCATTGCTCTGTTAATTTGCCCGTGTTCAGCCCACGCACCCAGGCCAGTCGTCCGAGTCACTGATACTAACATGACCCAGCATGTGCCAAGTCGCTGTCTCGCCCCTGGAACCATTCAGTAAGGTAGGTAGGTAGGTCACACGCGTTCAACCGCAGTTCAGACAGTGCTCGATCTTCAACAAAGGTGGCCGGGATACCCCACGGAGCCCCAACGGAGATGTTGCGGTCGGCTTAGCGTATGCGCCGTGGAGTATTTTCCTCGCACTGACAGACTTGATGGAAAAAGCGCTTCCGTGTACGTAGTGGCCGGCGCGTATGGCAGCCACCCTCCTCGTCCTGCCTGTGGTCTGTGAGTGCTCAGCGTCGCGGTAACCTAGAGGAGTACATCACCCGCCCGTATGAGGGGCTGCATTCATACCAAGCTCTTCATAATCAGGATAAGTCAGTAGTGGTAGCATTTTGCTTGTGATAATGAGAGCCATCATCTCGAGTTTGAGTCCTTGAAACTAGGCTTGGTACTGTAGTCCATCCAGCGTCGTTACCTCACCCGCAAGAATACGTATACACATAACCATTCAAGATGGGCTCAGTCGCATCTCCCGTAATCCCCAAGACCATGAAGGCCGCTCAGTTTGACCCAGTAAGTGAATGACCAAGAGGAAACCCTGGGATGTGATTGGGCGGGGCGAGTAAGTGACCCGAACCGAGACTCACCACGATACGCACACAGAAACAACAAAAGATCGTCGTCAACGAGATCCCGGTACCAAAGCCGGGCAAAAATGAGTTCCTCGTCAAGATCCGCTCGGCATCCCTCTGCCACAGCGACCTCATGAACATGGACCACCCGGCGCTCGACATCCCCGTGACCCCGGGCCACGAGGGCGTCGGCTACATCGTGCAGATCGACCCCTCGACCGAGGGCAAGGGGTTCAAGGTCGGCGACCCCGTCGGCTTCCTCTACTTCCGGGACGTCTGCATGGAGTGCGAAGGGTGCAAGATCCACCAGCTGCACTGCACCAACGGCAAGAAGCTGCTCAACGGCTTCAACACGGACGGCTTCTTCCAGGAGTACGCCGTGGTGGACTACCGCAACGCGGCCTACCTCGACGAGAAGGTCTGGAACCTGCGGGTGGCGGCGCCCGTCTTCTGCGCCGGCATCACGACCTTCCACTCGCTCGACAGCTGCGGCCTCGAGCCGGGCCAGTGGGTCGGCATCATCGGCTGCGGCGGCCTGGGCCAGATGGCGACGCAGTACGCCAAGGCCATGGGCCTCAAGGTCGTGGGCATCGACGTCGCGGACAAGAACCTCGAGGAGACGCGGAAGCTCGGCGCCGACGCCGTCTTCAACTCGCGCACGACCGCCGACTACGACGCGCAGATCAAGGCGCTGACGGGCGGCGGCGTGCACGCGGCCGTCGTCTACACCGACGTCGCGGCCGCCTTCAACAACGCGCCGCGCGTCATCCGCCTGGGCGGCGCGCTCATGGTCATCGGCATCCCCAAGGAGAACATCCAGCTCAGCGCCATGGATCTCGTGCTCGGCCGCTACCGCGTGCTCGCCGACAGCACGAGCATCGCCAGCCGCATGCAAAAGGCCGTCGACTTCACGGGCAAGCACGGCATCATGCCCAACGTCGACATCCGGCCGGGCCTCGAGTCGCTGCCGGCCATGGTCGACGAGATGCGGCGCGGCGTGGCCACCAAGCGGACTGCGGTTGTGTTTGACTAGAGAGAGAGGGAGCGGGAGGGGTCTAGCTTTTAGATTGGGGTAAGGGGCATCAAAGATATGACGTGATGACGCTGTAAAGATGTTTTATTCCGGGGTAGCGGCGAGGATGAGTGGCGCGGACTTTGGCTTGCAGCACTGAGGTGTGGTAAAATGAAATGCAGGAGGAACCATCCATCTAGTAGTGGGACAATCCACACTTACACAGTTAGCAAGGGCCCATGAGGGATCAAAATATATTGTTCAGGGAACAAGGATGCATACAGCCATACATATCACAAAATAATGTGGACTCATGATGGCACAGTGGAGGCATCGAATTGCAAGTTCTTATTCAATATCAAACAACATCCGCTGCTAAATGAGGACATGATCCAAACAAACGAGGTCTTCCGTCGACGAGATCCACCATCTAATCAAACGACACGTACTTCTCGCCGTACTTCTCGGCAAGCTCCTTGTACCGCCGCTTGTAGGCCTCGTTGCGCTCCCTGAAGCCGCCCGCCGTCTTCATCTCCTCGCGGCCGACCTGGTGCCGGTGCGCGGCGTCGGGCCCGTCGGCGAGGCGCACGAAGCGCGCGTAGGTCCACATCTCGGGCAGCGGCGTGTGCTGCGTGACGCCCATGCCGCCGTAGATCTGCATGCACTCGTCGATCCACTTGGTGGCCATGGCGGGCACGAGGATCTTGCTCTGCGCGATGGCGCGCTTGCCGGCCTTGTTGCCCAGCAGGTCCATCGTGTCGGCGGCGTTGAGCACGACGAGCCGCGCGGCGTCGAGCTCGAGCCGCATCTGCGCCACGCGCTCGATGTTGGAGTCGAACTCGCCGATGAGCTTGCCGCGGGGCCGCTTGCGCGGGTCCGTGCAGCGCACGAGCGCGAGCTCGTAGGCGCGCTCGCACTGGCCGATGAGCCGCATGCAGTGGTGGATGCGGCCGGGGCCCAGCCGGCCCTGGGCGATCTCGAAGGCGCGGCCCTCGCCGAGGATGACGTTGGCGGCGGGGACGCGCACGTTGGTGTAGAGGTACTCGCCGTGGCCCTCGGGCGCGTGGTCGTAGCCCATGATGGTCAGGTTGCGGACCTGCTGGATGCCCGGGGTGTTGCAGGGCACGATGATCATGGTGTGGCGATGCCACTTGTCCGGGTTCTCCGGGTCCGACAGGCCCATGAGGATGTAGAAGGTCAGGTCCTTGTTCCAGAGGCAGTTGCCGTATAGCTTGCGGCCGTTGATGACGTACTCGTCGCCCTCGCGCCGCATGCTGATGCCGATGTTGGTGGCGTCGGAGCTGGCGACGTCGGGCTCGGTCATCGAGTAGGCCGACGACGCCGTGCCCTCCATCAGCGGCGCCAGCCACTTCTTCTTCTGCTCCTCGCTGCAGTACTTGGCCAGCAGCTCGATGTTGCCCGTCTCGGGCGCGTGGCAGTTCATCGTCTGCGCCGCCCAGTAGCAGCGGCCCATGAGCTCGGCGCAGCACGAGTACTCGAGGTTGGTCAGCCCGGGGCTCTCCTTGAAGTGGTTCGGCAGGAAGAGGTTGAAGAGGCCGCGCTGCTTGGCCTTGTCGCGCAGCTCGTGGATCAGCGGCGGCGTGACCCAGCGCTTGCCCTCGAGCTGCGCCTTCATGATCTGCTCCCGCGGGATGCACTCATTCTCGACCCACTCGTACACGGCCTGGATCTTCTCGATGGCCAGCGGGGACAGCTTTGCCCTGACCCACGGGGGGATGCGATTGAAGGCAGGGTGCTTGAAGGCCGGGTTCTCGACCACGGTCGGAGCTGGAGACATCGTGATTGTGGGCGTGTCGGTGATTGTTCCAGTGGTATGGTATGGGGGGTATGGTGAGAAGAGAAGAGGGCACAGAAAGCCTCAGGAGGTACGGAGGCTCTGGACTGTAGGCCGGAGAGGTGAGTGAGAGGCCAAGAGAGCGTGCTGAATGGGAAGGATTGGATGGTAAGATCACGAATGAATATATCACAAAAGACCAATTCGCTTCAGCGCCGGTGTCAGTGCCTGTGGATGGGCTTATCTTCACTCTGTCTCTCGAGTCTTTTTCTTCGCCATCGTCTACCAAGGTAAAATTGTACCTTGGAAGCTTGCCCAAGATTACCAGCAGCCCGAGTTCGCCGTATTCGCTGGGCGGATGTTCTCTTCCCTGGCATTCCCCGCAGCATTGCCGCGGCTAGTAGTTATTAAAAGTGCAGGCCTAGTCCACCTTGTCCCCAGACTTGCCCACCCCAGGATCCCTATCCCCCCTAAAGAGGGTAATGTGGGGGTGTCGAGTCAGCGGGTGGGTGTCAGTAGACTCGAGGCGAGCAGTGAGTGATTCGGTGCATGTGTCAACCCGAAGTGCTGAAGCATCGACCCAGTAGGCTTCCAGCTCCATTGCTCGCAAATCAGGCACACATTGCAACAAAGCTTCAATGAACGAGTAGAGCTTTCGTTTCATGTCATCTGTCCCGATATAAGGAATTTTCGACCCTGCTTAGTACAGAGGCACCTGATGAATCTCAAGCTACTTGAATGGAAACAACAACCGCTCCGCCCCTATGCAATGATCTTTGCCTTCTTGAACCGGTCAAAGGCCGTCCACCAGGACCCCTTGGTGTCGACGTCGTGCGCGTACTTGCCCATCATCTCGTTGGTCTTGGTCATGTCCATGTGGCGGTCAAAGTTGAGCATGGTCATGATGAAGTAGGCGAAGCCGCCGAAGCTGCGGTCGTTGCCCACGCGCCCGGACTGCAGGCCGTGCTTCTTCTCGAACTCCTTCCACTCGTCAAAGTGCTCGGCCAGGTAGGCCCGCGGCTCCGGGCCGGACCCGCCGGGTGGCGGCGGCGTGCCCTTGAGGCCAAAGTACTCGCAGATGACGGGCCACTTCTGCTCCCAGGTCACGGGCCGCGCCGTGTCGCCGGCGTTGTAGCCCTGCTCGGCGCTCTTCTCGGGCTGCAGCGAGGCCATGATGGAGACCTGCGCGCAGATGTCCTGGCTGCTGTCGGTCGTGAGGTTCTTCCACGACTTCTCCGTGCCGGGGAAGGGCACCTCGGCGCCCTTGCCGTGCTTGTCGGCGTAGAAGGAGAGGAAGGTCGAGAGCACCTGGCCCAGGCAGTAGATGTTGTTGTTGGGCACGAAGCCGACGATCATGTCCGGGATGATCTCGCACCAGGTCCAGGACTTGCCGACGGACATCTGCTTGAGCATGTCCATCTGGGTGTAGTAGAACATCTCGGAGGCGTAGGGCTCGGGTATCCTCCCGAGGGACTCCTTGAGGGGGGTGTCCTTATGGAAGGGGAAGTTCTCCTCGAGCAGGTGGACACCGTACCTCTTTGTGCCCGTAGGCAGGACGACAAACTCGAGCTTGGACGACAGGTGCTCGATGGCAGTGACTGCGGCCTTGATCAGGTCCTCGTTGATGGAGCACTCCTTCTTGGGGTCCTCATTCATGATGTAGGCTTTATCAATTAGCACAAGCCGCAAGAATTCGCAAATACTGGGCATCATCTATCATACCAAAGAAGTAGACATGGGTGATCTTGTCGACATTCTTGACCTTCTCCTTGATCTCGGCCTCCAGCGCTGCCTGGCCGGCTGGGTTTTGCAGGTTGATCCCGCTAACGATCTGGAGCTTGGAGGACTGAGGCCAGAGGGCAGCCTCGGCAGTCAACGGCCGGTTTGTGAGCGCTGTGACCGACTCGAAGGTGTCGGGGGTAGGGAACCCATTGAGGATCTGATTCACGATAGCCCAGCCAGTGATGCCGCTGGCGCCTATTACAGAGTCAGCATTTCGAGTCTGGTGGGCCAGATGGTTTAGGGATCAATCGCATACCAAAGACGAGCGCGTTCTTGGGAGCCATGCTGAAGCAATTGTGTGTCTGAGGTCCGAGTGGTGGGTTATCAGATGCAACAGCACACAAAGTCTGGGGAGGGATTGTAAGTCTGGCAGTACATAATGAGCAGGACTAGCCCAGTGTGAGGTTCTACGGTTGATATATGCGCCCTCACATTAGCACTCATAGGCTAGCTTGGCCGAGTGCCCAAAAGCGGGCAAATTGATGGGGATGCGCTTTATGGCCCCCATCAAATGACCCGACCCTATCTCAGGACGGCATCCAGCAGGATTCTGTCCCAAGACTGGCTATGAATCCTTTTGCGATCCTTAGCAAAGTTCTTTATATAGATTGCTGGAACACAGCGGCCAAGAAATCACCAGCTGCGCCTGTAGTTCTGCAACTGCGTGCTTTGTCGTGATCCATCCTTCCTTCATCAAGCTGTTTCAGAGCTGAGAATGGACCCATCTGTGCCCGTGTTAAGCAGAAGCCAACCAGCCGTAGTCGAGGGGCGTGTCTGCTCAACCCCCGGCTCCTCATGCTCTGAGTTGGGGGACAACAAGGGAGTAGTAGGCTACCAGAGCTGGGAAAGCTGTTCCATTGACCAAGCTTCCCTCGCTGACTGTGGGGGGAGATTCGGCGTCATTAAGCGGGGGTTGCGTTGGGCGGGGAGTCAGATCGATCTCCAACGTGGACAACGGGTTCTGCGCGCGGCAAAGCACAGGCACAGCCATCAATCGACTCGTATAGATCTGCTAAGTTGAGGCCTTTGATAGAGATTATCAATAATTCTAGAAGGCGCCGGGACATCCAGAGATCCTTCGATTCTTGGCACCCTGAGGCTGATGGTTGGGATGGCCTCGCATAACAGCTGTCAGCACTGTAAATCGATCCTTCGTCTCCCGCTAAGCTGATTGGCTGCGCATTCCCAAAAAGGAAGTTGGAGAAGAGTCGCGAGTTCCCGTCCCTGGAAGCCCAGGGCCATCTGGACTTTCCTCTTCTGCGCCATCTCCAACACCAATAGTTCTATCATGCCATTTTTTCCACATAGACGGTCAACATTTGATGAATCTAGAATCTAACAGCCATACAGAGCTCCAATGTGTTCGCTTGTGTGTGCCACGAATGATTGACCCGCGACCCCTCCCCCGCACCGCACGTTGGACCCCAAATCAACGGCGCTAATGATTCATCGTCCCGGGCGGTCCTGGAAATCCTTACCCCGTACCAAACCACAACAATTTCCATTTTTGGACAGTGCGCTGACCGTGTTACGGTGCTGCTGTCAAGAGGGTCCGCGCCTCATTCTAGCATGACCCGACGTTCGGGATCGCAGCACAATTTCAGATGCACACTGCACTGCAGTGAGGTTACTTCAGGCAAAAGCCGCATGCGATGTTTGAATCTCTGCTCAGTTGATCCGAATACATCTGCCTCGAACGCGCAGGTCTGGCAGAATTCATCTCGCCACATACAACCCTTTGGCAGTGCAGATCGGCCTCTGATCGGGTATCTGGCACTCCGGAGTAACGGCTACCGGCCAAGTCTGGCCCCCAAATAAAGCACTGAGTGGTAGCGATGGTCCGTGGCTAGGCTGCTTACCCCGGATCGACTACTGCCGGCGGGCGGCACGAGTCCTTGGGCCTTTCTGGTCACTCCCCACGACACATGGCTTTGCCTCCGGATATGCACATCCAAATCGTTCGCCTCTTTCCCATCATCTGTCCATCTCTAATAGCTTCTCGACCGATAGTCATTGTCAGATCGCCCGCTCTGGCGCGTGTCGTGTCGCTCCGTACAGTGCGCTGCACTGGCGTCCCCAACTTGCCCTCAAGCTCCTCCATGCCACGGACTATGGAGCACCTCCAACCCTGTCATTGCTGTCCCTGTCCTGACCCAGATGATCTGGCCTGCTGAGCAGCGTGCCAAGTGGCCGCGCTTATTTCTCGGCCTGTCTTTCCTGGCTCCTCTCAGGCCAGGCTTGATCCACGGAAACACAGTTGCTCTCTACCTCCAGGGCTGGACGAAGGAGTAAGTGGCATGGACAATCCTCTGGCCCACTCGAATCCTGTCTGGTCCTCCAAAGCTCAGTCTATGGAAAAGTTATTGCAGGGTGGTGCCAGAAATTATAGATATCGTGCCATGCAGCCATCTCCCAACGCGGAAAAGAGCTTGCTTGATTTTGACTTGTCCCGAGCTACAGCCGCCCTGTCTGCTGGTGTTGCGAGCAACCTCCCATATAATAGACTGCCGCGTCCTCCACACGACTCCTCACTGACAACATCCTGCCCTCCCAACATCATCTACTTCATCACTGCTCCTCTTCATCCTCCTCCCGGTTGCTTGCTGCCCACCCTCTCTTCTCTCCACACTTTCATTAAGTCATTTGGTTCTAGCAGGCATTTAGCACCATTGTCGCCTCCCTCAAACCAAGAACACAGTAAGACCAGCCAACGGTAGAGCCAGTCATGGCCCCCTCTGCAACCGAGCCCAACGGCGTGCCAAGCCACACAAATGGTAACTCGAATGCGCAGACAAACGGTACTTCGAGCGCTGCCAGCGAGTTTACGTATCCCGAGATGGCCACTCCCTACCAGGTCCTGCCCCAGTACCACTCCAAGCCCACCAAGCTGAGGGTGGCTTGCATCGGTGCTGGTGCGTCAGGACTATGTCTCGCCTACAAGATGGTCAGTGGTGTCCTCTGCGCTCTCTGCCTGCGTTAAGTGGCAATACGTGTGCTCTTGCTGACGCGGCCTTGTCTTGTTGCGATTGTAGGAGAAGATGATGGTGCCCGGCAGTTGGGAATTGACTCTCTTTGAGAAGAACCCCGTGTTTGGCGGTACTTGGTACGAGAACACGTAAGTCGATCCAAGTCACGACAGCTTCGAACACGAGCAATCACTGACGGACAGCATGTAAAGATACCCTGGTGTGGCTTGCGATGTAAGTTCTGTGGTCTTGAATGAGGGCGCCTGTGATGGACACTGCCTGCCCGTAGCCATCAGGCTCATGAACCCCTCGCTGACACCGATGTAGATCCCTTCGCCCCTCTACACCTTCTCCTGGGACCCCAAGCCTGACTGGTCCTACTACTACGCCTACGGCGACGAGATCCAGAGGTACTTTGAAGACTTTGCCAAGCGCCACGGCTCCGAGAAGTACATGAAGCTCAGCACCAAGGTCGTCGAGTGCCGCTGGGACGAGGAGAAGGGCATCTACAACCTGACCCTGCAGGACCAGAACACGCAGGAGCTCTGGCACGACTGGTGCCACGTCCTCATCAACGGCACGGGCATCCTCAACACCTGGGTGTGGCCCGAGATCGAGGGCCTGCACGACTTTGCCGGCCCCAAGATGCACTCTGCCCACTGGGACCACTCGGTCGACTTTGAGGGCAAGACGGTGGGCGTCATCGGCACCGGCAGCTCCAGCGTCCAGATCGTCCCCGCCCTGCAGCCCAAGGTCAAGCACATGAAGGTCTTTATGCGCTCCCCGACCTGGATCTCCCCGCCGTTCGGCGGCAACGCGCTGCTGGAGGAGGTGCACAAGAGCGACGACCAGCCCAGCCAGCGGCAGTACAAGTTCACCGACGAGGACAAGAAGAAGTTCGCCGAGGACCCGGCGCACTTCCTCGACTTCCGGCAGAAGATCGAGGCCGAGATCAACTCGCTCTTCGGCATGTACCAGGCCGGGTCCGAGATGAACAACAAGATGCGCGAGCTCATCACCGAGGAGATGCACAAGCGCATCGGCCCCGGCCACGAGAAGCTCAAGGAGTTCATCGTGCCCAAGTGGGCGCCCGGCTGCCGCCGCATCTCCCCCGGCGACGGCTACCTCGAGGCCCTGGTCAAGCCCAACGTCGAGACCGTGTTCGGCCCCATCAAGATGATCGTGCCCGAGGGCATCGTCACCGAGGACGGCGAGCTGCACAAGTTTGACGTCCTCGTCTGCGCCACCGGCTTCAAGGTCGCCTTCCGCCCGGCCTTCAAGATCTACAACGGCGAGGGCAAGTCGCTGGACGAGGACTGGGGCGACAAGGTCAACCTGTACCTGGGCGTCTCGGCTCCTCGCTTCCCCAACTACTACACCATCGTCGTAAGTACATGTCCATCAATGGGCGAAGATGTGGGCGGGATGTTTTGGGTTACTGCTGTACAGTTCGTGCTGACGCATGTTTGTTCTGCTATCTAGGGTCCCGGTGCCACCTGGTCGTCGGGCACTCTGCTGCCGTCCATCGAGACCACGATCGAGTACTCTGTCAAGATGATGATGAAGATCCAGCACGAGAACATCCGCTCCATCGACGTCAAGCAGGAGGCCCTGGACGACATCTACGCCCACTTTGACGCCTTCCACAAGAACACCGTCTTTGGCGACGAGTGCCGGAGTTGGTTCAAGGACGGCAAGATCAAGAACAGGATCTACCTGTGGCCCGGTCCGGTATGTGCATGCCAACCAACAACCCCCCACCTTCTTCCCTTTTCTCCTGCAGGCACCGAGCTGCAACCACTCCTGTGGCCAAACCCCTCCCCTCTTTCTTACCAAAGCTGGTCTCTTGCGGGCTGTGCAGAGCAAAGTCCTTGCGCGAAAAGTTTTGAAGCTAATGCGTGTGACCGCAAACCCAGACCATCCACTTCCTCAAGACGATCAAGGACCCCCGGTTCGAGGACTACAACATTCGGTACCGCTACGGCAACCGCTTCGCCTATCTTGGTAACGGCGACGTCAAGGCCTTGATCGAGAAGGACTACAAGGGCCTGGCGCCGTACGTGCGCAACTCGGACCACGACTGGAGCGTCGCGTAAAAGTTGGGAGAAGGGAGAGAGGCGGGGAGGGGGAGGGAGGAGGAGGGACCTCCGAGCGAAGCGGGGTGGGGGTTACGCCCCGTCGGCATCGGCAAGCAAACCATCAGTACGACGCTACTATGCGACGTACATATCTCTCGACGGCCATCCGGATGCTTCCCCGATGCCACACTGCTGCTGCTGCTGCTGCACGAGCAATGCATTTATTTGCCTACGCTCTCCGCCCGGCTACACGATACGATACCCAACCAGCTCGGAGCTTGGGAAGGACACGATGATGTACGGAAGGAGAAGAAGGGAGAAACAATCTCTGATACAAATACCAATTGCATGGCCAGCCTGTCCGATGGGCGACGAGACGGTGATCTTGACCACGAAGGGAAGGGGATTTTAGAAAGGGTTGGGCTGAATCATTAGCCTTTGCGTCGTTGGCGACGGGTTCCTCTTTTTGGGTTTTTGTCCTCTCACACTTGTTGGCTTCCCCCTTCACTGGGGGGCTCTTGTCTGGCAGCGGGTTGATACCGACCCTATTACGACATGACGGCAAAAAGAGTGCCGAAATACTTAGACGCCTTGATTTTGTTCCTAGAGTCTGATGGTACAAGTTTTCATTGGGAGTCATGATGGGGCAGAGCAAACACATTGTATATATCAGAATATCAGCAATTTCAACAATTTACTTCTACAAGAGCGAGATGGAGAGCAGTTGGTGCTGGAGGTCTGATTCTTGCTGAAGCCGCCCCCAGAGCTCGAGACAATGAGAGCCGAGGCGAAAGACCAACAGAGCGGAATGGAGGGGGGTGTGTGCATGATCGTTGACCGTTTTCAAGAAACAGAGCTGCAGCTACACCGAAAAGGATTATGCAGCTCCTCTGCACCCGAGACTTATCAGCATCGTCGTCATCTGTCATCACAGTCGTGTTATGCTTTGCTGTACGAGATCCAAACAAGCTTCTTTTGGCACCTGGTCGAGCACCTACATATAGGAAGGTTCATGTTTGAAGAAACACCTATGGCCCAGTATGATTTGGCTATTCCCCGCATGCAAGAGAGAGTCCCCTCCAAAGAAAGAATTCGCTGGAGCTCCTCCCCTCACCTTTTAACCCCGGCAGCCGGCGGGTAGCTGTGCGAGGGCACCCACACACACCTTCGATCAGAGCCAGGGGTCTTTGCTAGTGTGTTGTGTGTGTGTGTGTGTGGGTGGGCAGGCGACTGAGGGCGGGGCACCCCGCATGGCGCCTGGGTCTGGGGTTGAGGGAGTCAAGAAGTTGCGACGAGAAGGCAGGCCATACGGGGGCCTTGCAAAGGTTCCAGTACTCTGAGCAGTGTCACTTTAGCCCTTTCTTGGGGGTGTTTACCAGCAACCAGCCCAGATCCGACCCGAATCCCTTTCCCAGAACAAACATGGGCGGTATTTCGTACTGCGGGTCTGGGGCTACCGCATTGCGTGGATGGATGGACACTAGGCTCACCGGAGGGGGTGCGCGCTCGGTTAGATGAAAACGAAGGGGAAAGAGGAGAGCTGCAGCACCCAGGTGATTGTGATGTACTAAACGATTTGGCTACGGTTGCTATGTATGGCAGAAATGAGTACATAACATGTATTTGTGTTCCCGTCCGGCACCTGGATGCAATATATGTTAGTTCTCTACTCTTGCGGTATGCCTCTTGAAGATACGCACCTTGTACGAGAGTAAATCAAGGGAGGAGTGTTTGTCTACTCCGTAGTCTGTCTAGCTCACGTCGGTGGAGATCACCGACACCCCGACAAGCCGATATGTTTGTCAGTGATGGGCCGGAGGGGGGTGTGACAACAAGGACAGGGGTGTTAGATGCACCAAATCAACTTTTATCTTGCTTGCCCTCTCCAACCGCGGGAAGCTGCTCGTTCCCGACGCATGCTCTGCTGCTTCTGGCTGCTGCTCCATCACGTTCTGTTTCATCGTGCGCACGCGGGGGCACAATGGGTGTAACTGTAGATGCAGGCTGGTCTCTTGCCCTCGGCAGATCTAGTCGCCTCTCAATTGATGTTGCATTGACGTGACAGCGTTGTTGGCCTTGTTGGCCTTGAATACGTAATGTGCGGACAGGAAGAAGGGCAGATACGCCAACAACCCCCAACCAACCTCGACGTCTGCTGCAGAACTCCAATGATCAATCGACTTGGAGGAGGGTGAGGGTGTGTTTCCCAAGCAGTGACGAGACTGAAGGCTCCTAACTCATCCCGTCATCGTTCACTCGGCCGGGAAGGGTGTGAGGTGAGGCAGAGGCAGGGCGACATGAGCCAATGCGGCGCGTCCCCAGTACGAAGTTAACTTGAAATAGGGCTCGTGCAAGTCGTGTATGGTGCGACCCGTTGGTCCCCATGAGTCATGTTGAAACGAACGAGAAAGCTGCTTCTGGCGGGCGCCGGTCGTTTGCCAAGAGAGCGCCAGAGTCTTGCGGTGCGGGGAATTGCCCAGCATGGTATTTGTCCTGCCTGGCATAGCTAATGTAGTTACCACTACTCCTGGGTGCTGCTCGTTTGTCATAGCTCTTCTTCTTGTGTTCATGCATGCAAATGAGATGCAAGACAAAATACCTGTGCAAATGCAAGCAAGCGCTGGACCGGCGGGCTTGAAGAAGCCGGCTTTGATTCCTTCAAGCAGTTTGGGCGTAGCCTCTTCGGCGATTGTTTTGATGGGGATACTACCGAATCTCCTGTTCGTACTTTCCATGCGTGCTGACTTTCGTACTTACCTACAGTACAAGTAGAAATACAGCATCTAAACTCCGGTCGGGTTCATCTCCGCAACATCCCCCATCTTTCTTTTCTCCCCGTAAATGCCCACCCTGCTCCCCAGCAAAAGGGTTTTAGTCTATGGACCTGTTATCCACATTGCTCTCCATCGTTCATCACTCACCTGCAAAGTCCCTGCCCAGCCGTCGCCTAGGTGGCCAGGGTGCCTTGGTCAGCATCTTAATCTTACTCATGAGAGAGAATGCTTTGCTCCCCGCTCCCCGTTCGTTGTCATGCTCTGGCCCACTGTGGTCCTCGTTGCTGGTATCTGGTCCGCACCCGCCGCCGCCACCATCGTTCATCGCCCCGTTCGCAATGCAACTGGTGCAGCAGCTCTTGTCGCGCGTGCGTGCGGTGCTGCCTACCTACGGAGCATGTCAGAGCTAGCTGCTTAGGTGCCCAGCAAGGCGCCCTGGCTCACTAGCTGTGACGCTACTCTGAGCGTTGGTTTGGGCGCAGCCAAGCGAGATCCCCAAAGGCAAAAGGTCTTTCCGTTCCAGGGACTGTACGGGGTAGGCAGGGCGTCTGTACAAGCGTGCATGTATCCGCTAGGAAGAAGGCCGGTAGGTCGGTATGAGAGGGGGTGGTGTTAGCATGGACCCTTTTCTCCCTCTCTGCCTCTCCTTTCTCGTCGTCGTCGTCTCGGGCGGGCAATTGTATGATCCCGGATGTCCTGGGAGGTGGGACTTTGTCCCCATCGCCTCGCCTGCTTACCATTCTTTGGGTTCCCTGTTGGTCAAACTGCGTAATCTAGCTGGGAGCGCGGCACCCCAAAACGAGACTATCTCGAGCCAAGATGGGTCCGGCCCATGTCTGAACGATCACTACACCCTCCATGAACCCCAGAAACCCCGTTTTTCCCCTCGTTGGCGACTCTCCCCCGTGGGAATGGCCAGTGAGCAGAGTCTGGCTGTGGGGAGACTGCCCCATTCCGGCCGACTCTTCGCACAGCTAACAGCTTGCCTTTCCCTCGCTAAACTTTGACAGGAGGCAGGAGAGACAAGACAGATTGATTACGAGACGTGTCGATGAGACGATCTGGGAGTCCATCTTGTCCTGGCTTGCCTACCTTGTGTTGTGCGGGGAACTTGGCCATCATCGTCTTCCTGTTTGAGACCCTCGTCGTCTAGGTTGCCCCGATTCTGCACATGAACCCCGTCACCATCTTCACGCATATCCTTCCACACAACTTCTTTTTTTCTCCCATCTCGATCAGGTCAGTCCTTGCCACGCCGACATACTCTTACACAACCCCTGGCTTGCCATCATATCAATCACTCCTGATCTTCTCACCTCATTTCTTTCCAACATACACACGAGAGCCCAGGTGCAGCCTCACCACCTGAATTGGCACTGCGTCATACGAACATACACACACATACACACAAGTCTCGGGCAGTCTGCTGTGATTCATTGTTGAGTGAAACAGTCCAGCATGGCATCGGCTGCCGTCGACAGCAAGCCTCAGTCGGAGGCGGGAACCGACATCGCCCATCAGGAGAACGTCTCGCCGCGCAACCAGCCCTCTCGTCAGTCCAGTAAAAGCCAGGTTCGCCACCGGGCCTCAGTCGCCTGTGCCTCCTGCAGAGACCGCAGGATCAGGTGTGTCGTGCCCAAGGGCGAGCGGGAGTGCACACAATGCAAGCGCACGGGGACAGAGTGCATCATCAAGAACGACGACGAGCGGCGGCGGTAGGTTCCAGCCAGTTCATTGTCCATCGTAACTCTGGCCATGCATACACATCCTGACTGACTTCCAATGCGCAGCCCCATCTCAAAGGCATACATGTCATCCCTTTCTGAGCGCATCAATATGCTCGAAAGCATGCTCCTCGACAAGGGAGTCGTACCGCCGCCGGCTGTCCACCCGCCAAAGACCAGGCAAGAGGCACAGTCCAAGCAGCCCGAAGATACGGCAAAGCAGCCCAACGGCCACGTTCACAGCCTCAATGGCGCCGGCATCGGCCATTCTCCGTCGTCGCGCGAGATCGTTCCATCTCCACCAGACTCGGGCCACGACGACTTCGCCATGAATGAGAGCGACCAGGCCGAAAGCATCATGGCCCAGAGCCACCACAACTATCAGCCCTTGACCAAGGAAACCTCGCCCTTCCGCAACCTGGATCCTCGGAAAGAGGACATCGTCTTTCGTCTGCTCGCCACAAAGGGCAACCTCTCCTTTGACCAGCTGTCCGGCAGGTTTCGCTTCTTCGGACCGACTGCCAACAGCCACGTCTACTCGGACGCTCCGTTCGCGGGCGACCTGCGGGAGCCCCCCGAGCAGATCCGCAGGTCTGAGCGCATCGTACGCTCGCTCACTCCCGGCACGCACGAGTACCTCATGAGCTGCTTCTGGGAGCACTACAACCTGGTCATGCCGGTTCTCGACCAGGCCGCCTTCGAGCGAGACCGCGAATCGCAGTGCCCTCGCTTCTACTCGTCATTCCTGCACATCACCGTTCTCGCCATGGGCTACCGGTTCGCCGACCAGGACCGCGAGGACATGCGCAAGATCAGTCTGGGCAACCGCGAGAGCACTCTGCACCGGGAGGCCAAGTACATGATGGACATCGAGCTCGAGAGGCCCGGCGGTATCCCTAGTGTGCAAGCCTTGCTGCTGCTGGGCGACCTGGAGTGTGGTGTGGGCAGGGACAATACGGGTTGGATGTATTCGGGTAAGTGAAAGATCATGTTTAGTGTCTGAAGCTTGGGACTGACCCCGACGACCCACAGGCATGGCCAACCGCCTCGCCTTTGACATTGGTCTGCATCTTGACTGCCAGAGCGACACGATGCCCGACCAAGAGATCCAGATCCGGCACATGGTCATGAAGGCATGCATCGTCTTTGACAAGTACTGGGCCCTCTTCCTCGGCCGGCCTACAAGCATCAAGAGCCAGGATATCGGCATCGACCTCCTCTCTAAGCGCTTCTCTATGCTCGCTTCTGGAAGTGAGACCAAGAGGGATGCGGCGACAGCAAGCGTCGAGATTTACGAGTATCTCATCGAGCTGATGGAGCTCGCTGGCAAAATCTCCGAGACGCGGGACTACAGCAAGGCCAATGCCAACGACCACAACAACATCTTTGCGATCAACGAGTCCGAAGAGAGCGCCTACCTCCACGTCATTAGCCTGGACCGCCAGCTCCAGAACTGGTACCGCCGCCTCCCAGACCACCTGACCTGGAAGCCGGCCAACATCAAGGCGGCCCCCTTCAACTACTTCCTCCTTCACCAGCAGTACCACGTGTCCATGATCCTCCTCCACAGGCCCTGGGCCAAGTACGGCGTCTCCAGTTCGGACGGCGCGAGCACCAACTCCCACCCGAGCCCGGCCGAGTCCAACCACCACGGCCGCGACTCCGTCAGCCAGAAGCACCTCGCCATGGTCGGCCATGGCCTGGGGCTTGGTGACCCGCAGTCAATCGTCGACGACAGCCGCACGTCCCTGTCGCGCAGCATCTGCACCCAGCAGGCCATCCGGGTCGCCCGCATCTTTTGGCAGCACCGCCAGCGCTTCGACGGCCGCAAGATGTGCTCGACGGGCATGCAGCACGCCGGCTCGGCCGCCATCGCTCTCATCGCGGCCCTGGCCTTTGCAGGCACCGACGCCGACCGTCGTAGCTACCTAGGCTACCTTGACATTCTGTCGGCCGCGCTGACCGACATGGGCCATACCTACGAGCCGGCCGCGCGCATGGACGAGCTGCTGAAGGCCGTGCTGGACCAGTTCCGCGGCGACACCAGTGGGGTAGCGACAGCTTTCCGGCCCGGTGGCGCCACGGTGAGCGTGTTTGGCTCGGCCGGTAGCAGCATGATGTCGAGTGGCTGGCAGGCGAGCCCGGATACGGCCTACTCTGTCCTCCCAGCGCGCCGCGAGCACCCAGACCAGGAGCATACCCACCCAGCTGTCAAGAAGATCCGCCCGACGCCCAGCAGGCGAGCGTCAGAATTTACTCGGCCGCCGCCGCCGTTCTTCGCCGGCAACCGGCAGCCGACTCCGCCCAGTTCGGCCCAGAGCCACCATGCGCAGTTCGGCATGAGCCACCACGGATCGTTCTCCCACATGATCCCGGGCCTGTATCCGGGGGCGGAGCCTTCGGAGCCGTTCAACCTGGACTTCTTGGGCGGCTCCGCCATCGACCTGGATGAGCACGACGAGCGCAACGGCGACGGCGGCATGCGGTCCGCGGACGAGTTCGCCCTCGTGACGCCGGCTTCCACGGAGGCGTGGGGTGTCGGCAGCGGCATGAACGGCACTCCTGCCAACGCGCACTCGGGCTCCGGCCTCGACCTGCCCATGGGGGACTGGATTGCCAGCCCTGCTAATCTAGCCACCGCCACCAACAATAACGGCGTGGCCAAGTCCGGGTCGGGTCCCACCTCTGTGCCCGAGATCAATGGCAGTACGAAGTCTGGCTCGCCGGGCCCGGACCATGGCCAGGTCAATCATAACGGAGATGCCGAAGCTGTTGCCCACCACCAGATGGGCGTGGTCGGAGGTGATGCAGCCAAGAGCGAGACGTCCCCGTCCGCAGCGGACATGGGCCTAGATAACACCAACGTCAACGGTGGAGGGGGGATGGAGTGGATGGGCAGCGAGGGCGGCCTTAACGCGCTGAGCCCTGTGAGTAACCTCCGCGGCCTCGTCGGCAAGACGGCGGCTGGCTCTGTGGAGTCGGGTATGGTGAATGGCGGCGGACGTAATCATGAGCTTGACTTTTTCAGTTTTTGAGTGATCTTTGTGTCTCTCTCTTTGGACATGATTTGGGCTCCACACATGCGCCACGGTTTGCAAACGTACAAGCACACGGATGGTCTGGAGTTTGCTGGGCTTCTCATATTTTTTTTTTCCAGCGTGGCGGGCTTTTGACCTTTTCAGAGCGACTTGTGTGCATTGGACTGGGAGATTGAATGGGCCGGGACTGGCTGCAAGAACATTGCTCAGAGTGGATGTCCTCTCTTTGTTTTTGTCTTGTTTTCCTGGTTGTTCAGAAAAGGACACCCTAGGGTGTCTGGGGCAGATAGTCGTATATACTTCTCCAAGTGAAGTGATTCATTAATCTGGGAACAGTTTCACCTTGTTCCGTGATGCTCGCTTGTGAGATTCTCCTGTGACCCGAGGCCATCTCCCTCTCGTTTCGCCCGAGCAGCACCCCCAACCATCGCCCATTATTTGGGAGCAGCTTGCAGTCCTTCGAAATGGGTGTCAATACAAGAGACTTTCCCATGGTTACATGTCGTGTTGGTCGTACCAGGTTCTCTCGCCCTTTTACGATTCCGGTGAAAAAAAGAAATCCCCGGTGTCATCGCAAAACCCTTTTTTTCTCACTGCGTGGAGAAGCCGCCGTCGGCGACGAGGGCCGCCCCTTGCACGAAGCTGCTCATGGGCGAGGCGAGGAAGGTGATGGCGTCGCCGATCTCGTCCATCTGGGCGAGCCTCTGCAGGGGCGTGTTGTCGAAGTCGCTCCGGAGGGGCGAGCTGGGGTCCTCGAGGACCTTGTTCAGCAGCGGCGTCTCGACGTAGCTGGTCTCGAGTGTTAGCAGAGCTTTCTTCAGGCAACTCTCTTGTTGTCAACTAGACAAATGAAAGGACTCTTTTTTTGGGGGGGATGGGCAACATACCCGGGGCAGATGGCGTTGATGCGGATGTTCTTGGGGCCGTAGTGGTTCGCGTCGCCGCGGGTCATGCCAATCACGCCTGAGCTCTGTCAGATACTGAGGGTTCTTTCGCGCACACGGGGTGCGGTGCACACCGATCCGGGGACAGATTTCAAGGGGGGGGGGGGACATACCGTGCTTGGCAGCCGAGTAGGCCGTGTGCGGGAGCTGCCGCACGCCCGGGGCGATGAGCCCGAGCATCGAGGCGACGTTGATGATGCGGCCCCGTCCTTCCCGCACGCCTAGGTCTCTGATGAAGGGGGGGAGTTCCAACAGTTAGCCACAAGGCCAGCCCATATACACGAGCTAAAAAAAAAAAAAAACACGATGCCCATCCGGAGGGGATAGAAGAAAAAACTCACTCCTGCTCCACCATGACCGCGAGCTCCTCCCTCTGGCACCTCCACACGCCGTCGAGGTCGACGTCGAGCACGCCGCGCCACTCCGACTCGGGCACCGCGTGCGTCGGCCGGCCGCTGCCCCCGATGCCCGCGTTGTTGACCGCGACGTCGAGCCGCCCGAACCGGTCGGCCGTGCGCCGGACGCAGTCGCGCACCCCCCGCGGGTCGCGCACGTCGAGCCGCAGGCTCAGGATCTCGACGTGCGGAAACCTGGCCGACAGGGCCGCGTTGGCGGCCTCGAGCCCCGCGGCGTTGATGTCGGCGAGGGCGAGGCGCCGGATGCCGTGCCGCGCGAAGGAGAGGGCCGTGTGCTGGCCTATGCCCGAGGCGGCGCCCGTGATGAAGGCTGTGCCTCTGAGGAGTTGCGCCATGGTCCCGGGGGGGGGTTGTTTCTGGACAAAGGGGTGTGTTCTGAGGAGGAGAGGGCTACCTCGGTTTCTGGTTTACGGTGAGGTTTCGACTTGATGGATGCAGGCGGCGTTGCCACGGTGAGCCCAGAACGCGCAGGTAGGTTCACACAGAGGATTGGGCAGTTGGGACAGAAGCGCAATGTATGTGTGAGACAGTACGGAACGCTTGCGCCATATGACTGAAGAAGGAAGTATTGGGAACATGTGTATGTCTTCATACGAGTCCCTTTTCTCCAACAAATACACGAGCAACGCCCCCCCGGAGCTGCCGGGTGTTTTTTACCAGCTTCAAGCTCTCCCCCCCCCCCCCCCGCCCCCGGTTTCTCCTCACGACATCCCAATAGTTAACCTTCCCCGGGCTCGACTCGCGGCCAGGGGTCCTTGCTTTTCCCCGCGCCCCCGAGCATCAAGCATAAGAACGCGCGGGAGGCTCATCCGCAACGGCAGGCTCCACGTGGAGATGCTAGCTGGGCTTTTTCCTTCCCGCTGCGTGAAGAAGCTGGGGTTTGGGGGGGGGGCCTTTCTTTGTCGAGTGTCGCCCCGAAACTCCCCAGTCTCGTCGTCCGGTCATGTTTAGCTTAGCACACCATTGTTTAGGTAGTTTGCAAAGAGTCATGTAAAGAGGGGAGGGGGGCCCTGCCACTACTCAAGCAGCAAGGCGGGAGAGCTCCCGAATGAGCAGCAGCCCGGGCGGCGGTCTTCGTTTTCCGCAGCGGGCTCCCCACTCGGTGGCTTTGCAGGGGGGGCCATTTTCCGGCACTGTTCACTGCAGGCAGCGCTAATGTGGTATCGTGTTAGTGCGCATGCTGTGATTTGAGGAACGAGGTTTGCAATCCCGAACTGGAAGCCTTCACTGAGAGGCTATGATACTCCAACGAAGTGGGAAACGTTCTGGTCCGGTGGTTCTTTGTTGAGGCGTGCAACGGTGTGTGCCTCCGAGTACCGGCTCGGGTCCGCCAATTGCCGCCGGCATGGCTGCTTGGCTCTCCCGGCGGGGGGCTTGATCACAAGCTTTGCCAAAACATCGAGACAATTCCCGAGTTCTTGAGACATCATCCGACTTCATAAAGAAGCAGGTAGTGCTCCTTATTACATGGCTGGCCGAGTTATCCGTTTGATACGGATCGTCTGCGCGTGTAAGTCAGGCGGGCACGGCCGGGGGCCGACGTAGCCGATCTTGAGGCTGGCAAAACAGCTTACAAAGAGTGAATAGAATGACAGCGGCATGTTTCATATGCAGATCTCGAACTATAAAACGACCGCTTCTTTTTTTGATAGAGCCGAAGGGAGGAGAGATGGGAGAGATGGGAGAGATGAACGTGCCCCCAGGTGAGAAGAACAATCAATAATTAGATTGATTTTCCGAAGTATCTGGCTGCTTCTAGTCAGGCCGATGGCCGTGGCATCTAACAGATGACACCAGCTTGACTCGAGTATTTGACAGGAACGGACGCCTACATTACCCCTTCTAGGCATGCCGGAAGCTCACCTTTTTCATCGTGCGCGCATATAGTGTTAGATGAAGTAACACAGCATCCCCGATTCCAGGAACGGACCCAGGTTATCATCAGAGGGGCTTGGCTGTAAGGAGCGTGAACTCTGCAGCATTGTGCCTGACAGCGTGGGAACCAAGTGATCTTCGCTACCAGTGTCCAATTTCGTCTGGCGACCGGACGCGAGAAAAAAACAAATAGAATAGAGAGGAAGATGCCACGTCGATACATTACCCGGTGCTCGCCGGGAGGCCTCGACTATTTAACCCACACACGGCACCTCGACTTACCCGTCTTGGCACAGGATGCCGTCCATATTAGGTTCTGGGGAAAGTTGGAAGGCTTATTTACGGCCCATGGGGTTCGGGGCGCCACGGACGCAATTGGGTCTGAGGGGAGTGGGAGAGGAGGGGAGGGGGGGGGGGAACCGGTCGGGGTTGCACACCGTGCCTGGATATATTCATGCCAATTAACATGCGTCATTAGACAGCGACGGTGGCCGTCGGAAGGTGAGCCGTATTGCAACTCCTTTATCTCTTGGCACTCTACCAGGTTGCCGGACAGCCGTGGGATGATATCAGCGAAATGCGGCCATAAGAAAAAAAAGTGTATATAGAATCGGGGAGGACGTCGATAGATGGGCCGTAGATGGGCGGACGGTGCGCCTTGCGTGATCACGTCGAGCACGTCCAAGGACCAACGAGATATAGACGCCCGAGACGACCAGCTTCTCTCCAGTTACATTCTTGTCTTTTCTAGTGTCCGAGGGGATGGGGCAAGCACCCTCTCAGCCTGGTCCGCCGGGGACCAAGTTCCGCGTTATTGGAGCGGGCATGTAAGTGCTCCCTCCCAGCTCTGGGGTTTTCATACTAGGTCACTGGGCGAACCGCCGGGGAGAGATGGTGTAGTGCTGTGGGCAACCGACACATCAACTTGAATGGGAAGCATTGAATGCAAGGCGGTTGCATAGCGTACTTGCTCCGGGGCCGTCACGATTATACTCTCCCAGCATCCAACTCGATTCTGATCTTTGGGGCGTATACAGGTGTCGGACCGGTACCAAGACATTTAACGAAGCATTGACGATACTACTCAACGGCCCTGTCCATGATGCCGGCGTACAATCCCTCGGAGGCTCGTGGCACCAGATAAACCGCTGGCTCGAGATCATGAAACTGGCGCCCAAGGCCAAGACACTGAGCCAAAAGAAGTACCTCCAGTATTGTCTCGCCGACATCCTAGACGGCTATGTCGCGACTGTGGACAGCCCAGCGATTGCATTGACACCCGAATTGGTAAGATGAACCCTCCGTAAGAGCATCCAGATCCGCTCAGGATGATCCATACCTTTCCATACAATCGCACAGACGTGGGGAAAAAAAAAAGATTGACGGCCTCGGAAACAGATAGAACTGTACCCAGACGCGCTCGTCATCGCGACGACGCGGGACCCGGAGTCCTGGTGGAAGAGCATGAACCTGGTCAACGGCATGATGGCCAACTGGTACATAGTCTTCATCATCATGTTCGTGCCCAAGATCGGCGTCTACGGGCGGTGGCGCGTGCTGCTCATGCACCTGTCGCTGTGGCGCTACGGCGACCCCAACATCCACGAGGGCACGCTCAAGAAGCACGAGGACCACCTCAAGGCGGTGGTCCCCCCGGAGAAGCTGTACTGGTACAATGTCAAGGACGGGTGGGAGCCGCTGTGCAAGATCCTCGGCGTGCCCGTGCCCGACGTGCCCTTCCCGCACAACAACTCGTCCCACGAGGCCGGGCTGAGGTACAAGGAGGCCATCACCGCCGGCGTCATATCGTGGACGTTCGTCCTGGCCATGTGGTACGCCATCTACTGGTTCTTCTGGGGGAGGAGCGAGGCAAGGGGCATCTCCGGCTTATTCACCTCGGCCCTTCACCGCTAGAAACGCGGCCCTCGGCCCTTCTCCTCGTGCCCAAACCGTTCGACCGACTGAGCGAGCAAGCCAGCAGCGGGTCAGCCTTTCTTTTCATTTGCTGAGGGTGGAACCCTTCATGTGTATATATTATCCCGCAGACACGAAATAGCACCGTCGGAATCGACGCCATGAGGCTTATCCCCGAAGTGATTCCTGGGCCGGCTGATTATGGACTTGCACTGCAGGGTCTTGGAGCAGTTCCGGAATTTGAGAGGCTCCCGTACGCGGAGTTTTCCTTCGTGTGCACAGCAGCCCCCTAAGCACGGCCAAGAACGGCCGATCTGATTCTCTTTCTCCCTGCATGAGTTAGCTTGGGAGAACGGCAGATGAGAGAGAAGGAAAAAAGCAAAAAGCAAACGGCCCAACGGGTCATCTGGCATAAGGCCTGCATCAGCCGGCAGGTCCGAAGAGATTGAGTGCCTGTCGGTGTGCGGCCGTGTAACCCTGGCTAAGGCATCGCGAAAACGAAAATGCCCTCTCGATGCAGGGATGACCCGTCTACCTGTCACTCGGCCTTGATAAGCGCACTCGCTGGCGACCCGAAACATCGCCCTGACTGGCCGGCGGCGGTGAAACCAGCAAGAGAATCTTTCAACGTCGGACATGGTCAGGTCAGATAAGACGAAACCCTGCGAGTTCGCAACAGTGAGGCATGCAACGTTCGTCTGCTAGATAAGCGCTCGCCGAGGATGATGCCATTGTGTATACGATTCACGCAGAGCTTCGCCGTGAGACAAAAGGAAAAAAAAAAGACATCCATCCCTGCTTATAGATCTTTCCTACACCGCCCAAGTAAGCCTCGCGGGCGCCGGCGGCACTGACACTGACTCTGTCTTATCCCAAGGAGGGACGGGGCAAGACTCACTGGCACTGGATCACGAAGCTCATTCGCAGAGTTTCTCTTTCATTCTTTTTGTTGTGTATGACTTTGTGTGAAAAGGCAAATGCGTGATCTGCTCACCGCTTCGTTGCCGGCTTAGGTGAGGCGGTTAATCCTCGCAAAAAGCATGAAGCGAGTCTCTGTTGCGCATATCACCCCCGAGACAGGAGAAGGGAAAAGAAGGTTTCCGCCGTCCTTTGATACCTGCCAGCATCACCATGATCACTCGACACGGTTGGTCCCCTGAACCAGATCTGCGAGGAGACCAGGGAGGCAAGTACACGCGTCATCGCCTCGATAGACTCGCCAACCCGCAGTGTCACAGATCCCATGCCGGCCAAGAGTCTGGTTATCGGGCCATCATCGACTACCGTGTCGCGACATGCACGCCTCCGATACGTTCATGCGAGGAGGCTATTCCTTCCCGTTATCTACGGATCCTGACTAGATGCCGCAACCTTGTCGGCACCGACGTGGCAATCAGCCTGCGTATAAGTTGCGTCATGTCGCCGCCCTGACTTGCCTCCAGACATGCCCCTTTTACTCACCATATCACCACCCCAAGCCAGGATCACAGAGGTCGCTTTACCAAACGACCAGTCGTTGTATTGTCGACAACACTCTCTTTCTAGAGCAGAACATAGTGTGACAAGTCTGAGTGCAGTCTTGACCACTCTGACTCTTACTTGACAACGAACGGCTGTCTATACTCGCTTACTTATAGCCAGAGGTCCCGATTGGCTCTTTTCTGACTATAAGTGCACACACACACACACACACACACGCGCGCGTCTGGATCAACACCCGCCAACACACGCGATGTCATACAAGCTAGCCATATCCTCCATGTCCCTCGGCCGGGGCGTCGCCGGCCACGACCTCCAGGACAAGCTCGACATGGCGGCCAAGTACGGGTACGAGGGGGTCGAGATCTTCTACGAGGACCTGGCCGACCAGGCCCGGCGCTGGGCCGAGGAGGACGGCAGCCCGCCCGACCTGCTCGCCGCGGCCCGGTGCGTGCGCGGCCTGTGCGACGAGCGGGGGCTCAAGGTGATCTGCCTGCAGCCCTTTGCGCAGTTCGAGGGCCTGCTCGACCGCGCCGAGCACGCGCGCCGCCTGCGCGAGCTGGCCGCCTGGCTCGACCTCGCGCGCGCGCTGGGCACCGACCTCGTCGCCCTGGCCTCGAGCTTCCTGCCCGCGGGCCAGGTGTCGGACAGCCTGGGCCTCATCGTCGCCGACCTGCGCGAGGCGGCGGACCTGGCGGCCGGGGCCGGGGTGCGCCTGTCGTACGAGAGCCTGTGCTGGGGCACGCGCGTCGACGACTGGGAGGCCTGCTACGACGTCGTGTGCAAGGTCGACCGGCCCAACTTCGGCATGTGCCTCGACACGTTCAACATCGCGGGCCGGCTGTACGCCGACCCGACGAGCCCGACGGGCAAGCTGCCGCACGCCGACGAGGCCGTCCGGCGGTCCATGGCGCGGCTCATCGGCCGCGTCGACGCCGACAAGGTCTTTTACGTGCAGGTCGTCGACGCCGAGCGCCTGGCCAGCCCGCTGACGCCCTCGCACCCGTTCCACCAGCCGGGCCTGCCGGCGCGCATGAGCTGGTCGCGCAACTGCCGGCTGTTCTACGGCGAGGAGGACCGGGGCGCCTTCCTGCCCGTGCGCGGCATCGCGTGGGCGTGCCTCCGCGGCATCGGGTACGAGGGGTGGGTCAGCATGGAGCTGTACAACCGGCGCATGGGGGACGCGGACCGCGGCGTGCCCGAGGAGCTGGCGCGCCGGGGCGCCGTGGCGTGGGAGAAGCTCGTCGCCGACATGCGGGTGCCCGACTACCAGTACGACAGCAGCCTCCGGTCCACGCCCGAGTCGCCCTGAGTGTGCGCTCTCTTGTCCAGGGACGAGAGTCTCTTATTAGCTCGTGTGTCATATCGAGTCAATCCGTTTTGTCTGGCGTCTAGGGTAGGATATTCGATGGATGGTGGTCGGATGTGGGTATCTCAAGGATCTCACGGGCTCATGGCTTCTGGATCGTTTTTTTTTTAGTATTTTGAACAGACGGCTCGGCACACCTTGATCTTGTGTTTGCTTGGTATCCATTTTAGCTGTAGGCTTTCTCAAGGCAACAGGGTAGACTGCAAGGCCAGCAATGATAACACGCACCTATGAGAGCTACATTTCCTTGCTACCGTACACGACGCAAAGAGGTACACTGTCGTTCACATGCCAAAGAGAAAACACGAAATCCGTTAATACACGCAATCCTGAGCCCGAGAACAGAGAGATAAAAGCAGCCCGGCATATGTGTTCCACAGCAGGACTATCTTTCCGAGATCGAGACGCAAAGCTGCAGCCACATGCAGCTGCCCGGACGGACGAACATCAACGAGCCAGAGGGTATCAATTCAATACAAGTTCTACTTCCCACACCTCAATGCAGCACATAGCTATGCAGGCAGGCTAATCAAGCCCAGGAAACGTGACGCCCGGCTTCTTCTGCTGCCGTGCGCCCTTGCCCTTCTTCCTCTTCTTCTTGGGCTGGCTCTGCCGCCTCGAGCTCGAGTCGTCGCTGTCCGGGTCGTCGCCGTCGCTGCCATCCTCTTCGTCGCTCTCGGCGGAGCGTTTGACGCCGCCGGCCTCTTCGTCCGAGTCCTCCTCGGCGTCCTCGTTGTCGGCGTCCTCGCTGTCGAGCCAGACCTTGACCGTCCTGCCGCCGCCCGAGATCATGCGGCCCTGGCAGTCGAAGCTCACGGCGGTGACGCCCTCGACGTCGTCGTGCCGCAGCGTGAGCTGCACCTCGCGGCGCTTGAGGTCGACGAGGCTCAGGCTGCCGTCGCCGACGCCGACGACGACCTTCTTGCCCCAGCCGAGCTCGTCGGGCACGCGCACGATGGCGTCGAGGCTCTCGGCGTCCCTCCTGCCTTTGCCGCCGGCCACGTAGATGCGCTCCTGCTGGTCGTCCCACGAGCCGCGGTCCCAGAGCGTGAGGACGCCGGAGCCGGTGCCGACGGCGACGACGGCGTTGCTGCGCAGCTTCCTGGGGCCCAGGCCCGAGGGGATCAGCGTCGAGCAGAGCAGCTCGTCGTCCTGGTCCTCGGAGCGGGCCATGATGCCGTGGCGCAGGTCCGTCACGGCCAGCGTGCCGGCGCCGGTGCTGACCCACTGCTTGGGGAAGCCTGAGGTGCTCTCGGCGGAGGGGGGCAGCGGCGTCAGGGAGGTGACGTAGTCGTCGTGCGGCTTGTGCTTGCGCAGGGGCGTCGACTCGATGGCGCCGTTCTGGCGCAGGTCGAACAGGTAGAGGAAGCCGTCGTCGGTGCCGAGGAGCAGGGTCTGCGGGGACAGGGCGTGCATGATGGCGGGGGCGTCGGGCGGCGAGTCGGGTCGGGAGCCGGGGATGCTGATCTTGGAGGCCACGACGCCGGTCTCGGGGTCGAACTGTTTGACGACGGAGTCTTTGCCGGCGGAATATAGGGCTAGGCGAAGGGAAGACGGGTTAGTTTCCTAGCCATTGGTCCTTTGCAAAGAGTGTGGAAGGGAGTGAGCCCGCTTACTGGAGCCGTCATGGCTGTAGGCGAGACAGCGGCAGCTGCCCTTGTGCCGGCGGGTGCTCCAGACGGTCTTGATCAGGCCGCGCCCGCCCACGATGCTGCCATTCTCGTCGCTGCCGCCCTCTGGGCTGCCGTCCGAGGGGATGCGGAAGCACTCGACGTGGCCGCTGGACAGGCCCACGGTAAGAAGAGGCTCGGTAGGGTGGACGACTTGGGTGAAGAGCTCCGAGGTCAGAGGCAAGGTGCAGAGATTCTCCAACATGTTGCCCAGATTCCGATGGGGACCACACCCTCGTGATCCCGACCAATTGACCGATTAGTGTGTGGCGAGACGGTTGGATGGGTTGGTTGTGTGCAGCTCAAAACATGTGAAGAGGATCATCGGATGCGCATTTCGAGAATGTTTTTTTTCTCTCTCTGGGGTGGGTTTAGATGGGAATGGTACCTGAATCGCCGGACCTTCAGGGCTCGGTTCCCCACTCCTCCCCACATGTCAGCCCTGAGCCTCCCGTATCTCAGCCCCAAGTTTAAGTGCAAGCAGGTACCTGTCTGGGCCTAGTTGTACTTGTACACTCCATCTTACACTCGACCCTTGGAATGGACCTTGCACTCTCGATCGCAACTCGGAGTACGCCCTTGGTCAAGGTCTACGTAGTCTACCATGGGAGGCCAGCTTGAGGTGCAGTGCAGAGCATATAATTTCTGTAGAGATTACCTGAAGACCTGGTTGCGCAGGAATGTCCAGACAATGAAACACCCGGCCTGTCCCAAGCTGTCCCACAAATCACTTGCTGGCTCTGCTTGTACATTCCCGCCCTGCATCTGCAGGCTGGCAGACTCGTAACCAGCCACCTTGTAGCTGCGCACGCGCAAGATTGTCTTGATAGGATCGACACGTTGCTTGTCTGTCTTTTCTGAACCGGCTTAGATGGCTGTCGTATAGTATCCCCAACACGCATACAACACGCCGGCTGTCTCAAAGACAACCTCTCCCCGGCTACCCAGGTATCTTGAGACTACCTTAATCCACCATGAAGCTCCTCACCAGCGTCGTGGCCATGGTCCTGGCCCGGCTGTCGGCAGGCCTCGTCGCCACGGCGGCAGCCGCCTCACCAGCATCTCCGAGATGCGTCATGTACCTGACAGGGTAATTGCCTGCATACCCGACTCGCGTTGCTTCCCCCCAGCTGACCACCCGTGCCGTCCCGGCCAAAGCCAACACCCCGTCACGCCCGACGCAGCGCAGATGGCACGCGTCTCCCACGTCCTGCTGGCCTTCCTGCCCTCGGACATGTTCAACGGCGACGCCGGCGACGAGCGCACGACCTGGCCGCTCTTCACGTCCGTGGACGACGTCCGGCGGCGCTACCCCCCCGGCGACGCCGACGCGGCCAAGGTCATGGTCGCCATCGGCGGCTGGGGCGACACGCGCGGGTTCTCGGCCGCCGCGCGCAGCGCCGCGAGCCGCCGGCGGTTCGCGCGCAACGTGGCGCGCATGGTGGCGGCCACGGGCGCCGACGGCATCGACGTCGACTGGGAGTACCCCGGCGGCAACGGCGAGGACTACAAGCAGGTCCCCAACGGCGACAAGGCCTGGGAGGTCGAGGCCTACCCCTTGCTCGTGGCCGAGCTGCGCGCCGCCCTGGGCCCGCGGAAGCTGCTGTCGGCCGCCGTGCCGGGGAGGCCCGGCGACATGCTCGCGTTTACGCGGACGACGGTGCCGCGGATCATGAACCACGTCGACTTTCTCAACGTCATGACGGTGAGTACACCTTTTCGAGACCCCAAGCATCCAATCAATGGGCATCGGGGAGCCCCCTGGAAAAACTAAACATTTTCTTTTGTTGGACGCTCTACGTAGTACGATCTCATGAACCGCCGCGACAACGTCACCAAGCACCACACGGGGCTGCAGGACAGCATCGCCGGCCTGGACGCGTACATCCAGGCCGGCGCGGCCCCGCAGAACCTCAACCTCGGCTTCGCCTTTTACACGAAATGGGTCAAGACCGAGCACGCCTCCTGCCTTGTAAGTCATTCATCGCTCCCGTCTTTCATTCCAAGTTTTTTTTTTTATGCTAAACAGTTGGCCTCCCCCCCGACCCATCAGAAGGGCTCGCCGATCGGGTGCCCGACCCTGCTCCTCGAGGACCCCGAGACGGGCGCCGACCTCGGCCGCACGGGCGGCTTCGCGTGGCACGACCCGGTGCCCGAGGACCTCGAGGCCTCCTTCGCCCGGGCCAAGTCGCTCGGCCGGTACGACGAGTCCGGCGGCGGCGGGTACTACTACTGGGACGGCGAGGAGGACCTGTGGTGGACGTTCGACACGCCCGACGCCATCGCGCGCAAGTTCCCGGCCGTCGTCGAGGAGAAGAAGGTCGGCGGCGTGTTCGCGTGGGGGCTCGGGGAGGACGCGCCGGGGTTCGAGCACCTCGCTGCGGTGCTCCGGGGACTCGAGCGGCACGGGGCGGCGGCGGCGGGGGCTAGCAAGAATGAGCTGTAGTGCGGCTCGGTGTCTAGGCCTAGAAGAGAAGAATGTGACTTTCGACGTGACCCGATCGGCCTGAGAAGTAACACTTGTTCCCATTTTACTACGACGGAATGCCTTATTCGTAATTACAAAACTAGGTATGTGCTTCAGGAGTACCGTTCCTCGCCTGGAGGAAGTCAAAAGCATACTAGGGTGTTCGCTCCTGAGGAGCACAAAGGTGAAGGCCCATCCAAGCAGAAGAAACGCAGAACGCCGGGGGTATTCAAGGAGAAACTGCGGCACATCCAACCTCCTCCGCCCAAACGATCAAAAACCCATCCTATCCAGTAGAAAACGAATCATGCACCTGAGCGTATGCAGCCCAATCTACCTCCACTATGCAGGCCTCTCAAGCGCGTGAGATGCCACGCAGCGTTCAAGCGCCAGCATAGACACCAGGCTTGTTGTGATGGTGGTGGTCGACGGCATGGCCGCGCGACCGCAGCGCCTCGATCGTGTCCAGGGCGACGAGCGCCACGAAGAGAGCCCTGGGCATGGCAGTTTAGCAAGATGGAAGAAGGAGAACACAAAAACTGCCCACAGGCTCGTTCCCGAGCAAGCCATAAGAGAGAGAAAACAAGAGGAGAGAGCAGGCCATACCAGAGGAAGAAGCCAAAGGCGACGGCGGCCTGCGCGGCGCGGCACCAGCCGCTGGCGCCGCAGCTGTACGGCCCGCCGATGTCGACGGCGAGGGCGATGGAGCCCGCGAACCAGAAGAGCATGGTGACGGCCTCGAGGGCGAGGCTGGCGAGCCGGTGGAAGACGCGCGTGTAGTAGAGCGGGGTGACGCCGACGTAGGCGAGCACGAGCAGGGACCAGATGGCGTTGAAGAGCATGAAGTTGAGGACGTCCGGGGAGCGGGTGCCGCCCCAGGGGGTCGCGTAGGTGCTCACGAGGTAGGCGGTGAGGCCGAGCTCGATGACGGCGAACACGGCGGCCACGACGTGGATGATGGGGACGAAGCCGAGCGCCATGGCGGGCAGTCTAGTCTGTGTCTCTTGGGAGGGGGGTGTTTTGTCGTCGGGTGGGCTATTTTAGCAATTTGGGTGTTTTAACCGTGAGGTATCGAGGATGATCACGTCGAGGTCGAGGACTGGCAGGGACGGTATGCAGAGGATGGACGATGGGATGGAGTCACAAGATATATTGGAGGGAGAGAGAGGGAGCAGTTATATCCAGGCGCCATGGCGAGCAAGAGCATATTACACGTAGACATGCTTTTCATTTCCTGCAAGCAAGATCCTGGTCATCGTCGATTGGTAGCGATGACGTTGTCGGAGTGGGCTGGCCCGGCATGTGAGTGAGGATGCAACCTTGGCACCCACCAGCCACGGACCCTGAAAATCGAGACCCCCCGCCTGGATATTCGATGCCGAGTGTCCACGTCGCCCGGCATGGTTTCATCCGCGTGTTTTCCTTCCCCTGGGGATTTCCCATGGCAAGAAATCGAATAAAAGAGAGAGAGAGAGAGAGAGAGAGAGAGAAGACAAGTGAAAAAGAAGAAAAAAAAGACAGTAGCAAATGACCACCGTATGTGAGCTCAACATTACAATATGCCTCTGCGGTGTATTGCCCTTCTATGGAAGCCAAACCAGACGATCTGCAATTTGGTGGGTTGACGTCAGTCGCCCCTGCAAGCCAATGGAGAAGTACGGAGTATGACCCAAGAAAAACGGACTAGGTACCTTAGGTAAGTAGTTAGGTCCCAGATGGAATCAACATTAAAACCAAATTACCAAAGCAAATGCCCTTCTTCTATCCTGATGAAGAATCTGGCGTTTGGCCGCGAATCTCTGCTCATTGGCCAACCATGCCCACAGACGTACGTACCCGTTGCAGGGCGTGAATGTCTGTCCATCGAGCCCGAGGGCTGATTGCTGGGTCCGGGGTAGCATCATCTCGAAAGGCTCCATCCATCATCCATCTCCAGCAAACCTACTTTATCCAATACTTCATCCAACAATCACTTCCTCCCCTTCCTTCATCATTCCCCGCGTCGACCGCGTGAGGAAGAGAAGGAAGAGAAAGAATATTGTGGCTGGATTTAGCTCAGCGCTGCCGTGTGTGTCTCGGGACCGGCGATCGGCGTCGACAACCACTGGTCAAGGCCGGTCCGAGGCGCATCCAATCATGGCGCAGCTGAATCATGTTTTTCTCTCTCCCCCCAAGAAGAATCAGAGCAGAAGTCGCCGACGATGGACGCCGGGGATTTCTCTCCCGCTCTCTGTGTGGGGTGCGAACCGGAGGCCGAGAGAAAGCAGAGCAAACAGGAGTGTGCTCTGGCAAAGATGTTTGCCCCTTGGCCCGAGAGGCCATCCTCTGGTACTTATCAATTGGCATTGATAACACCCTCCTCCTCTCAGCCGCAGCGCAAACAAGCCAAGATGTTTGCTTTCCATCCATCTCGACCCTGCAGCAAGCGCGTGTCGGAGGGGAGGCAAGGGAAAAGGGAGGGAAGGGAGGGCGCCGCAAACATGTTGTCGGCATGCCAATCACATCGCTCGGGCATTTTGATTCTCCAATGAGGCCACGCGACATGCATCTCAGCTCTGATCCCTCCCATGGGGTTGACCTTTGATCTACCTATCTACTACAAGTACGAAGTAAGTAAGAGGTAAGGTAATCTTGCTCCACCCGAGATGGCGCAACAAGCGTGAGCTTATCTCTCGAGGTCGCCGTCTGGCCGTCTGGCCGTGAGGCTTTGCCTCTTTGGCTCGAGTTGACTCGATTGGGCCCAGTTCAGGGCTCCAGGGCTCCAGGGCTCCAGGGCCTGGTGGAAGCGCGGGCGAGGGCTGCTGGGTCTCCCGAAGCCACGCCCCCACATCTGCTGTTCTAGCACCCATCCGGCTCTGATTTCGGGTTGCATTCTCGCCCATTTCGCCCTTCTTGCCCTCTCAAAGCCTCCACACATTCGCTGGAGTCTAGCGAGCCCTGCAGTGCTTATCTGGATGTCTTCGACCATTGTCGGCCTGGTTTGTCATGGTTTGCAGATAAACACCCTTGCCCTGCCGACGCCCATCTCTATCGCTCTCCGCCTTCACATGTAGTTACAAGCAATGCATAGTTACATGCAACACACCGCGATGACACCCATCCACACGTCCTGATGCTGATGTATCCCTCCTTGTAAGCCACCTACCCAGACGCACATGTCCTCGGTGCTCAGCGCAATCCCATTTTTTAAAACGCGGGATGCGCCCACACACAAAAGCGTGGCCCGGAACCTGAACAACCTCTGAGCCTTCTCTCCCTCTTGGTAGCCTTTGTTCACCACGTTGGGACTTCTTCCTCTTTCTGTGTCAATCCGATCACACCAGCCTCGCGGTGGTACAGAAACTCACACAGACTGACCGCCACGTGAGACGTGGTCGTCGCCCGTCGCAATGGATGAAGACCAGTCGCCCTCGCGCATCGTCCCGGAGCCTCACCGGAGACGGCCGCTGAGCGACCGCGTCCGGGGCGCCAAGAAGGCCCTCTTCACCAGACATGGCCTCCTCGGCAACTATGACTACGCCTTCCTCTTCACCCCGACCCTGCCCTTCATGAAGCGCCCCGTGCAGGCCGCGCCCTTCTTCGGCCTGCACGACAAGACCCCCCTCCTGCTGGCCGTCCTGCTGGGCTTCCAGCACGCCCTGGCCATGCTCGCCGGCGTCATCACGCCGCCCCTCATCATGGCCGGCTCCGGCGGCGCCAACCTGCCCCCCGAGCAGCAGCAGTACCTGGTCTCCACCGCCCTGATCGTCGCCGGCATCCTGTCCTCGGTCCAGATCGCCCGCTTCCACATCTACAAGACGCCCTACTACATCGGCACCGGCCTCATCTCCGTCGTCGGCATCTCCTTCGCCATCATCCCCGTCGCCCAGGGCGCCTTCTCCCAGATGTACGCCAACGGCTTCTGCCCCTCCGCCGCCGACGGCACCCCGCTGCCCTGCCCGGACGGCTACGGCGCCATCCTCGGCACCGCCGCCGTCTGCGGCCTCGTCGAGGTCCTCATCTCCTTCATCCCGCCCAAGGTCATGCTGCGCATCTTTCCGCCCCTGGTCACGGGCCCGACCGTGCTCCTCATCGGCGTCAACCTGATCCGCTCCGCCTTCCAGAACTGGGCCGGCGGCTCGGGCCTGTGCGCCGGGTCGAACCCCCCCGCCTTCTTCGCCAAGTGCCCCAACATCGCCGCGCCGCACGCCCTGCCCTGGGGGAGCGCCGAGTTTCTCGGTAGGTGAATCCTTCCCTCCTTTTCTTTTCTTTTCTCTTCTCAATCTCCATGTCCTTTCTTGTCTCTTTGACTCACTAACTGACTAACTTACTTGCTCTCGGTGGCAGGCCTCGGCTTCTCCGTCTTCCTGACCATCCTGCTCTGCGAGCGCTTCGGCGCGCCCATCATGAAGTCCACGGCCGTCATGATCGGCCTGCTGGTCGGCTGCATCATCGCCGCCGCCTGCGGCTACTTTGACCGGTCCGGCATCGACTCGGCCCCCGTCGCCTCCTTCATCTGGACGCACACCTTCCGGCTGCAGGTCTACGGCCCCCTCGTGCTGCCCATCATCGCCGTTTTTATCATCTGCGCCTGCGAGTCCATCGGCGACATCACGGCCACCTGCGACGTCAGCCGGCTCGAGGTCGACGGCGAGGTCTACGAGAGCCGCATCCAGGGCGGCGTGCTGGCCGACGGCATCAACGGCATCCTCGCCGCCCTCATGACCATCACGCCCATGACCACCTTTGCGCAGAACAACGGCGTCATCTCGCTTACCCGGTGTGCGAACCGCAAGGCTGGGTTCTGGTGCTGGTGAGTCGTGTTTGCATATGTCCCCTTTTTTTTTCCCTTGCACATTCTTTTTTCCCCCTTTCCTTCGTATCGTTGAAGAAGGAGGGAGGGGGGAGGGGAGGGGAGCCTTTGTCAGCTAATTCTCTGTCTTGTCTTTGCGACAACAGCTTCTTCCTCGTCGTCATGGGCATCTTCGCCAAGTTCGCCGCCGCCCTCGTCGCCATCCCCAGCGCCGTGCTCGGCGGCATGACCTGCTTCCTCTTCAGCGCCGTCGTGGTCTCGGGCATGGCCATCATCAACCGCGGCGTCGACTTCAACCGCCGCAACCGCTTCGTCCTGACCGCCGGCCTGGCCCTCGGCTACGGCGCCACCCTCGTGCCCACCTACTTCTCGCGCGTGTTTACGTACCAGGGCGACAACAAGTCGCTGCGCGGCTTCCTCGACGCCATCGTGCTCATCATGGAGACGGGCTTCGCCGTCTGCGCCGCCGTGTGCATGATCCTGAACCTGACGCTGCCGCCCGAGGTCGAGGAGACGGTGGAGAATGTCGCCGGCGGCGGCGGCGTTGCGTCACCCCACGGCGGCGGTGGCGACGTGCGCCGCCAGGCTGACGAGGAGCGTCTGGATGATAAGGAGATGCCGAGGGTGGGCAGGCCGGCGGAGAGCTCGGAGTCTTAGTTTGGCAGAGGTGGCTACGTTAGTCGAGTAGTAAGAGCTTTAAGATTTTGAATGCAAAAGTTTCATCTTGGCTACAGTGTGCCGATTATTTCTTGTCCAAATCAATTCGTATGCTAAGTGCAACCCGTGCGAGCTGGAAATGCTTCTGCAGGCGTGTCATGGTGAGATCCAGAGACATCCCCTAGTCTCGTGTGCCTCCAGAAAATGGCTGTGGGTATCTCCGGTGGCAGGGATCCTTCCCGCAATTCTAAAACCACATTACCAATCACACGCACGAACATCACCAGATAGCGAACCAGCGTATCCTCGGTCTCGGTCTTCCAATCTCATCGGAAGGAAAAGGACTTTGCTTCTTTGCTTCACAGTTTACACAAAAGAACCTCGCACAAGCCCCCCAGGTCGTGCATCGCGTGGCAAGCCCATGGCCGGCCACCCTGTCCGCGTGCGCCTCGCCTGCGACCGGTGCCACGCGCACAAGCTCCGGTGCCCGAAGCAGGCCGGCAGCCCCGTCTGCACCCGGTGCGCCCGCGCCGGCGCCGCCTGCGTGTTCAGTCCGCCCGGAGGCAAGGCGCCATCTGCACCACCTCGAAACGAGGCCGGGGCCCCGGTCAGCCCCGCCGCCGCCCCGGTGGTGTCACAACACACGGAGACGCCGCCGCCGGCCTTGCTCGGCAATGATGAAGTGGACTACATGGACCAGTTCCTGGACGCCACCGGCCTGACGTGGCCGATGATGTACCAGGAGATGGAGATCGATCCTGGCTTCGGGGTGATAAGCCCCGACGCTGAGGCGGCGCCGGGGCCAGGACAGGACTGTCCGCTTATCAACCCCGCTGACACCGCACCGTACCAACGCGCAGAGGCACCGCCACGGCCGTCAGCGCCCGCAGACTCATCGCCGTCTTCTCCGACACTGGACGACAACAACGACGACGGCGCCGCGGCGGCGGCGGAGCAGCCCGGGCCGCCGCCGTCCACCACCACGCACCGCCTGAGCGGAGTCCTGCAGGACCTCGACTCCGTCCTGCGCGAGCTCCCCGCCGAGGGCGAGCTCCTGCCGCACGTCCGCTACGGCGACGCGGCGTCCTTCCAGCAGAAGCTGCTGGCGCTCGCGCAGCAGCAGCAGCGCGACTACAGCGAGACGCTCGAGCGGCTCTTCCGCAGCTCCCAGGCCCTGGTCGAGCTGTACCCGTCCGCCGTCGCGGAGGCCCTGGGCGGCGGTGGAGGCCTCGGCGACGACGACAGCAATGACAAAAACGGCAGCAGCAGTAGTAGCAAAAGGCCTCGGGGGGCACGACAGGCCTGCGAGATCCCCGACTGCGCGCACGAGCTGCCCACGCCGCGCGACCTCGCGGGCCTCAGGGACCTCCTCCTCCCCCGGCGACACGAGAGCGACCCCGGGCCGTCCGCCGACGCCGTCGACGCCGCCCTCGCCTCGCTGCTCGTGGCCTGCCACCTGCGCTTCCTGGACGTGCTCGACGGCCTGTTCGCCTGCGCCGTCGCCTGCTTCACCGCCACCGCCGCGTCGCCCGGCGGCCTGGCGGAGCCCGACTTCGACCTGCCCGAGGTGCGCGTCGGGTCGTTCGTGCCGCCCCGCGGCTCGCGGGTCCTGGTGCAGGCGTTCCTGCTGCGGCAGGTGCTGCGGGGCCTCGGCAAGGGGGCCCGGCGGCTCGCGGCCGCGCTGGAAGAGGGAGGAACGCGGGCAGGAGGGGAGGACGGCGACAGGTCGGTGGCGGCGCGCGAGGTGCGGGCCCTGCGTCTGCAGTGCGAGGTCCTGAGGGAGAAGCATGCTGCGCGGGAAGAAAGGTGCCAGGATGTGGCCGCCGCGCTGGTCAGGTTCGAGATGATGAAGTGAGCAACTGCCGTCGTGGAACATGCGTTCTGGATCGCTCTAGGCGGCTACTGAAGTGCGCCCGTCCGGCCGGCTATACTTCCGGAGAGCATTTGGGGGCATTCACTTCGCCAGCCTGGATGAGGGTGCTTGGTATGCATGGCCGGCATCGGCGATGTCAAAAAGTCATTTGTTCTTCTGCGGCTTTCGCGCTGTATGACGGAGGCGAGATGGCGCTGGTGATCGTTTCTCATGATCGAAGTCAGGTGCCAGGGCAAGCCATGAAATTCCCTTGGGGATATTGCCAAGGCGATACGGACGCCACAACCCGTTACCGGGCCGTTACTTGTCAGTTGTTCCCTGGGTTCGTGGCTGGCTTGGCTACAGCCAAAGCATCGACCTCTCTCACCTGCGTTCGGCTTCACGACAACTATACCGCCTGATATGTGACCGCCGCTGGCCCGTGGCCCCCATCAGATGGGTTGGCCACCAACAGCCAGGTGTGATGCGACAGACATGACGCCTACGTCACCCTATACTCCCCCATGGTCTTCAGATCCATTTCACGTAGGCATATCCCTTATAATAGTCCTAAGCACGTCCCTATGTCAACCCACTAAGACTGGTTGGTTGGCTCAGTGGGATAGAGCACCGACCAGCGGAGAGAAAATCCGACTTGCCATCGCACCTCGGCGAGGAAGAGATTCTCTTGACAGACACTACCGGGTTCGATCCTGGGTTCCAGCCACGATTTTTCAGCTTGCTGACGCAGCAAGCTGACGAGGCACAAGGAGCCCACCTCGAGGGGATGGCTTCGTCCCTCCCTCAGGACAGGAGGATCGGACTCGGGAAGTCTTTTTGTTTTTTGTTTTTGTTTTTTTGGCTGGTCGAGATTGGTGATAATTACTTTTCTCTCCTTTTTGATGGACAACACAGAACCAACGCAACCTTGACGAGTCTTACCAGCCCTTTGTTCATCCTTGTTTCTGGACAATGCTTATGTTGCAGAGACCCCCTTGTTCTCTTTGTCAAAGAGAGGGACTTGTGGACACAATGGACCCAGTGAACAGGGTCTTTGTTGGTATGGTAAAGAAATATCACCATAATTACAATGGTCTTGTCTGGGACAAAGCGCATGTCGACATCTCAGTACGTGTATAAAAACGCCGTGATGCTTTCGCAACAAGGCCATCTTAATGCACCTCATCAGCAGCACTACCGGCCATACCTTCACGGCAAGCTCTTCCACACCAATTATTCGAGATTACTCGGCGCTTGAGATCGCCCTGTGCTATATGGTTCTCGCGTCGCTGATATATTCTTGCGAGCTGCGAGATACCTGCGAGAATGTGCAAGGTTCCGGCCGTTGCCCACGGTTGCGGCCACCCGTATATCGACATCAACCATATGCACGAGACTCAGTTTTGCCCGCAGGGCGTAGCCGAAGGAGACGTCTGCTCAAAGATGCAGTATGTGTTCAAGAACAACATCAATAATCCTATCCCGCTTTCCTGTCTCAACTGTCTGGAGCTGAAGGCGATCGGGGCCTCCACGTACACTGAAGCCTTGCGCCTGACTCTGGCGGAAGCGAAGGCCCTCAGTGCAAAGAACCCCCAGTGGAAGAATTAGTATATGATATAGAACCCATGGACTCAGAACTTCAATTCTATTCATCAAAATTCAAAGTTTGGAATGCGTGTTATTGTGTTCATCTTTATATTTTGTTCAACTTGCGACTCTGAAGTGAGCAAGCTGACTAAGAATTATAATAGTGGTCGCGAATCGCGAGATGCGAGACCAACCTGCATAAAACCTGCCCGAGCTCCACATCTCAACATCCCGAGCTCAAGCTCGCCAAGATCCCCTTTGCTCATTTTCCATTCCCCTTCCAGCACCATTGCAAAACAGACTGGACAGTCATTCAAAACAATGGCTGAGCACCCGTCCTTTACCCTCGCCGGCCTCCGTAAGTGCCGGGAATCGTTCGTCCCTCAGACCCGCCCCTTGCTAACCCAAGCGCCCGTGACATCTCAGTGGCCGCCGGCGGAACATTCGGCTACGTCCGCACGCGCTCCCTGCCCTCCCTCATCGCCGGCCTCGGCCTCGGCGTCTCCTACGCCTACGCAGGTATTGCTGTCTACCCCCCAGTCTTCCTAGGCACGGCACAGACCCGATCCGGATCGACTGATATGCAACAATGCCAGGCTACCTCCTGAAGCAGAACAAGGACTACGGCGCGGAGCTCGCCCTCGGCAACAGCGTCGTCCTCAGCGGCGCCGCCGTGTCCCGCATCGTCAAGACGGGCGGCAGGGCGCCCGTGCCGCTCGGCCTGGGCGTGGCCGGCGGCCTCGCGACCTACTACTACCAGAAGAAGGTGCGCGAGTTCCGGTACGGTGTATAGTGGAACCCGAGAATGTGTGGCCGCCCGCTCGGACGAAGAATAGGGATGTGTCTACTATGTATCAAGAAAAAAAGGCCCTGTACATATACTGCTGTTCTCGCATATCGCTCCGGACATGACTTAAAGAAACTATGGCTGCTCCCCTCTTATTTTCATGATATATCCTGGTCCTATTTTGCGAAGCTGCAAGTCGGAAAAGAGTAATGCTAAGGGGAGTAGGAAGGCTCTGAACAAATACTGGGAGTAGCACCGCCAGAGTGTTCATTCGTAGACATATCAATACATATATCACTTCGATGATCCCTCTTAGTACACCAGACATCACGGTACACATCAGGCCATGTATTGTCAACAATACTGTTATAATGCTATCGTGCCAAGTTGGGTGTGTTCGTTCGTCTATCATCACAAACCGTTCAGAACCCGTAGTACTCACTCGCCCTCGGACTTCGAGGAAGAGGAGCCTCCAGACCTAAACTGCTCCAAGCTCTTTTGCGGATTGCCCATGCCCACTGCCCAGCAACCATCCCGGTTAGCAGCTGCGATAACCCCAAGACAAGAAAGTGCAAAAAACGGGGTTTAGAAAAGAGAGGACTCACATCGATCAAACAGATAGTACGAAGTCACAAGCAAGATGGGCAGCGCCACCATGAGCCGCGTGTACCTCGACGCGGCCTGCTTGTACTGGCCCCCCGCGCCGCCGGAAGGGTCGGCGGCCGTCGCCGGCTTGTCCGGGTGGACGGGCGGCTCCGACGGCTTGTCCTTGTGCATGGACGACAGCACGTCGCTCCTGGACGGCGGGGCGTTGGTGGCCGAGGGCCGCGGCGCCGTGCCGACGCCCGGGTTGCGGCTGGCGCCGGCCTCGCCGCTGGACGTCGTCCCCGGCGTCGACAAGGGGGTGCCGGCGCCGGAGTCGCTCGGCCGCGCGGCCTGCAGGGCGTCCTTGGCGGCGCTCGGCGTCTTCTTGCGCAGGTCCGAGGCCGGCGGCTCCTGCTGCTGCTGCTGCTTGCTTGATGACGACGAAGACGACGCCTTGCGGGTGGTCGTCGTGGTCGCGGCGGCCTTTTTCTTGGTGGCGGTAGTGGTGGCCGACTTGGCTGCGGACGCAGACGATGTCGCCTTGGTCGAGCTCGCCCTGGTGGTGGTGGTGCTGCGCTTGGCGGGTGCCGCGGGAGCAGCGGCCGTCTCGAGGGCCGCGGCGGGTGCGGACGCCGCGGCGGCCTTTTTCCTGGTGGCCGTGGTCGTGGTCGTTTTGGGCGCGGCGGGCCTGGTGGTGCTCTTGGTGCTGATCTTCTTCTTGGGCACGGCGGCGACATCGACGGCCGGCTTCGCCTTGGGGGCCTTGGCCGGCTTGGTGGCCGTGGAGGCGAGACGCAGGGCCTGGCGGGAGAGCAGGGGCGCGGGGACCGATGCTGCGGCCGACGAGGAGGCCAGCTGGCAGGTGTAGCACCGGGCCAGCGCCCGCGTGTTCATGGCGAGCCGGGACATGGAGGGCTGCTTGGACGGTGACCAGTCCAATCGATATCAGAGGACCTCTATGGCGTAGAATGAGAGTAGGTATCTGGCACACACACGCGGAAGCTGAGTCGGGTGTGTGTAGAGGTAAATGCCCCGCGTCACAATGGTGAGGGGATCCAAAGCCGAGAAGGAGTGAGCGTGTGGCAAAAGGTTGTCTTGTCAAGGAATGAGGAATGCGTGCAGAGAGCTTGAGCCGGGGTCCGTCGAGATGTGTCACGTCCTGTTTGTTGAGCTGTCTGACGAGGATGCCGGGGTTTGGGGTATTAAAACAAACACGCAGAGGAATAGTAGGCCGCAATTGACCAATGGATATGTGCGTAGATGTGAGGTTATGGCATGTATTGGCCGAGCTAGCTCTGACGATGAGGCGAGGGATCCGTTGCCGTGACTGATGATTCAATCATTTCCGCCCACCATGTGGGGACCTCTGGGAGGGAGCGCGTGTCTTTCGCGATCCCAATTTAACGTTATTCATGCGGATGACCTCCACTGGAAATTGGGGTCTCTTCAGTGGGTTCAGGGTGCTAAATGGAAATCATTACAGCATTCGATGATGGCTTGAAAAGTATAAGCTACGAGCCTGCCCACCAATTTAGCATTCCAAGTCAAGTACAGTTACACTACAGGACCGCCCGCTGTAGACTAAACCAAAAGCTTCTTCTGAGAGCTGTGGGCTTTCCGTCATCATCAAGTCACAATTACGGAAACACGTTATCAACATCAATGAACCGCAAACCCGGGTTTGCACTTCAAAAACTAAACTGCAGTTCCCTCCTACTCATGCTTGTCATGTCATTAGGTAGCTCGGAGATCCGATGTACGGAGGTGCTGTGATCCAGCATGATCTGCACGTCCAGACAACATCGAGATATAAATTCTATTTCTCATCGCATAGCTGATCCGGGTGAAAGAGCATCAAGAGTCTGTCTGTCCCCCTTTTTTGGCTTATCTTTCATCTAGTTATACACACCTTGCAACACATTTTCCCAATGTTCCGCTGCCAAAAATATGCAAAGTTGCAAACAGCAAAAGCAAAATTGGCACATGCGCCCCCCAACGCCAATCAAATGTGAACGATTGATCCCGTGCGCAATCCCGGCCCTTTCTCCTCCTCCTCCTCCTCCTCCTCCCTCGTGCCCCTTGAGTGATTAGATATATATCCACACAGCCTCAGTCGTCATCGGTGTACCGCGGCCCGCTCGCACCGGGCGTCTCCGCCGCGCCGCCATACGCGGCCGGCGTCGGCGCGCTGTAGTAGCCACCGCTAGCCGCGGGAGTCGGCGCGCCAGCAGCCGGCGTGGGAGCCGAGTCCGCACCCCATCCGCCCTGCCAGCCACCGCCCGGGGTCGGGGCGTTCATGGCCGCAGGAGTCGAGGCCGAGTAGGCGCCGGGGGTGGGCGCGTTCATCGCACCGGGCGTAGGCGCACTCAGGCCAGCGCCAGGGGTCGGTGCATCGTAAGCGTGTGAAGAGCCGCTCGGCCCGGGCGTGTAACCCCACGTGTCATTACCGCTTGCACCGGGAGTGGGTGCCGACACGCCGTAAGCAGGCGTCTTGGACCCGGCACCCCAGGCGTCGCTGCCGCTGCCTCCGTACGCCGGCGTTTTGGAGCCCAGGCCGAACCCGTCGTAGGCGGGGGTCTTGGCACCGGATGACCATGCCGGAGTGCGGGAGCCTGATCCGTAAGCAGTGCGGCTGCCGTCGTATGGGTTGACAGTCCTCGATCCGTCCGCCCAGGCAGGAGTTCGCGAGCCGGCCATATCGGATCGGCTCCATGCCGGGGTGTGTGCAGTCGCTGCAGGAGGGCCAGTTAGCAAAAACACCAAGTATATCGAGCAATCCAAATCCCAGAGGCTTACCTCGTCCTGAGCCCCAAGCCGGGGTGCGCTCTCCGCCCGAGGCGACCTGCGGTGTACGACTGCCGCTGCCCTGCCAGTCCGGAGCACCACCGCCGCCGTATCCGCCGCGGCCACCACCGCCTCCGGCTCCTCCGCGACCAGAGAAGCCGCCCCTCGAGTTGATGTCAATCTTGGCGCCAGTGACTTTGTCTCTGAATGCGAGATCAGCCTTGGGAACCGTGATGATCTTGCCCTTGGTGTGCAGCTCGACGCGGGCGTGCGTATCCGTCGTGTCCTTGACAATGCCAAGAAGACCCTTGTAGCCGCCCTTCTTCACCGTGACAGTCTGTCCTATAGCGCGATCGCGGCCAAAGACCTTTTGAGGGGCTTGCATCGAGTTGCCGCCGTTAGGGTTTCGCTTGAGGGCCGGGTTCATCGAGTTCAGATCGGGGCCACTGGCCATGGCGTTCACGCGTCCGCCCTTAGCGGCGATGGTGTTCACGTTGCTCGCCCTGGTCACAAAGACGCCGGCATTCTCATTTGTGGTGTTGCTGTGCAAGAAGATGTAGGACCGGTAGATGTGGAGAATCTTGCCCTGGCGCTGCTGGCCACCGTACTCTCGGACAACATCGTCCAGCCGAATCTCGGACCCGTTGCGGTCCGCAGCAACAGCCGTCTTGCGCTTGGGGAACTTGTTGCTGATCTGGGAAGGCATAATCTGCCTGATGTCTCCATTCTGGTCCAGAACCACGAGTGACTCACGATCGACCTTGACGATACAAGCGACAGTGGTTGGATCCAGCTGGACGAGATCGAGCAGCGAGTACTGGCCTAGAGAGCCCTGGCCACCAATGTCGCTGGCTTCGCGCAGATCCTTGCTGAACACGGTGATCTCGTTGTTGTTCTGGTCCGTCAAAATGGTCACTTTGTCCTCGGAGATCTTGACGACCATGCCCACTTCGTCGCGGAACCGTCCTCCGATGACCTTGACATGGTCACCAGGATCGAAGCGCTTGCGCAGTCCCTTGACGGGAACCTCGATCGTCTGGCCGACAAGATCGCCCGTAGTGACCTGCATGGTGACGATGTCGCCCTGCACGTTGGTTGCCTTGCCCACCACGCCCTTTTGCTCACCGTCGTAGACCTCGATGATATCGCCGGGCAGATAGGCAACGTTGGAGCTGCTGTCCTTGAGACTGGCCGCGAGGGCCTTGAGGTCGAGATTCTCGGTTCCGTCCTCGGCACCCGAGGCGAACTTGGTGACCTCCTCAAGCGTCGGGCTAACGTCCTTAACCAGTAGCTGCTGGATCTTGATGTCCTTGACCATGAAGCCGCTCTCGAACTCGTCGCCCATATACGTCCAGCTGTTCGTCTGCGGGTTACCGGTGATGTGCCGAGGGTGGCGCTTGCGGGCTTCGGCCTCACTGAAGAGTCGTTGAGGGGGGCGGGGGCCCGGCATACCAGGCGCGCGCTTGCGCTTGCCGTCTGGGGTCATGACTGCATTATTGATGGCCTCATCCCGCACGCCGTAGTCAAGGCGGGGGATGAAGCGCACGCGCGCTTCGAGTCCGTTCTCGGTGACGTCGAGCACCTGAGCGAGATCGTTTGCGTATTTCGCAGGCTTGCGGAGGCGGACCCATGCGCCCGGCTCCAGCGTGGGCGTCTTTTGGACCCGGAGGAGATCGGGCATGTCCTTGATCTCGACCAGCATCATCTTCGTTCGTGGGTAGACATTAAGGAGCCCATCGAGCGCGACGAGAATATCGGTCTGCCGTAGGGCCTCGACATAGATGTAACCCTTCATGACGGACTGCGGCCCACCGCGCTCGAAGGCGGCGGTGATGGCCAGCTCGTCCTTGGTGCCCAGCCGCTCCTCGATCCTCTTCATGATGGAAAAGACGACCTCGCGCTCCTTGCCCTCCTTACACCGCACGGCCCAGATGCTAGGGTCGTCGACGCTGGGGAGGAGGAGTCGCTTGGGCACAACGGTCGAGTCGCCGAACCCCCTGGCAGCGCGGCGGGCACCATAGCGCTGCTTGAGAATTTCTGCCTGCTTCTCGGCGTCCAGGCTGGCCTCCAGCTCGCGGCGGCGGTCGAGCTCCCGATGTCTCCTATCATCGTCGAGGGCGCCGCTCTCCGCGATGTCATCCGGGTGCGCGTTATCGATAAAGTCTTCAATCTCCTCACCCTCCTTCTCTTCATCCTCGGCCTCGTCTTCGTCATCGACCTCGGCTTCGATATCGAAGAAGGCGGCTCGCCTGTCGCGGCGTCGCTTACGTCGATGGCCCTGTATTCCCACTATTAGTCTACCCCCAATTTTTACGCTGTCATGGAAACAGGAGGCAGGAGGAAAGGGTAACGGCGGCGCGTGGATTTCGAATGGCACTGCCATTCAGCTGCCTCAAGGGCTTTGTGATAAGGATAAACTCACGCCTTGAACGTCGTCGTCTTCATCATCCTCTTCCTCTTCTTCATCTTCGTCCTCGTCAAAATCGTTCTTCCTGGTGTCCTCTTCTTGATCCTCATCGCCATCCTCAGCGTCGGATCCCTTGTTCGAGCTGCGCGAAGGGCCGTTGGCCGGGCGAGCATCGTCCTCATCGTCGTTGTCATCATCTCGCGCGGGACTGGAGCGCTTGCGGTCGCTTGCACCCTCGTCGTTATTGTTCTCGTCATCAGACAGGTCGGCTGGGGCAGGGTTGAAGTTGTCGTCCTCCGACTCGGACTCGTCGAAACGAGGCTCGTGGGACGACATCTTGCCCGTGTTCTGATGGACCGCCCTAGGTACTCGTGGATGAAAGCAGGTGTGTCGAGGAGAGGCAGCGGAATGAGATGCGAACAAGGGTAAGAAGGGAGGCCAAGGAAGAAAGAAGAGGGAGATGATGGCAGTTCTTTCAAGGTGAGGTAAGGCAAAGAAAGGTGTTTGGACCTCTAAGAAAGAGAGAGAGATGCTTGAAAGGCTCGAGGTGTTGCTGCGCTAGGCTGAATCAGGTTTAGCACCCATTTCGATCAATCAATTGGATCCGCCGCCTTGCGTTGAGTGGGCGACTCAATGGCGAGCCTGTCTGCTGAGCAGCCCAGCTATGTTTGTACCTCCAGCGCTATTGTTTAATGGCTCAGATGGGGGACTAGGCACCTGGAGACGGTACCTGGCGCACCCGACCTTCAGCTTTGAGCCGCCCCTCCAACCTCCAAAGCTTCCATTCCTCCACCGCCTTTGCCTTACCTAAGACCATTTCCCCTGGCACGGCCCCCCTTCCTGGCTTGTGCTTGATATTGTCGATTTGGGCTAACGTACTTGCCTTATCTTGTCATCCTGGCTGATGTGTTTGTTGCCCGACCACCACCGCCACTGCGCCTTTTTCCCTGACGAGGTTTCTCATTGACACCTGGCCCGTATTGGGGGCCTCTCGTCGGGTCATTGAGCAGGAGCCATCCGCTGCGCACGCCATCACTTGGGTGGTGCTCATTGTCGGTTGTGTCTGAGCCTCCGAGCTTTGGGCCGCGGGGGGGAACGATCGCATTGGCCATGCCGCGCGCCTCTCCAACTGCCTTTCACATCTCCGTACACTCTCGAAACTAACTCTACCCGACTTTTCCACCTTCGTCCAAACTACGCCGACTGATCTGGGCCCCGAGGAAATCAAGTCTTTGAGTACAAGGCGTCGATTTGTGGTTTGGTGCTTGCTGGAACCCAAACCGTCTCTTCACACCCCAACTCAACTCCTCCACCTCAAATCGCCAGGATGGATTCGCCATTGAACAACGCCGCGATGGGCTCTGCCGTGCCTAACGTGCTTCGACCCGGAGGCTCTCGCAGCACGCCCCTAGGCCTTGCCGACATCCGCCCGCGAGCGGATTCTAGCCTCTCCGATGGCATGCCTTCGAACTACGAGTCGTCTAATGCGCAACCGGGCACGAGCAATTATCTTGCGCCTTGGGCGGTCTACGCTTTCGACTGGTGCAAGTGGCCGTCGCAAGGCAGTGGTGCAGGGAAGATTGCACTGGGCAGCTATCTTGAGGACGGACACAACTTTGTAGGTCACTCCGTCCTGACCTCTCCCCGGTTCCGTCGTTGTCTCGGTTGCCGTTGCTGACAAGATGCGGCTCACAGATCCAAATCCTCGACACCCAAATAGCACCGACCCCGGCAGACGCCTTCGCCTCGGGCGGCTCCAAGTACACGATGGAGTTCACTAAGATTGCCGAGGCCACGCACTCGTACCCGGTGACGCGATTGCTTTGGGAGCCGCCGTCATCGCAGAAGCAGTCTACTGACCTGCTCGCGACGTCTGGAGACCATCTCAGGCTGTGGTCGCTGCCGGCCGATACCCCGGCCCCGTCCAACAACTCGATCACGAGGAACGCCAGAGATGCGCCCACTACCAAACTGACGCCCCTGGCCTTGCTTTCCAACTCCAAGACCCCCGACCACACCGCCCCGCTCACCTCACTGGACTGGAACACTGTCTCCCCTAGTCTGATCATCACCTCAAGCATCGATACTACCTGCACCATCTGGGACATTCCCTCCCTTACCGCCAAGACGCAACTAATCGCGCATGATAAGGAGGTGTACGATGTACGCTTTTGCGCCAACAGCGTTGACGTCTTTGTGAGCTGTGGCCAGGACGGTAGCGTTCGCATGTTTGACTTGCGGAGTTTGGAGCACAGCACTATCATCTATGAGCCCACGGGCAAGGATGACAACAGACTAGGTTCGACCAAACCCATCTATAGCCTGCCTCCAATAAGCACGTCTTGCTAACTTCTGACAATGACAAAGATACCCCCGGCGGCAGGATCAGTCCCACGCTGGCCCAACAGACCATGTCACACCCGCCTCCTCTCCTTCGTCTGGCCACTTCTCCTCATGACACCCACCTTCTAGCCACCTTTGCCCAGGACTCGAATGTTATCCGCATCCTTGATGTCAGGCAACCGGGACAGGCTCTGCTCGAGCTCCGCGGGCACGGGGGAGCCCTCAACTGTGTCGACTGGTCACCACACAGAAGAGGTACGCTGGCGTCTGGTGCCGACGACTGCGAGGTTCTGATCTGGGACCTGCTCAATGCAAACTCGTCACCCTCCAGTCAGGCGCAGCCCCCTAACGGCGGTGCGGCAGCGGATAGCGCTAGGAGCCCAGTCGCTGGTTGGCAATGTGACTACGAGGTAGGCAACCTAGGCTGGGTCCCTCACCTAAATAACGAATACGGCGAGTGGCTGGGTGTCAGCGGAGGACGTGGTGTCTGGGGCGTTCGGCTTGGATGATTCAAAACTTTATATATGGCTATAGACGCGAATTCCTTTTGGCTGGTCTTTGCTCTTCTTCTTCGAGGCCAGGAAGACGCGATGCGCGGCGGCGCGGGTTGCGCTGTCGACGGAGCGAATGTATCCTTGTGCACTAGTATCCGGTCATAGCGGGCGTGTTCATCGATGGCTGTATGGTAGATCACATCACTACAAGAAGGTTTCTAGCGGTTCACTTCTTTGGCCCTCCCAATGCCGTGGTTTAACTCCTCGATTACAGATGCGCCTTGGAGCTGCCTTCACTGATGTTGACGACGGCTTTGCCCCAGATCTTCCTCGATGAAATGTCATTCAGGGCCTCGGGCACCGACTCGAGCCCGTTGTATGCCTTGTCAAACACCATTGGTTTGATCTTACCGCTGTCTATCAGCGGCGCAAGCTCCTCCCATATCCTCGCGTTCTCCTCTGGATCCCTCCTGAGCGACTCGCCGTATCTCTAGAAGAAATGGTCAACCTCTGGGTCCAAGACATGAGTGACGGGGTGGTACTCTACTCACATAACCGATCAACGAAACCTGCTTCAGCAACACCCGATTCATGGCAATCTTCTCGATGCTGCTCTCGTCCCGCGCCGCGAACCCGACGACCAGCACCCGCCCCCTGTGCGCGACGCACTTGAGGCTCTCGTCCACCCGGCCCACGGAGTCGTAGACCACGTCCACGCCCTTACCCCCGGTCAGCTCGAGCACCCGCTCCCACCACCGCGGCCCGGCGGCGGCCGTCGTCGCGTCGACGCAGTCGTGCGCGCCGCACCGCCGCGCGACGGCGCACTTGGCGGCGCCCGAGGCCAGGGCGATGACGCGGCAGCCCCGCGCCGCGGCGACCTGCACGGCCGTGCAGCCGAGCCCGCCCGCGGCGCCGAGCACGAGCACCGTCTCGCCGGGCGCCAGGCGCCCGCGGGTGACCAGCGCGCCGTAGCTTACGGGCAGGGTGGCGGCGAGGCCCGCGGCGTCGGCGAAGGACCAGCCGTCCGGGACGGGGCGGAGGCCGGAGGTCGGGGCCGCGACCTGCTCGGCGTAGGAGCCGAGGGTGCCGCCGAAGACGCGGTCGCCGGGCTTGAAAGAGCGGTGGGAGCCGGAGCCGGAGGAGGGGCTGGAAGGCGGTGCGGAGAGGACGACGCCTGCGAACTCGAGACCTAGGGTGAAGGGCGGTTTGACCAGGGAGCGGTTGTTTTGGTGCTTGCCGCGGGCCTGGCGGGGTTTGGGTTCAGTTGTGCGTGATCTGTTGGGGGAAAGAGAAAAGACTTACGTAGAGGGTGTCGACGAAGTTGACGCCTGCGGCTTTGACTTGCACGATGACTTCATCCTTCTTGGCCTTCGGGGGCGGGATGTCCTCCACCTGCAGCTCGGTGTAGTTCTGGACGGGGATGTGTTAGTGGGCGGTGGAAGTGGACTGCGATACGGGAGCTGACTTACATCTACAAACTTGCTCACAACGACTCCTCTCATGGCGGCTTGCTGCGTGATGTGTGATCAGTAGCAATGGAACATCAATATCTCATTGAGACTACATCATCACCGACTCTATGAGGCGTGGTCATAGGCGTCGCTAAGATCTGGGGTAGTTTCCGCCCGCGGCTAACAATGCGGAGGAGGACCAAGGAGTGTAGTGTAAGTACAATACACCAAATTCACCGAGGTCCATCGCTCCACGCCTGGCCCACTAGCATCAACCGGCTCGTTCCCATATTTCACCAACTGGAGGAGACAACACGGCGATGGAAAGCGAGACGAAATGTTGCAGGAGCACAAAAAAGAAAAGAAAAGTAAGATTCCTCTTTACACTGATTTTGTCTCTCAAGAGATCGAGGTGTTGTGGTTGCCGTTGCGTCATTAACTATCACGTGCGCTGCAGCTTCTCATCTGTTCTGGTGGCGGAACATCGTCATGATCGGCTCTCGCGTCTTGATTACAGTGTTCCCTAAGAAACCTCGTACCGCATTGGACGGCAGACACACGCTTCAATGCCCAGACCTTAAAAATTAATTTACTGAAAAGTACACATTACAGTCTAACATCTATACAAGCCCTTGATAAACACATCATCGCCAGCTATCATGAGCCGAGCTCACCTGCCATCGCTCCTCCTTCTGCCCTCCCCACCAGAGCCGGCAACCCGCGCCTCCCTCAATGCCGCCTACCGGCGACCCCTCGAGGCTGCCCTCGGCAAGCTCAAGAACCCGACCCGCGCCACGACGCTGATCGTCGTCGTCGCTCTTCCGGTCCTGGGGGGTTCGACGCCCAGATCAAGGACGCTTTCCTGGGCCGACACCCAGTCGCTGCTGGCCGGCCTCTACACGATCATCTCGGTCGTGTGCGCCAAGCTCGCCATCGACACCGACGTCAATGGCGGGCCTGGGGTCGTGGACGCACGAGTCGTGCTGGTGCACGACGACCCGGCCGCCAGCGCAGTGGGCTCCCAGCCGCCGCCCTTGATCGAGCCCAACAACACCGTCATCGTGGACCTGCCGACCTTTGCGTCCGCCAGCCAGGCGTGGAACTACATCTTCCACGTCGAGAGCGAGGGCGGCCTCGAGCTCGAGAGGAGGTACCTCGAGCTCACCACCGCGGGTGGCGCGCAGACCGTGCTCGAGGAGCAGCTCGTGCCGGTCGACATGGGCCTTAAGATGACCACGGAGCCGGCGTCGGGGGTCCTCTCGGTGCAGACCCCGCTGCACCGCAGCGTCATCCTGGGCGGCACGTTCGACCACCTCCACCCGGGCCACAAGCTGCTGCTGGCCGCGGGGGCGCTGCTCCTCGACGTGCCGGAGCCCGGGTCGTCGACGCCCTGCCGGTACACGATCGGCGTCACGGGCGACGAGCTGCTCCGGAACAAGAAGTACGCCGAGTACGTCCAGCCCTGGGCCGAGCGCGCGCGCAACATCCTCGACTTCCTCGGCACCGTGCTCTCCCTGCCGCGCCCGTCGCCCGACGACGGCGGCAGGCCCCAGGTCGAGGAGCGGCCGGGCGACTTCCGGGCCTCGTTCCGGGGCGGCCTCATCGCCGTCCAGTGCGTGGTGATCCACGACGTCTACGGGCCTACGATCACGGACGAAGACATCACGGCGCTCGTCGTCTCTGGCGAGACGAGGTCGGGCGGCGCCGCCGTCAACGACAAGAGGGCCGAGCAGGGTTGGCACCTGCTGGACGTCTTCGAGGTCGATGTGCTGGACGCCGAGGAGGTTGCGGAAGGGCCGACGCAGACGGAGAACTTCGCTTCCAAGATCAGTAGCACGGCGATACGGCAGCTTAAAGCGCAGCATCGATCTTGAATGTTGGTGTCTACATGCTAGAGCTACGCGAATATGAAAAATTTCCCCAAAGAGGCCTTACACAGAGCCTTCTCCAAGATGCCCGTCGTCGATGAGCCCTCTCGTGCCTAGTTCTTCCATCTAAATCGCACAACTCGAAAAAAAAAAAAAAAAAAAAAAACATCCGATACCGTGGTCCTTCTTCTTTTAACAGGTGAGCGGCGCGGGCCCGGGGGCGCGGTAGTTGGTGGGCACGGGGTAGTAGATATTGACCACGAGGCCGGGGTCGGTGGCCTTGTACGCGCCGGGGATGGAGTAGAGCTGGCTCGGGACGGAGCCGGACCCGCCGGACACGGAGAGCTGCGCGCACGAGATGTACAGCTGAGCGCCGCCGACGCTGCTGGCGCTGTGCAGCCCGATGTGCTCGGCGCGCAGCAGGTAGTCGCCGCTGGGGATGCACTTGGGGATCTGGACGTTGATGACGGATTTGCCTAGGAGATTCGATCAAAAAAGTCAGTGGAACCGGGTCCGGGTTCGGTTTCGAGTGTGTGATGGGAAACTGCGAACCTTGCGCGGGCCAGACCAGCCCGTTGCCGGCGACGGTGGGCTTGTCCTGGTAGATCTTGAACCAGACGGCGCCCTCGCCCGTCATGTCGGCCGCCCTCTGGCCCGCGGGCGCCTTGGCCATCCAGAAGGACATGGGGCCCGGGTGGGTGATGGACGACTTGGCCGTGTAGCCGACGGTCTCGCCGGCGGTCACGTTGATGGTCTGGGCGCCCTCGCTGCCCGGGCTCAGCTGGTAGCAGGTCATGGCCCGGGAGCCGACGTCGGTGACGGGGCCGTTGGACTGGAAGTTGGCCGTCTTGCGCACGTACTGCCAGTCCGCGGTCGGCCTCCCGCCGACGACGAGGCTCTGCAGGATGTCTTGAGAGGTCATACGTCAACACACAGACTAGGCGGCATTCCCAGCAGTCAGAGAGAGAGAGAGAGAGATCATACAGTGGGCCTGGGCGACGCCCGAGGCGAGGAGGAGGACGGCTGCGACGGCTTTCATTTCTGCGGTTGTTGGCTTCTGTGGGACCTTGTCTGGGTAGTTGAGCGCTGTCTTGTCAGAGTACACGATGTTCAAACGCCTTCAACGCATAACTAGAGGCCTGTCAAAAGTGTAGCCGCGCGCCATCTTATACTCGTCGCCGGTGGGCACACCCGGCAATAGAACAGGGGCACTACTGGTACGCGTTCTCTTCTCGAGATAGATTGAGTGGCCTATCCCGTCGTTGGCCATGCTCTTCCAGATGGTGATGCTGGTGAGCGAGGTACCAGATGCCGAAGTCGCGGATAAAAGACGGCTTGGCCCACGACTGCTCCCTCCCCCGTGGCGGTTAAATTGGGAGTTGGGCACCGTTGACCACTTGGGACGCTCCGAGATATTGACGTCGCATATGAATTACAGTGCGCAACATGATCCGGGGTAGGCACGGCATTGCGAGCGACAACAAAACCCGGGTTGTGTTGACCTGGGGTTGGTCTGGTCTGGGGGTTCGGCGACAGTGCATCATGTGTGGCAAGAGGAAGAAGCTATCCCACCGCCCGCGAGAGTCTTGGTCCGATGCGGGTACAAGGTGCCCGGGCATCTACTTGGGTACATAATGCGAGGCTTTCAAATACAAGTACATCAATATGGCCTTGCCAAATGATAAGAAGCTCCATGAATGCAGCCTGGAAATATCTTGAATTTGGTCTTTGATAACGCACTGGCGACACCCCCCACAGTGCTCCGTGGGTAGCACTCTTAGCACCTGCCCACCGCCTGGGCCAATGGCGTCACTGCTGTTGGTTAGCGGCTGCCGCCAAATGACCACATGCCATAAGCTCACGAGGTCGTGAGCGTGAGCTTTGAGACCTGCAGGCACCAATTCAACCCTCCAACTCACCAATAGACAGTTAGGCGACGCTACAGCTTTCAGAACGAAGGGAGAGGATGCTGCTCAATTTCGAACAACTATCACAGTCGCAAAGGGCATAGACAACTCGTCCATCCTTCAGCCAGTGTAGAACTCTTCGAACCGAGACAGCTACAACTCGGACACTCAGCCCATCCTTGTGGAATGCGCCCTTGGAGTATGTGTGAAACAAGACAGAACTCCTATGAATTTCTACTGACATTGCAGCATCGCGGAAGATGACCACTTGGTTGTGTCCCGACACGCAGTTGTAGCATGCCTCAATCAGCAGCATCTTTCCTCCCTCGACTCTCACTTTCCCGTGGCGACGGACCGTCGCTCCCACTTTTCAATTCGAGACGCTCGCTGCGCAGCAAGCCTAGCGAGTACGACCTAGCCGAGCTCTCGCCGCGACCAGAGCAATCCCTACTCTGGCCGGAACCCGCCCAGGACCGGAGGGCCGACCGCACACCCTCGCCCGCTGCCAAAATGAAACGGCAGGTTCTCTTCGCGGGCCCGCCGCCTCCCATAGCCACGTCGACGCTTCTATACAGGGACGAAGAGACGCGCGTGGAGGCTTTGCCGCGATACGGCGGCCCTCCTAACCATACCGCCTCCCTCGGGGACACCCTGCGCAGCGTATTCCTCGACCGGCCGCCGCCCGAACCACCTCGCGAGGTGTCCTCGGGCTTCGATGCCGACTCGGTCTGGAGAAACATACAGAGACGCGAGAGGGCCATTCAGAAGGATCTCCAACGGCTGCTCGACGTCCAGGCGGCAGGGCTCTCGGCGGGGCTGGGCCGGTCCCTGGACAAGAGCCCGAGCCTGACGCCGTCGTCTGCAAGTGACGCAGGGCGGAGCACGCCGACCAGCACGTACCACACTCCTCGGTCTCAATTTCACTCTACAGAGTCGTCCATGCGCATGTCGCGCCAGGGCGACGTCATCCCCGTCCGCCAGCCGCGGTCCAAGCCCATGGGCCTGCGCTCAGCCCGGGCTGCCCTGGCCCGCAACATGGCGTTGCTGGCTGACCTGAAGGTGGAAGAGGATGCAAACCTGGCCGACGCCCTCAGCACGCGCAAACGGGCGCTGGCCCAGCTGCGAAAGATGTCGGTGCGCCGGGATGGCATCGCCGACAAGTTGCGGGCGCTGGAGAACGCAGACGACGACCCGCTCACAAGAGATCTGGCCCTTCTCAATGACGAGCACCGGTCAGTTTCTACGGAGATTTCTGAACTAGAGGCCAAGCTGGCGGGGCTACACAATAGAAAGAGAGTGCTGGAAGAGCAGATCGAGGACCTCAGCAACCAGCGAGAGTCGGGTCTGAGCGGCTACCGAGGGGCCCTGAAAGAGGCCGAGGAGCATGTCGCAGCAACGCTGACCCGCCCGCCGGTGCGGCCTCTGGACCTCGAAGTCTTTGGTCGCGGAGCCGACGGCGCCGAGATCAATGGGGCCGACGACGCTGCCTTGAGCGGAGCCGAGTTCATGCGCCTTCGTCCCACGCGAAGAACTATAGCCATGGCTCGGGAATGGTGGGAGGGTGAGGTCAGGATCCTCGAGCAACGCAAGGCCGCCGTGGACCAGGAACGGGCTGCGCTGGAAGACGGGGCGGGGGTCTGGAGAGACTGCGTCAAGCTCGTCACGGACTTTGAGTCCAGTCTACGGCGGCAGATGAAGCAGCAGAGCACGAGTTCCGAAGACTCTGACGAGGCTGCAGACTCCCCCGAGCAGCGGATGCGGGGCCAGCTCAGCGACATGGGCGCCGTCATCAAGAGTCTGGACCTGCACCTGGTGGCCGCGGAGAACAAGGGGTGGAACCTGCTGATTTGCGCCATCGGCGCCGAGCTCGAGGCCTTTAAGGAGGCGGAGGGCATGTTTCGGGAAGCGCTCAGGGAGGCGGGATACTCGGGCGGCCCGGACGAGGAAGACCGGACGCCTCGCCTGGGCCGGTCCGCGAGCGAGATCAAAGCAGACCGCGACGCGATGGGGAGCCAACACCTAGTAGACACGCGGGATGATGGTGATGATGACGACCCGGGCGCCGAGAGCAGCGACAACGAAGTCCCCGCCGACCTGCTCGTTTCGCACCACGACCCGCGCGGAGGGGGGGCGCGGCACGACAGTATGAGCAGCGACGCGGCGGCCACGGACACGGATGCACACGATAGGGGAGAGCACAGCGAGAACGAGGTGCCGCCGGAGTTCTTGGCGGAGCACCATCATGATGATTAGAAACGAGCTGTTTCGGTAATAAGGCTAGCAAGCATTTGTCAAATGAAAAGGCTCGAATAATGTTCAATTCTTCGGGGAAGGCTCCCGGTGGTATGTTTGGTGTCTGTCTACATCGGTGCTAGTCCTTGGGGAAAGTCATCCGCTGTCTGTCTACCTGATCCTGTGTACAGAGAGTGAGAATCAACAGACGCTGCAAAGAGTGGACTCTTAGATCACGTAGGCATGCACAAATCATACAAGTAGTATAGTAGTTGAATTGTCATATTTAGTCGGTTCCAAAAAGGGTGTGAGTTGGGATGTACCAAGTGCTGCGCGGGGACAGCCCGAACACATGTGCCGGAAAAAGTCGGTAATACCTCGGTTTCCATACACCCGAAGACGGAAAGGGTCCAGACAGGCAGCCCGCCTCGGTGCGGTGCCCGCTTGCCCATGTGCCTCTTGACGATCTCCCCCCCAAAATCACATTTTCGAGTTAAATGGAGAGGAGTGACGAAAATTCCCTTCCAAAACCAAGTATGAGGCCTTAATACAAAGCAGGGCGGAAACGCCAACAACTCCTGGAGACGGTTTCTTTGTGCAGACCCCTTGCTCCGCACGACAACTCGGCTAGCCAAATACACAACAACCACGACGATGACGATGACTCCCTACCATCACCGAGTCCTCTCGAACCAGCCGCTGGACCCGGCGATGGCGACCGACTGATCCATCACCCACTCGCCGACGCCGAGATACTTGTCGATCCACTTCTGCATCTCCTTGTTCTCGCCAGAGACCTTCTCCGTCTTGAAACTGGGCCTGACGGATCCCCGAGGATGGGGCGCGAGTTAGTCGCCTGTTCTGGCCCGGCCGTTCGAAGTATCGCGAAGAAGAGAAAAGAAGTTTCGAATAGAACTCACGTCAGACCAGTCGAGCGCTTCATGCCGGCAAGGAGCGCCGAAACTAAGACGAGAAGGTCAGCGGAAACGGGCGACGAAAAGCGGTATACCCGAGAGAGTCGAGACGACATACCCAGCACGGCATCGACAGCATAGTGTGTTAACCTTCCGAGCTTCGACCACAGACCGAATGTCAGCAAGTTGAGAAACTAAAGAGGCCATCGCATTTTGGTTTTAGACTCTGCTTTCTGAACGAAAGAGGAACCGAGAGCGGCGTCGGGGTGCGGTGAAAGCGAAAGGGACGGGCGACTCACCACCATCTTGGACCACCTGCAAACTTCCAGATCACCGGGGGAGAAATCTGAAATACGACAATCTCCGAAATAATGGGAAAGAGCTGAAAAATCGCCTTTCCTGTTGAACAAGTTCTGGGGGGTTTGGTATGTTTATTGGGGAGGAAAAGATGACGAAGCTCCGAGAGTTCAATCTACTGCCTGATAGGCGGGCGGCACACGAGATCTAAGGTTCAGGCTGCTGGAGACCAAGCGTTTCTGGGGTCACAGGCCACCATCAGGGCACACCACCAAGGCCAGACCACACCCAGTTGGCGGAGCACGGACCAGCTGGCACCCGACACCTCCAAAAGCTACGAAGCTACAAAACACCACCACTCTCCCTCCCGTCACGTGACGCGCTGCAGGTGTCACGCATGCATCTCACCACAGACACTCGCACAGCCTGTACCTACAGCTGTTGTGTTTGCTGCGCGTACGAGGGGCCCAGAAGGGATCGATTGAGCCTCCTTATGGATCAGTCGGTCCATCTGAAGCGCCGCGCATTCGGTCGGTCGGACCGAACCTCGACAACGACCACTTGGCTTGGGCCTTTTGGTGAAGGGGGTGGACTGCCAAGCACCAACATTCCCGTCGGCGATTAACTCGTGCATTAACGGCCACAGTGGGGGTTTATTCCCAGTGGCTATCAGCTTTGGGAGCTTTTCTCACTGCTAAGCACGCTGATAAAGACCCCTAAACTCGTGGCTATCCCACCCCTGCCATTGGTCAATCACGCCACTAAGTCCCCCGTGGCAACGAACCTTTCCCCATTGGGCCACGACCTTGGACTTTTGGAGGGTTTCCCAGGCAAAATGCACCTGCACTGCAGTGGTGGCAGGGACGGACAGCGGCGGGGGATGGTGGGACAGAACCTGACTTGATGTTGAGACACCAAAGAAACAGCTCCGACTGTTGAGGCACTTTTTATTTTTTTCGCAGGGACGGACACCACATTCTCTCCAACAGCACTCATATTGCAACCTGAGAGAAACACAAAAAACCAAGACTTTTGTGCTGGGATTCTGATTATCCCTCATTCACACGTCTTTTCTTTCCCTCAAGGCCAACCCGTCTGTTTCTGGATCACTCAAGCTCTTCCCAGCTTGTCGACCAGAACATCACCAAATTCACGGACGTCCGGTCTCGTTGTTCAATCCTCCTCACAAAAGAGTAATTCGCCATGGCTCCCTTCTCGGCCCTGGACCACCTCTCTCTCGGCGGCCGCATTGACTGGCTGGCCAGCCTCGACACCGCCTTCCACCCCGAGCGCAACTACCGCCGCACCTCCATCATCTGCACCATCGGCCCCAAGACCAACTCGGTCGACTCCATCAACGAGCTCCGCAAGTCGGGTCTCAACGTTGTCCGCATGAACTTTTCTCACGGAAGCTACGAGTACCACCAGTCCGTCATTGACAATGCCCGTGCCGCCGAGAAGTCCCAGGAGGGCCGCCCCATCGCCATTGCCCTCGACACCAAGGGCCCCGAGATCCGCACTGGCAACACCAAGAACGACGAGGACCTGCCCCTGAAGGCCGGCACTGTCCTGAACATCACCACTGACGACAAGTACGCTACCGCCTGCGACACTGAGAACATGTAAGTAGATACCACGCTCTTTGCAGAACTTGATGAAGGGTCTTGTTTGCTAACACAAAGCCCCCCTTCCCCCTAGGTACGTCGACTACAAGAACATCACCAAGGTCATCGAGAAGGGCCGCGTCATCTACGTCGACGACGGTGTCCTCGCCTTCGAGGTCCTCGAGATTGTCGACGCGAAGACCATCAAGGTCCGTGCCCGCAACAACGGCTTCATCTCCTCCAAGAAGGGCGTCAATCTGCCCAACACCGACGTCGACCTGCCCGCCCTGTCTGAGAAGGACAAGAACGATCTGCGGTTCGGTGTCAAGAACAACGTCGACATGGTCTTTGCCTCCTTCATCCGTCGCGGTCAGGACATCAAGGATATCCGCGAGGTCCTGGGCAAGGACGGCGCCCACATCCAGATCATCGCCAAGATCGAGAACCGTCAGGGTCTCAACAACTTCGCCGAGATCCTCAAGGAGACTGACGGTGTCATGGTTGCCCGTGGCGATCTCGGCATCGAGATTCCCGCTGCCGAGGTGTTTGCCGCCCAGAAGAAGCTCATCGCCATGTGCAACGTGGCCGGCAAGCCCGTCATCTGCGCCACCCAGATGCTCGAGTCCATGATCAAGAACCCCCGCCCCACCCGCGCCGAGATCAGCGACGTCGGCAACGCCGTTACCGACGGTGCCGACTGCGTGATGCTGTCCGGCGAGACCGCCAAGGGCAACTACCCCTGTGAGGCCGTGAGCGAGATGAGCGAGGCCTGCCTCAAGGCCGAGAACGTCATCCCCTACGTCTCGCACTTTGAGGAGCTGTGCAGCCTCGTCGAGCGCCCCGTCAGCATTGTCGAGTCGTGCGCCATGGCCGCCGTGCGCGCCTCCCTCGACCTGAACGCGGGCGGCATCTGCGTCCTGTCCACTTCTGGCGACTCGGCCCGCCTCATCTCCAAGTACCGCCCCGTCTGCCCCATCTTCATGGTCACCCGCAACGCCTCCGCCTCGAGGTATGCTCACTTGTACCGCGGCGTCTACCCCTTCCTGTTCCCCGAGGGCAAGCCCGACTTCTCCGAGGTCAACTGGCAGGAGGATGTCGACCGCCGCATCAAGTGGGGCATCAGCAACGCCATGGAACTCAATGTCCTCAACGAGGGCGAGACCGTCGTCGTCGTCCAGGGCTGGAAGGGCGGCATGGGCAACACCAACACCATGCGCATCGTCAAGGCCAACAAGAACGACCTCGGCATCGGCAAGCCCTGAGCGGAGTAAAAAGAAAATGGTGGGCGTGCGGGTTATGGGAGAAGGGCCTTTTCTTAATGTGGTTGGGAAACGAGAAGACAATATTTGGCACAGCATCAAAGGGATAGACTGGGGTTTTTGACTTGTGTGTTTGACTTTCCGATTGTCGAGCTCGTTTTTTATGATATCATGACAGCCAGTTCGGTTTGGCTGATCCAAATACAAATACAACTGATGACGACACGTTCTGGACTAGGTGCCCGAGTTGCGTGATCTACATGAGTTGCGGTGACAATCAATCGAGGGGATCTTCTGAGTTTGTCTGCAAGGGGTGCTCATTGTCTCTGGCAACCTGGAATGGCTGTGGCTCAGGTTTGGCCGTCAACTAGCAAGACACTGTCATGTAGGACACGGGAGGAGTCCGCGGCCGCTGTTGAACAAACATATGGGGATATCGGGCAGCGCAACCGTGCGCTCGTGAATGGTGTGCACCTGTTCGAGTTGGAGATCTTGTTCCGTTTGAAGAAATTATGGGAAGGTTGAAACCAGTTCTCGTATTCATGGAAGCGTTGTGGTATACTGCGGAATGGATTTTCGTGACGAGTACTTCCCATCATTGTTCTCCCTCGACTGGATTCTGCGTGTCGATTAGCCCACGACCTCTATGTGCAATCGATTCGAAATTCTCCTTATGAGCACTGGAACAAGTCGATTCAAAAATCATTTTGGCTAGAGGACTTGGTTCTAACATTGATAACCCCTTCCGGAGAACGGGCGGCGCCATGGAAAAGACGGAAAGAACAAGGCTGCAAACCGAGTGCCGTCACTCCCAATGCTGTGTGTGTGGCTGCCCTCAGTTCCATAACCGAGCATTGAAGTCGTCGGTGTTCTGCTTTCACACATGGCATTGAATATTCCCACGACCGGCATGGACGAGGCGGACATGCCGCTGCCCCGAGATTTGTGAGCCTCGTCCCCGGCCGCTTCAAAAGGTCTCATCACCACCTGCAATACTTGTTCGAGGCCAAATGACGCTTTGCGAGAGGAGTTCGAGGATCCAGCAGTAGTCGCGCTTTCAACAAGTGCCATGTAGGGCATTGAACGGCGATTCATTCTCGTCCTGACCGACCTAGACGTGCTATGCCCTAGTCCTTGCAGTCCCGCGAGAGTCTCGGCACTACGAAAGAGCCCGTTGACAAAGCCAATCGAAGGGGCTTTGGGCTGGCCCCAATGAGGCTGGTCAAAGACGAGGCCGGTCAAAGCGGTTGACAGAGTGTACAGACAAGGGCCGAGTGTGAATGAGGATCATTGGGACCATCTTTCTGAAGGGAAGTCTGACCATTTATCAGAGACACTTCCGGAATGCTCTTAGTGCATTCCGCAGCGTGCTAGCAGCTTTAGGAAGCACCAGCCGCACCCCAGCCGCATCACAACACCAGGGTTAGGGCTGACGATGTTGCCCCACGCGGCTGCAGCCGCGTCCACACCAAAGCCTAACAAGGCAATCCAAAACAAAGACCTCGAGTGGTGGTCAAGATTTCAACCCCTCTTCTCTTTCTCTTTCTTTTCCTCTCTCACCACCATCCCTCTCCTTCTTTCTCCACGATTCGCCTTGAGCCCTTTATCTCCTCGAAACCGCTTGCAAGTTGCAACACAACAAACCTTCCGTCCTCGTCTTGACCGCTACGCAAGATCTCTCAACTATCAACTTGGGAGCTGCCATGTTGTCGTCTCGGGAGGGCCCACAAAACAGCCGCAACTCGGGCTTAGCATCTTCGGGTGAGTCGAGATGTTGTCTCCTACATTCAAACAGGTTGCAATCAGTGTTGCTCATAGAGTGTCATTTGCTCACTGCAACAACTGTTTGTCTCTTTGCCAACACTTGAAACAATATATATAACTATTCACATTTAGCTAACTTACTCTCCAGGACACGACAGCACTGCTCGACAAGCCCCAGAGTCCGCATTTCGGCAAGTCACAACGTAGTCGCGCTTGAGCCGGGCATATTTTGTTGCCTTTTGCTTATGTTTGAAATTTTTTGATTTCTTTCGCGACTCCCAATCTGAGCCTCATCTGACTTGCTTCGGACAGACACGCAACACGAGCCCAGACGGCACGTGCCCGTGTTTCCCGCCTGTTCCAGGGCAACTCTGTTCCCGCGGGCACTAGTCAGAACCAAGGCCCTTTCTCCAGACTGAGGCATATCTCGAGCCTCCACATCCACCAGGACCGCCAGCGTAAGCTTTTCTTGCGTGCTTATCCTCGCCTACCCACACCGAGGCCTCTCCCGACCACAAGCCACATTGTCCTCAAAAGTTTATCAGATTCACTCCACTGACATTCAACTTTTTTCTTCAGGCGTGGCTAGCCAAAGCACAAATCACCGGGGATCGTAGGGCGTTTCTCGGCTTTTTCAAAACACTCCTGGCCTCAGCACCTCCAACCAGAGAAGTTCACCCCCCGTCAACCCTCTCACACCGCACCGCCCCTTTGGAGCTTCGAGCTTTGCCCTCTTCGGCCGCCGACATCCGACGCACCCTCCTGTGCATCGGATTGTGATCCCAAGGTTTGACCTCGACAACTGGACTCCAGGCCCTGTAACGGGCGCTATCCGTGTCCGACACCCGGGCGCATTCCTGCTGCAGCCAGAGCCGATCATCGAGTACCTACCCTCGACCGCCACCAGCAACCCTCACCACCTCCCTCAGCTGTTCCCTCACGAGGACTTCGCATCCCGTCGATCGCGTCCCCGTTCGTCCCGCTTCATCGAGCACATCGACGACTCTGTCTCGGAGCGTCGAACTGGTCGCCGTCGAGCCCCAGGCAATCTGCGAGACCAGGACCGTCACCGGTACGGCTCGCGCGACCGGCGTGCCCAGGGAAGCTCGAGCAATCGCGGCGGTCGTCGCACTTCGACTCGGGCGAGTACCCTTACCGGCACCATCTTGGATGCCGTTCGGGAGGAGCACAACCTCCATCGTCGCCGCTGGTACCACTATTAGTCGGTGAGTGCCGCCATCAACGCTCGCGACCTGAAGCGAGCGCAACAGGCTGTGCAGAGAGCAGTCGCAGGACCATCAAGAACCGAAACTACTAGCAACTATATCATCATGCCTCCTTTACCAGCAAATCCTTATCCCACTGGCGACAGTCAAAGAGACGTTGTCATGAAAGACGACTATCCGCCTGTGCCTCCTCATGCAAATCAACCCATTCAGCAGCAGTCTTTCCACCAAGTCGAAAACACACCTGCCACAGCAGGTCAGCAAGCACCCCAAACCATGCGCGCCCATGAGGCGTCTCAAATGCAGCCTCCCTTGTCTTTTCACCCCAATGTTTCTCAAGAGCCCGTTCAGGCTTTGCCCAACTCCCAACAATCCCGTACACTACCTCACCAGACTCCCCGCATTACGATTGCAAACAAAGGTCCAGAGAATGCCTCCCAGGACCCTAAGCGCCGACAGGGCAATAATCTGCCCCCAAAAGACACATCTTGCCAGCGTGTGTCACTCCAGGTCGACGGCATGGTCGTCGAGGTCTTCCGCCCGAACGTCTGTACGAGTAGGACTCCGATCATCTTGATCCACGGCGAGTTCCACACAGGCATCGTCTGGTCCACCAAGCCGGACGGGAAGCCCGGCTGGCTTACCTATTTCCTCGGCAAGGGTTACTCGGTCTTTGTCGTCGACCTCCCGCCCAACGGCCGCTCCAACGACCTCAACGAGACCGACTTGGAGCGTCACTTTTCCCGCATGTCGCGCTCGATGGTCGAGCGGGAGTTCACGGCCTGCGCGAAGGTCAACGCGGACGGCTGGCAGACTGCGAAGCTCCACGACAAGTGGCCCGGAACCGGCCTTCAGTGGGATGGCGAGAAATGCGACCCCATCTTTGAACAGTACTACAGCCAGCTCGTGCCCCTCTTTCTGAACCGCGAAGAGCGCCAGGCCAGAGCGCAGAGGGCCGTGGTGGCACTTCTGGACACGATCGACCGGCCTTGCATCCTGCTAGGAGAAGGTGCTAGAGGCACCGTCGCCTATCTGGCGGCCGACATGGCTCCCGACAAGGTCTGCGGCATCATCGCCATCGAGCCCATCGGCCCGCCGTTCGCCCACGCCTACACCGAAGAGCCCGACCCAGAACATCCTGGCCTATTCACCCGCAAGTACAAGTACCCTTTCCAGTTCCGCCGTGACCTGCGGCGATACGGCCTCTCCGATGTCCAGTTGACATACGATCCCCCCTGCTACAACGAGTTCGCGTTCAAAGACGAGCATTTGGACGTCCGCCTGCTGCGGGAGACGACGACCGACACCATGCTGCGACGCCCGGCGCTCGACGTCGCCTGCGCCGCCCCCTTGAAAGACTACGGCAAGTGCTACCTGCAGAACCCGAACGCCCTGGCGGAGGGGGTGGACGACGAAGGCGAGCCGCGAAAGCTCGGCTTCCGCCAGCTCATACACCTGCGCAAGATGCCGCACCTGGTCGTCACCGCGGAGGCGAGCCCCCACTCGGTGTACGACTGGGTGACCGTCTTGTTCCTCGAGCAGGCCGGCGTCGACGTCTCCTGGATGGAGCTGGCCAAGTACGGAATCCGCGGCAACGGCCACCTGTGCTTCCTCGAGACCAACAGCGACGTCATCGCCGCCAACATCGATTCCTGGATCCAGAGCTATGTTGCGTCTGCTAGGAGGGCGAAAGAACACCCGCGGGAGCCCGCCATTGCGCCGCCAGAGTTGCGGATGAAGGCGCCTGCGCAGGGCCATGCCGCACCGCCAAATCAGACCGTTCCAAGCACGACTGTGCCTGGCCCGGCGACGCAGAACCAGCGCACGCAGCCTCAAGCATCCCAACAGGCCGGTAAGCAGGCCAGCACGATCGTTGTTACCGACAGTGACAGCTCTCAAGGCCCTTCTGCGAAGCCTGCTCCTGCCGCAATCAAGAAGAGCGTTGCGAAGCCTCACCAGCAAGCACTGTCGGCAGGCATCGCGCAGAACATCCTGGCGCAGCAGCCGACGATCCATGGCGCTATCCAGGCATCTGGAGTGGCACCGCCCGAGGCCAGAACATCATCGCCCATGGGCCCGCCGGGCTCGGCTATCTCGACGGCGGAGGGCAGGAACCAGGCCTACGTCAACCCGCAGACTGCCAAAGGTAGCATGAACGAAGCCGCCATGAGACATACCGAGGCCCGCTTCACGCCGCAGCCGATGGGGCCGAATCAGAGCATACAGCAGCTGCCGCAGTCCGCGCCTGCTCAGCAGCCGGCAGGAATGCCCATGGATCTCGACATGGACAAGATCATCCCGAACGTGGGACAGCAGGCCTATGCAGGTGCAGGTGCAGGTTTCCCGGCTATCGCCCCCGGAAACGAGCCGTCATCAAGCGCCGCGGCCGGCACTGCGCAGCCTCCCGCGGCGGTGAAGCAGAACAACCCTGGCAAGTCGGCAGCGAAGGCCCTGGCGCCCAAGGCGTCGCCCCAGCAGCCGCGGAAGCCGGCGGCCGCAAAGAGCATTGTCCGCAAGAAGCCCGTGAGCGGCGCCCAGAGCGACGGCGCCGCCGCCGCCGCCGCGGGCACGAAGAAGCGCGGACGTCCTACTAAGGAAGTTGTGGCCGCTCGAGCTGCGGCGGCGCGGGAGGCGGCCCTGCAGAAGGAAGCCGAGGCCAATGCTGCTTCGTCTTCTTCTTCTTCTTCTTCTGTAGTTGGTGCTGTCGCTGCTGAGGCGCGCACGCCTGGCCAGAACGAGTTGGGAGCAGCGCTTTCGTCTCCTGTTTCGTCGGCTCCTCCTTCCGGCTCGGCGCAGATGGAACATCACGGCAGCTCTTTGGCGACTGCATCCTATCCTGATCCTCTTACCAAGAAATAGACTCGGAAGGCGGATCATGTAGGACTCCCATGCGAGTCCAACATCAGAGTGGCGGGGAGTTTTGAGAGACATGTTTGAAGCTGGTGAACACCCCCCACCAGCATCGAGAGACAGCAAGAGGAAGAGCAGTCTCTGGCTTTACAAGAATCTACTTGGGGGTATCTCATCATCGTGCAAGTTGAGAAGCGATATTGACTCTTCAGACTTGCAACACAACAATGCAAGGAACGCATTCAAATCGCAGAACTAGCATCACACTGCGGACTCGGAATTACTTGGCAGGCGCATCTTTTCCCGTATTAGTGCCGGAACAAAGTCAATATTGGCAAAGAGTTGAATTGCCGAATGTGCGCGGGGTGTCAGCTCCAGCGAGACACAGTTTCTTCCTTTTTCTCGGCCATCGGCTGACCAGGGCGACTGATCAGATCTGCATAGTACAGAGTCGGCTAGCACGGGAGAATCGCGTACATATTCAGAGGTGACTCAATCTCTGAGGCGGTCTGAGGAGTGAGATGGCTTTGAGGGATTGAATCGCAGATTTCGCATTGTGGTCTTTGTGCTTTTCTTTTCTTTTCTTTCTTTTTTTTTCCCTTTTTCACTCTCTATGATAATTGACTTTCATTATTTCTTTCTACAACACAGCTATTGCTGGAATCTGTCCGTCATGGCTGTCGTGTTCTTATATCGAGCATTGACTTTTGAGACTTCGTCTCTCTCGTTCATAGCTTCAGGTATTCGGCAGGAGTAGTTTTCAATCAACTTTTCGATTATCCACTTTCCTGGTTGCTGGTTCTATAGAGGTGACGAGAGGGGCCTCCAAACTCCTTTTCTTATTATTCGTCTAGCTATGTTGCATATTCGTAAACCCATACGCATGATGCCTCATTTCGCCAAGAAACCTGGCTCGGCAAGACTCTCGGGGAGTTGGAATGTGGAGACCTGGACAATCTCCCCGTTTAATGCAACATCGAACACCGCAATAGTGGTGTTGATCACCTCTAGTGGATCGGCTCCGAAAGCCGGTTATGACAGTGCCTGCGTCTGGCACCGTATCGTGGCCATCTGCCAAGAGGCGGTCAGTTGCGAGCTCCGGTAGCCTGGGCCCGCGAGGCCCGGCAATGTCGTTTCGGGCTCTAGGCGGGGCCTTGAACCCCATCTACATCCAGGATCAAAGCCGGGCTGTGATCGGGAGCTCTCCACACGAAGCGCAACGGGGAGTTCGCCATCGTCTCAATTCGGGGGACTAGGGATTACGTGGATGCGGGGAAGGATTGGGCCATCATCTCAACTCCCTTGTCTATCGCGCGATGCTACCTAGGTAGAGAGCAGCAGCGGGAACTACCGCTCCGTCCCCCTCGAGTAGAAAAGCACCCAATGCCGTCTCACCATGGACGTCCGCTCGTGGCCCGTCCCGTCCTGCACCACTACCTGCCAGGCATATGCCACCACCGAGTCATAGTGTGAGGCATCAATCCACGTAGCTATCCAGCCATGAAGTTCGGCGCGACGTCTCTGACCGCTGCCGCGCTGGCGCTGGCCGGCGAGGCCCTCGCCGCCGCCAGCAAGCCCAACATCGTGGTCATCATGACCGACGACCAGGACGCGCGCCTGGGGTCGACCGACGTGCAGAAGCACGTGCAGAAGCTCATGGCCGAGGGCATGACGCTGCAGAACCACTTCGTCACGACGGCGCAGTGCTGCCCGAGCCGCACGTCGTACCTGCGCGGGCAGGCGGCGCACAACACCAACCTGACGCACGTCCGGGCCCCCGGCGGCGGCTGGGAGAAGTTCACCGCCATGGGCCAGGACAAGGACTACCTGCCGCACTGGCTCAAGAAGGCCGGGTATCAGACCGAGTGTGAGTTGTTTTCCTTCGGGAGGGGGTCGTCTCGTGAAGCCTCTGCGAGAGATGTCCTTGTGGGTTTGTTTGGTTTAGACTGACATGGTTGATTTGAAAAAACGTAGATCTCGGCAAGATCATGAACGGGTACAACATGGCGACGTATGCGCCCAAGCCTCTTGGCTGGGACCATACAGATATCCTCGTGAGTGGTTCTGTGACGGATCTAATAGTGAGAACCAACACAACTGACCACCTTGCCCACGTAGTTGAACCCGTACACGTACGAAGCGAACAACGTTGTCACTTCCATCAACGGCGAGCGGCCCGTCTTCTACAGAGGATTCCACCAAACAGACGTCTTCCGAGCCAAGGCGTAAGTACCACGCTCCGGGGGAAGAGACACACACTCCCTGCCCTCTCAGAGAGCGCTAACACATCCCTCTTCCCGCTTTCACTAGCCTCGCCCGCATCGAGCACCTGACGTCCCTGGACAAGCCCTTCTACATCCAGATCGCCCCGACGGCGCCGCACACGCAGAGCGACGGGCCCGTCGTGCCCCTCGAGCGGCACATGTACTCGCTGCTCGACGCCAAGGCGCCGCGCAACCCAAACTTCAACCCGGACGACGCCGTGCAGGCCAACAAGGTCTCGTGGGTCGGGCGGCTGCACCGGCTCAACGAGTCCGAGGTCGGCTTCGTCGACTGGCAGCACCGCTCGCGGCTGCAGGCGCTGCTCGGCGTCGACGAGATGCTCGAGGACGTGCTGGCGCTGCTGGAGGACAAGGGCGTGCTCGACAACACCTACGTCATCTACACGAGCGACAACGGCTTCCACTCGGGCACGCACCGCCAGATCGGCGGCAAGGGCCTGCCCTACATCGAGGACACGACCGTGCCCATGGTCATCCGGGGGCCCGGGATCAAGGCCGGCGCCGTGTCCAAGATCCCGAGCACGCACATCGACATGGCGCCGACGTACCTCGAGATCGCCGGCGTCAGGCCCGAGGACTACCCGCCCTTCTTTGACGGCCGCAGCCTGCTGAGCGAGTGGCACGGCAAGAAGTCGTCGGACTGCGGCCGCAACGGCACCGGCGCCGTCTCCAAGGAGATCCTCAACGTCGAGTTCTGGGGCTCCATCGACAACGCCGGCAAGCCCGACTTCCCGAGAGGGCAGCCGCAGAACTCGTACAAGACGATCCGCATCGTGGGCGAGAAGCAGGCCTGGCTGTTCTCGCGGTGGTGCGAGGGCAACGCCACGGAGCTGTACAACACCCTTGTGAGTTTCTTCCTCTTCCCCCATCATTTCCTATCTCTCCCCTTCGTCTTTTTCTTTTTCTTGTGGGAACATACATAGAAAGAAAGAAAGAAATGATCCCGCTAACCTCTCGCTCGCGCGCTCGCACACTTATAGGACGACCCCTACGAGCTCACCAACCTCGCCCTCAACCCGACCGCCGAGCACACGCGGCTCATGCACCGGCTCAACGGCCTGCTGCTCGTGACCAAGTCCTGCGAGCGCGAGGTCTGCCGCCGGCCCTGGCCGACCCTGCAGCAGGAGGCCGGGCCGGGGGCCTCCTTCCGCAACCTCGACGAGGCCATGGCGGCCCGGTACGACGGCTTCTTCGCCGCGCTGCCCCAGGTCGGGTTCCAGGAGTGCATGTTCTACCAGTACGCGCCCAACGAGGTGCCCTTCTACCCGCCCGCGGCGCAGCTCGGCCTCGGCACGCAGTGGCGCGGCTCCAGCGACAACTACCCGACGCACGACACCAACGGGACCAAGGTGCCCGGCAACCCGGGCCGGATGGGCACGGCGGCGCAGCGGCACGCGACGCTGGCCGACGTGCTCAAGAGCGCGAGGAACGTGACCAACGCCGAGATCGGCAGCGTCGTCGAGTGCGTGGCGCCCAACTACTGCCCCGGCGGGGGCGACTGACTGCATGAAGAGGGAATGAAGAGTGGCTTTGAGGCATTCGTTCACGAGGGGCAGGTTGTGCAAGCCCGGCTTTTGTAGATCTGGCTTTGCCCGGGAAGATGGGCGGCCTTTTTATCTTCGGCTAGGTAGCTAGCTAGCTTCGAAGCGCAGTGCTTCTTTCAAGTAAAAGTGAGCAACATACCCCGAGCCTTGGGACCGTATAAATCGTGAGCCTTCTGACATAGACCAGCAAATCGCACGCGAACAGTCCTCCGTAAGGAAACCCCGAATGTTCCGAAGCAGTTGCAGATTGATTCATCTTGTTGTCGTATGCTTTACCCTTTTGTTTTTTGTTCCGTGTTTTTGTTTCCTTTCAGGTTGCACCTCCTGCGCATCATCGTCGTCGTAAATGGGCTTCAAATTGTCCACAAAGTTCATCTCCACCACCGCAGCAAAGCCCTTCAAGCGCCGCCCTCGCGCTTGGCGTACTCGTCCTCGATGGCCTCCTTGTACTTCTCGTCCGGGGACCGGGGGTCCTCGTCGAGCACGCCCTTCTTGAGCAGCTCCTCCGGGCTGGGCCGGTGGGCGATCTTCTCGTTGAGCGTGTCTGCGCGCATGCTCCGCTCCAGCTGAGTAGGTGAAGGACCCGCTTGTCAGCACTCTTCAACGAGTCCTGCGACGCTTGTATGTCTTTGAAAGAGAAGTGGAAAGAAAACAAAATAAAAGGCGCCAAGTTTACTCACCTCTTTCTGGTGGGCCTGCAGGCCCGGGGCGGCGGTGGACGCGGGGAGGATGTTTCCTGTAGGTGGGCAAGAAAGCTTGTTAGTCTTGGTGCGTAAGCGTTGCGGCCCAATCGGGGGCGCAGCGAGGAAGAGGGCTGGGCGTACGCTCGACGAGCTCGGAGCGATCCGGGCGGTGCTGGAGGTGCTGCTCGAGAGAGTTGCGGCGCTCGACGGGCGAGATGGGAGCCTCGTCGACAACCTTGTCGGCTGTCTGCTGCTGCTGCTGATCGGCCATGATGTGGTGTGTGAAGTGTTGTTGTAGCGGTTGACGACAGTGGTGGAGGGTTGTGGAGATGTCTCGATGAAAGCTGAGCAGATCAATCGGATAGTTATGGAATCACAGTGTACCTGTTTACCATAAGCAGAAGAGGGAGAAAATGAAGAATGGGGTGAGAGATCGGATTCCCGGATGTTGGTTTTTGTAGCTCTGGAGGAGAGAGTCGGGACCCTGCAGGATAAACAGGTGACGGCGGGCAGCCATCGAGAGGGGCAACGGGCACATGCCCATCCCATTCCACCCGTGATGTAATCGCCTGGCAGGACTTGCAGGGGGTTTGTACAAGTACCTCAGTTAGGCACACTAGCGGCCGGCACCTAAGCTTTCGCTGGCGCCGCTTAGCGCCTCTGCTCCCCCGCATTTGCCCAGCTCTTCAAGCAGCAAGCCTGTGATGGGATGGGGTCAGTTTGAATGCTCTCTATCTGTAGATTCAATGGACTTTCGTGCAATAAATATCAATGATTTGTTGCAGTAAAGAAATCAAGAGATAGGTACAAGTATGGCTGATACATCGAAGCCTCTCAAAGATGGCAGCCGATGTGTACGGAGTATCGTATGACAACAATTTGATGGACAAAGCAGAGACTTGGACTCAGCATCCACTGGCCTGCCTAGCTGGCTCGCTATGATATGTACAATGTTGATACACACTCCCTTCACTGCATTCGACCTGTCATCCAACCAACATCCTGGTATTCGCAACAACACGACGTCGCCAACGCCTACTCCTCGCACGCCGCCTTAATCAAACCCCAACCAATAAGCATCATCGCTGCGCCGCCCGCAGTAAACATCGCTCCCCTGTAAGCCAAAAAGTTTCCAGCAGGTTGTCAGCCACTTACTTCCGTTACCCCTACAATAATAAAAACTGCACATTCGAGAGAGAGAGAGAGAGAGAGAGAGAGAGATAAACAACAACTCACATCTTGGCCCCCTTACTCTTGAAAACGACATACAGCTCCGCCGCGACGGGCACCACCCCGCTGACGATCAGCCACCCGCTCTGCCTGTCCCACCGCGCGTGGTGGAACAGCACCAGCGCCGCCGCCACGCCGAGCTCCCGCGCCCCGAGCAGCGGCGTCAGCAGCGGGTCCACGGCCGCCGCCGCCGCCGCCGCCTCCTCATCCTCGCCGCCGGCCACCTTGTCCGCCGCCGTGCAGCACCCGCGCCGCCGCCGCCGGCCCGGCAGCAGCAGCTCCCGGCCGGTCGTCCAGGGGCAGACCATCTCCAGGACGCCGAGGTGGGCGTACGCGGCCGCCACGCCGAGGCCCAGGATGCGCCACGTCGGTAGTCCGATGCCGAGGGCCATTGTGTGTTTCCTTGTGTCTTCCTTTTTGTGTTGTTGTAGCTAGGTTTCGCCGTTTGTCTGTCTTCTCTCGCTCTTTCTCGTACAGCACGGAAATAATATATGATAAAAAAAATAAATCAAGGAGAAGTTGATGTTGGATCAGGTCACCGTGGACAGAGAGGGAGGAAAGAAATACTTCCTGAAGGCGAGTTTGCTGATTCGTCATGAGGCCCATCGCCTCTCCACTCTTGGGTTCTACTTCCGAGTCTCGTCGGGTCTCACCAGCCAGACTCAAAACAGGCCATAGCCGTTACTAACTCTTTTTGCACGCTTCTGATGCCTTGTATGCTAGTTCCCGTCTTCTCTCGGTCCAATTCTCCAAAGTATCGTATCAGGGAACCCTGCATGAAAGACCCCCCCTCTTTCACGGGACTGCATGTGGACCAGCTCCAGTGATCACCATCCTCAGCAGTGCTCGATCTCGTCAACCCCAATCAGGGAAAGCTAGCGCGCCGCAAAACTACTGCAGGTAATCCTACATCAAAGGCAAGCAAGTAAGGATCCAAGACACGCAGGCACCCGTTCAGGCTACGGCAGCTGCACGCTCGATTGCGCACCGCGGCGTGGGGAGCAGCCCAGTCGCCAGTCGATGCCCGACACCCAGGCATTAGTACAGCGAATGGCCGCACCCAGCCAGCAATTTAAGACTAACAAGTGCAGTTTCAACTGCCCCACGGCACGAATAGAGCCTCATAGATCAACGACAAGCAAACCAAGACATCAATGGGAGAGAAAAACAGACAGTTTCCTCTATAATCTATGATACGTCCTAACCCTCTCTGACTCATTTCCAGAATGATAAACTAAACAAAATCCAAATGCGCCCTCGCGATGCTGCTGTGCTACCCAGGATTGTGGTGTTGTCGCTGCCCAAGGAACCCCAACTATCCCACAACCCGGCCGTGAGGCGTTCTTGATAGCCATGTAAAAATTCTTTACCCCTCCGTCCAGGCACAACGAAATGGGAAATAAAAGCCAAATCTAGGTGTCCTTCCCAAGTACCCGACCTGACCAAAGGAAAGGAACGACCAAGATGTTTAATCACGAGCCATACCAATTCCTACCCAAAACCAAGCCATTGCTCCACTGCTCATATCGTACAACACGGCCCCCACCCCCTTCATGACGAAGCAGGAGAGAACCTAGGCTGCCTCCCCCACGCAATATGTGAAAAGGAAAAGATTTTTTTTCTGTGATTGTTGGGTACGCCGGCTCCTCTATCCGGTCTTGTGGGAAGAGGAGGAGTAGCTGGGGCTGGGATCAGACGGGTTGTAGTGGCGCTTGTGGTGGTTGACCACAGTCACAACGTCGCCAGACTTCTTGGTGCGATCGACATAGTCGACTCTGTAGGACTCTGTTGAGGATTGGTCAGACATGCTCCCTGAGCTTGGAGCCAGGGAAGATAACATACCGGCTGTAGGATCAAAGTAGCTCGAGTGCCTGACCTTGGGGTCGTCATATCTGGGAGTTCCGGAAGAGTGCGATGTGTAGGAATTGTATGTCGAGTCAGTCTTGGAGGAGGAAAAGCTTGTGTTGGAGCCGTAGCTCACGGTCACCTTGCCGTATGACATCTTGAAGTCGTTTGGTAGGACGAGATCTTGTATTGATGTAGACGAAAGTGATATCACTGAACGCAACTTGCTTTCACGAGGGATGATGAAATGTGATGGTAGAGAGGGAGACTGAGAGTAAAGAGGACGATAGGAACTGACGCAACTTATATATCAGAGGAAAGCTATCCAGTCAAAGCCGCCAATGCCTCCTAACCTACCTGGCCGTATTGATCGAGTACCGAAGCTAGCTCCACCTATAATCAAGGCGGACATAGAAGCTTCAAACGAGGGCCTATCCCAGTCGACTAAAACTCACACACTTGTGTGGATGAGTGACTGAGTGATGTTGCGGCCTGCGAATGCCCCACTCCGAGGCAGAAGTCGCAGGGGGATCCCGCCTGGGAGCGCATCTCTTCCATCGCGGAGAGAGACGGGATGACTCAAAGGCAGAATGGCCTAGACAAGGAGAGAGAATTTGCAACGCGGTGCCTACTTCGTAGGGCCGTGGGCGGACCAGATTGGGCCAAGCAACCTTGGAAGTGGTTATGTTTGACGGGAGTACCGCTGTGGTGAGGAACCTTGGAAGTGTGGAGCCCGGCCACGCCAACTTCGCGGGTGCGAACTTGCTGCCACCGGGGGCTATGCTTGGTGCTTTTTGGGCAGCAAAAAGAAAAGGGGACAACAAGAGCAACGGCAAGTGGCGGAGTGGCAGTGTTGATGAAGACGTCACAAAGGAGAGATGCGGTATTTTGAGCCGAATTCCTTCCTTCATCTCGACTGAAGACTGGGGAAGCAAGGCGCATGGCCACGGCACTGCGGGCGAGGCGGATGTTCAGATTGGAGAAGGGGCCCGCAGCCGGATTGCCCGAGGGAAAGCCCTATTTGATCAATTCAGGACGATTCGATGAGAGAGTCAAGGTACGGGTTTTGCTTGTTGATTGAGCAATGAGAGGGTTGTCACAAGACACCAGATGGAGCAGCCCTGCCCTGGCTGAATGAAGGTGAGCGACTTTGCGTCTGGTCTAGGACCGGAAAGGCACGCCGAAGGGACCCCCCCCCTGGATGCTGGCCACCACCTGGTACTGGGCACCTAATCGAGACAGCTCACTGGCAAGACCGACCATCTGGGCAGTGAGCAGTAGGTGCCTTGTGTTCCATCTGGAAAAGGCAGTGCTAGTGCTTGCTGCCTCAATGCGCTGCGCTTGGCGGGGTGAGACGGCAAACGAGCCCGCGGATGCCTGGCGGAGACCTGAGGTGACTGTGCTGAAGGCAGGAAGCGCGCCTCCAGCCCGAGAGGACCGGTTGCCTGCGCGATTTGGTGTGAAACAATGGATTCGTGGTGATTCGTGGCATGGAAGCACTTCTCGGGCGTATTTGACAATGCAGCATTGAAAGAAGAGCCGGGATGGCATAATGAAGAGATCGAAAAACAATGCGCAATTTGCCAGGGCGTAAAGAAAACAGATATGGGCGTGGATCTGTACCGCGGTCGCGCTTGCAGCTGCAAGCACTATCCAGGTACATCCTATCAGGACTGCAGGGTTTCATCCCATCCGTACAGATTGGTGCGCGCCCTGCACACCAACACACCTTGACCGCTTCACCCTTCTCGGCGCTTGTCAAACAGCTATCCACTCCAATCATCGACTGGTCGCCTGTTGGCCCTTCTGATGTCGTCAATCAGCGCCACCTGGTCTGCTGAGACAATTTGAAACTTTTTGAATCCAGGTTCAAGCCCGTCAATTTGAGCCAGGGCAGACTCGAAGGCTGGATCGGGCAACTGGCCAGCGGATAGCTTGCCAAGCTAGGCGACCGAGCTCCGTGCTATCAGTCCCACGAGTCCTAATACGACAGTCCTACCAAGAATGCCCTGCGGAAGATGCTGGGGGCCGGTGGCGAATTACGCAAGCTTGGAGGGATCCGATGTCAGCATCGTTTCGCGCATACGCGTTATGTGCAGAGATTTCAATTTCCAAGGCGAGGAAAAGGGATGAATGAAAATGGGTATCAGCTGGCTACTCAACATGACAGCCAAAATCAAGCCCCAAAAAAGATGCGCATATGATCTCCCGCGCTTGCCAGGCGAGGCGGTACGGAGTACATGGAGGGTTGCTGTCAAGCTCTTATCTTATCAGCGCTGAGCTGACCACGCAGCACCAAGTTGAGGCAAACACCATTGATTGGTTGAGGCTTGATAGTTCCTCGGCATCCCGTCGCCTCCCTTTTCCCTGGATTTGGTATTGCTCCGGGCGTCGAACTTGTGGAGGTGACGGGAACAAAGTTACCGAAGATGCTTATTCATCTGCTCTATGCGCATCCAAGAACCGGTTTGAACAACCCATACGAGCCTCGACGCACGCCTCATTGGCTGGCAAGAGTCGAGCTTGCTGATCGCCGTCCCCAGCTGTTTGTTCTCCAAGATTCGATCTTCATGGCAGCCCCGCGGCATCTCACAATTTGTGGCCTAGCATTATCTGAGGCTGCAGAGATACTAGCTCGCATCAACTCGAATAGTTCAGACTAGGTAGTCTGTCTTGCTCGTCTTCCCTGACAAACCATCCCAGATATGCGGTTCCTGCATCGCCCTACTCCACGCTCGTTGCTACTACATGTGTCACCTCTTCACGTGCTCGGCAGCCAGTTCCACCGGTTCCATGTGTGGTTTCGAGGCGTACGGTGGCGGCACATGAAGCTCCGCCTTCCATGCAGACTCCCCATCCACCTCGTGAGGACGTGACGTGGCATCTTTCTCAGAGGCATGTCCCTGTCCTGACCTTTGTCTCCGGAGACGCCGCCAGAGAAGCAGAGCGCCTGCCAACAAAAAGACCACGGCCGCCGCCGCCCCTACGCCGATCCCCGCCTTGGCGCCAGCAGAAAGCCCCGTCGAGCCGCCTCGAGTCAGACCTGTTGGCATCGATGAAGCGAGCCTTTGAGAGGAACCGGGCACCGCTTCTGGCGTTATCTCGGGCGTCGTCGTGGGCGTTGCAGTCGCGATGTCGCTCGACTGCCAGCGGAGCTTGATGCCGTACGCGTTGATGCCGTTGGCCGTCTGGCTCGAGGTGACAAAGTCGCCACCAAAGACGCTCGAGGTGTAGACAAAGGTGTTCCAGACGGGGTTGGCGAAGGAGCAGACTTCTGACGAGTAGAATGGTAGGTTGCTCGCGGTTTGACAGTTGTAGGAGCTTCAATGTTCCGAGACGTCAGCGTTTTGCAACACGACGCCCTTGCCTGGGCCACCTGCAGGGCAGCTACATACCTGGGGCAACACGTCGCCCTCGTCTCCGTCACGATGCCTACGGTGATGACGTTGGAGCACGCAGTCGTGTAGCCCGACGGACAGTGGATGCCGGGCGAGAAATAGGCGTCAGTAGCGGGGGACCATCCTGTCGGCAGACAGGCCGTCGAGGGCGTCGTCGGGCCCAGATGATATTCTCCACAGGGGACTGTCTTCTTGCCGCCGACGCATGTGTACGATGCGTTCTCAAAGAGGTAGATGTTGGAGATGCACGAGGCCGCAGGAGTGAACACGGTCGTCAACGACGCGATGTCCATGGTGTCTCTCTGGTGTCTCTTTGATATCACTGGCGCATTGGGGAAGGCTCCGAGAACGAACAAACTTAGCCCACAGGACCAGGTTCGTGGGATCGATTCACTCTATATCAACCGCCACGACCCGACCCGACCCAAGCACTCTGTACTCCCACAGACGCGCTGGCCCGCGATGCCTGTCTCCTGTTTTATGTTTTTGGTATGAAGGGACCTGGCTTGCCGGCGATCAGTCCTCTCTGCCCCTGCATGATGGGCCAAGAGTGCTGCTGCGGCAACTAATGCAGAGAGATGCTGTTGTATCACCAAAACCAGGCCAATGAACTGGTGCCCTCCCCTGCAGGTCCCTGTGCAGTTCTATTTCTACTGGGTGATTAATTGAGTGTGCCTCTGGCCGGCACTGACAAACGATGTGAAACATGGCCTGGCAGGCCGGGGGGGAGGAGGCGTTGCTACTCCGTACAGCTGGTATGCAGTCAGCAATGCTCAGACCGCTTCAAGATAAATCAAGTCCCTGCTCACAGGCCTGAGTGCTCAAAAAAGCAACCTTGTCGCCTCCCACAAATTGGATATTTGGGGTCTGGCTGTAACTCTGTAGGACACGTTTTGATTGGTGCAAGCGTGCGCCGGTCCCGAGCTCGCGCTCTGAAGACACCACGTTGGCCACTGCCCTGTCGCCATTAGCGCATCCCGTTACAGGGGGAGAAGAGCATCGCCCCAGTAACACCCCCTCCACGCTGCCGCCCACCACTCAATTGATCCCTCCCAGAACCACGACCTGTCATCTCCTCTCAAACACCACTGCGACGAACACACACCCATCACCCAACCGCACACTCTCCAGAATGCGTCTTCTCGTTTCTCTATCCCTGCTGGCCTCGGCCGCTGTCGGTGTTCTCGGTGCCGAGGAGCTGGGCATTGACGTCACCACCGCCGTCGAGTGCGAGAGGAAGACCAAGAAGGGCGACACCATCCAGGTGCACTACCGCGGCACCCTCAAGTCCAATGGCCAGAAGTTTGATGCCAGTGCGTTCAACCCCCTAGACTCCCGCCCCCTTTTTCGCACTCACTCGGCCGAGGACAGCTCGGGCGAATGAGGTTGGGCGGAGGAGGGACAGCGGACTTGCTCGCGACGGATGCTGACCGGAGGGGCGGGGGGGTGTTTCCCACCGCTCTTTATAGGCTACGACCGCAATGTGCCTTTCGCCTTCACTCTGGGTGGCGGGCAGGTGATCAAGGGGTTCGTTAATGGCCGCGCGATCGACACGATGGACTGTTTTGGGGTTGCTGACATGTCGTATCTAGCTGGGACCAGGGTCTGCTCGACATGTGCATCGGCGAGAAGAGGTTCGTGCCTGCCAATCCAACCGGTGACAGTCGGGAAAGGAGACTTCTTTTTACTGACTTCTATTTGTTCGTTCCAGGACTCTCACCGTCCCTCCCAGCCTGGGCTACGGCCAGCGCGGCATGGGCCCCATCCCCGCCGGATCGACCCTAGGTACGCAGGCTACGGACATGAAGATACCCCAGGTCGACGCGAACAAGTCATTTGCTGACAAGAGAATCCTTGTCTCCCATGTACACAGTCTTTGAGACCGAGTTGGTGGGCATCCAGGGCGTCCCGAAGCCCGAGTCCATCGTGACCAAGTCCGCCACCAAGAGCAGCGCCGCTGCCGAGTCGAGCAACGTCGCCGAGTCGGCCTCGGAGAAGATCGCCGAGAAGGTCGCCAGCAAGGTCGCCGAGGCGGCCGAGGTCGTCAAGACCATCATCGCCGACACCGACGACGTCGAGGAGCACCAGGAGCTCTAGAGGAGGAGCGCATTGGACGTGGCGTACTGGTAGATGTGTGCATCGAGTGAACCTTTGCTGGTTCTGGGGTTTTGTAGACAAAAGCACCCTGTGTTTAGTCAACATGCTTGCAATTGCAATACACGAGAAGCATCTCTTGACACTCTCGTATCGCACAGGGCGCATTGGACCTCTGTGAATCGTGTATTTGTCCTGGTTCCGTGGAAGTAATGGCTTGGACGTGTTCTGGCCTCTTCAAAATGGGACCAGCATTGCAGCTGGGAATATGCCGCTCAGGGTCAAACACAATCTTGTCAACTCGCACCCCTTTGTGTTCTTGCAGAGCGCAACAGGCTCATTTGTGCGTCTCAAGTGTCAACCAGCTTCAATGCGTGCATTCCTTTTGCTGCTGGTAGCTCAAGGGACCAGCGAATCAGCTACGGTGCCGATTGCCAACTACCGAATCTCCTTTCCTTTTTATTCTTCACACATCTGCATCTGGAATCTCAGATCGAACGGCCTGGACCCCACCTGTTCCACTTAATAGTCTATTTTTCCACGTTCCAAGAAATCTTAGCGGGCATCGCATGTGAATAGTTCCGATCATGGCGAGACTTTGAATGAAGAAATATTTACCTAGGTACCATCTCCCTTTCCTCGGCCAGAAGCCAATCACTTCGATCTAGGTGTCCTGTGGGTTGGGCATTGGAAATTGAACCCTCCCGTAGTAGCCGGAACTTCCGCTCCAGGCTGTCGCCGGCGTCCATCTGCAGGGTGGACTGCCCCTTTGCTAATCCGGCAGTTCCATACAGAATTTCAAGGGTCCCCCGATACCTACATGTACGAGCAGTCATCCACACAACGCACGTCCGTCTAAGCAACAACCCCTCACAACAGTCTCCATCTCCCTCACCGCAATTCCACGGACCTCGAGGGGCTGGCACACTCTCTGATGGACTGTACCTTGTCCGAGGCTGGGTGCATATTAGCAGGCTGGCCAGGGCGGCTCATCAATTGAACCGCCACTCCCGATCAAGCAAGCATTTCTTGTGTGAACGGGAAAACTCAAGTTGACGCTGCAACAATGTCTCGGTGGAAAGACTTTGCCGGCAACCACCCGCGTGCGGCCGCATTCCTCGTCCGGGTGCGGGCGGTCCTGCCGCCCGTCAACTTCATCACCCTTCACTATGCCTACTTCATCGTCGTCTGCCTCGTCGCCTCCCTCATCTTCTGGGGCTCATCCTCGGCGGACTTCCAGGTCAGCTATGTCGACAGTCTCTTCTGCGTCGTCTCGGCCATGACCGAGGCCGGCCTGAACACGGTCAACCTCAGCCAGATGACCACGTGGCAGCAGATCATCCTGTTCCTGCTCATCATGTTCGGCGGCTCGATCTGGGTCTCGATCTGGACCGTCCTCGCCCGGAAGCGGGCCTTTGAGAACCGCTTCAAGGCGATCGTCAAGGCGGAGGAGCTGCGCAGGCTCAGGAATGGCGGCAGCAGTCTCAACATCGGCCGGCCTCTGCTCCACAAGCTCTCCGTGTCTTTCAAGAAGTCTCACTCGACACCGGCGGAAGGCACGGGGCTGCCGACGACGGGAAGCAAGCTGCCCCCTCGCCCGGAGACCCAGAGCGGCGAGGCGACGTCAAAGCTGGCGCCGCCGTTTCCAAGGCTGGAGCCGGCGGTATCACCGCTGTCGCCTCCGGTCGAGGGCAGTGGCCCGGGCCTGGTACCTACCTCAAGCGGCCACGTCTCCTTTGCAGACGGCGGGCGCTCGGCCAACCTCGGGCGCACCACTTCAGCAGGCGGCGGCCTGGACATCCGCCCTACCCGGAGAGCGGGACTGGCTGCTGGTGTGTTCCCCGAGAAGGACACGCACCAGTGGGACGCCCCCAGCTTTCTGACTAGCCGCGCGGCAGGGCGCAACGGTCAGTTCCACGACCTCACCACCGAGGAGAGGGAAGAGCTCGGCGGCTGCGAGTACCGCGCCCTCAAGATCCTGTCTGTTGTCGTCCCGCTCTACTTTGTCCTGTGGCAAGTCCTGGGGTGCCTCGGTCTGGGTGCGTGGATCAGCCACAACCTGCCGGGGCCGGCCCTCCAGAACGGCATCAACCCTTGGTGGCTGGGGATCTTCAACGGCGCCTCGGCCTTCAACAACTCGGGCATGTCGCTACTCGACGCCAACATGATCCCCTTTGAAGAGGCCTTCTACGTCCTGATCACCATGGCGCTCATGATCCTCGCGGGCAACACCATGTACCCGGTGTTCCTCCGCTTCATCTTCTGGACGGGGCTCAAGGGGCTCGAATACTTTACCGCCGAGGACGACTGCGCCGACCTCAAGGCGACGCTCGAGTTCATTCTCAAGTACCCGCGGCGGGTCTACACAAATCTTTTCCCTTCGCGGCAGACTTGGTGGTTGCTCTTCATGGTCATCCTGCTCAACAGCATCGACTGGGTTGCCTTTGAGCTGCTGAACTTTGGCAACGCAGTCATAGAGGCCATCCCCCTTGGCGCGCGCGTCCTCGATGGCCTTTTCCAGGCTGTGGGTATGTATCCCCCAGTTCAAAACCCCCCTTCCTTTTGCAGCATTTCCGCCCAGCCAGTTGAAGCACAGAATCACTGACGAGCTACCTACTCAGCCGTCCGATCCGGCGGCTTCTACGTCGTGCCCATTTCCTCTTTGTACATCGGCCTCCAGGTCCTCTACGTCATCATGATGTACATCTCGGTCTACCCCGTCGTCATCACGATGCGCAACTCCAACGTCTACGAGGAGCGCTCCCTGGGCATCTACGCCGACGACACGACCTCGTACGCGCAGCAGGCCGACCTCGAGCACGCCGCCGACCTCTACGAGCAGCGGTCCGTCGGCGCGGGCTCCGACGCCGCCACCGCCGTCCCCTCGCCCACGACGCGCAAGCGCCGGTTCTCCTCCGGCACGGGAGGGGGAGGGGGAGGCGGCGGCGGCGAGCTGCGGCAGGCGCTGCGCCGGACCTTCGCCCCCTGGCACGGCGTCGGCGTGGCGCCGCCGCGGCAGGCCGGCGACGGGTCCGAGAGCCACATCGGCTTCATCAGCCACCAGATCCACGGGCAGCTGGCGCACGACATCTGGTGGCTCGTGCTGGCCGTGCTCGTCATCACGACCATCGAGACGTCGCACTTCCTCGCCGACCCGGTGCACTACTCCGTCTTCAACGTCGTGTTCGAGGTCGTCTCCGCCTACGGCTGCGTCGGCATCTCGGTCGGCGTGCCGTCCGACTCGTTCTCCTTCGCCGGCGGCTGGCACGCGGCCAGCAAGGTCGTGCTGTGCCTCGTCATGCTGCGCGGGCGGCACCGCGGCCTGCCCGTCGCGCTGGACCGCGCCGTGCGCCTGCCCGGCGAGGAGCTGCACCGCGAGGAGGAGGAGGACCACCGGATCCGGAGGAGCATGACGAGCCGGAGGGTCAGCGTCGACACGACGGCGTGATGGATTTGTCTGGGTGATCTGTGTGAGGATGAGTAGGGGGTACGGGGAGAGTGTACTAAATGGGAGGGAGAAGGGGTTGCTAGGTGCTCAAAGCTTAAGAGATGAGACCATGAAGCTGCATCCTTCAGCGCAGGAGTTTTTGGGTTGCATCATAGACACGACGACAAAGAGACGAGAGACGGTACCGCGGTTCTCGGTTGGATAGACTCATTTCAAATAATGTAACTTAATAGACACGATATGTTCCAGGGCTGTGGAATAGGACTCACTGGTGTGCGTATGAATAAAGTACCGTACAAGCTTACCGAGACCTGGGGCTGGGATGCATGGCGAAAGCTACCAAGAACAAAAATCCGAAAATCAGCCGAAGCCACAAGCTTTTCCTGCGATCGATCAACGGGCCTTGCCGCTTTTGGGAGATGCGGGGAAAGCGATTGGTGGGTGTGCGGAGATCACCTACCGGCCTTGGAACCTGGTTAGGGCCTGGCGCCGAGAAAGTCAATGCTTCCGAGCGAGGAAAAAGGGCATGGCATGACTGCCGAGATCAGCTTCCTGGATGCTGCCGGGAGGCTAATAAATGGCCGAATGGAGGCGGCGCTGGAGCGGGGTTGGAAGTAAGGAATACATGCAAGTAATCACTGGCATATAAACGGCACTCAAACCTTGATTCCGTCAATCGCGTGTCTCCAAGTGTTCCTTGCCTTTTGTTAGGGGATCCTGCGAACTACACGGGACTCGCGATGAGATCACTCGGGATATACAGCCTCGGCGCACTGCTGGGCGCAGGCCTGGCGCGGGCCAATGCACCGCCCGCCAAGCCGTGCGCCACCGGCGCTTTCTCCGGCGTCCTGCCGCCCGAGGCCACCGTCCTCTCGGCCGTCTCTGTGCCGGCGGGCGGCTCCTACGGCGAGGGCCCGGCCGACATCGCCTACCCCATCAACCCGACCAACCTGCCCGAGCTCTGCGCGCTCATCGTCAACGTCAGCAGCTCGGCCAGCTCGTCCTTCCGCTTCGGCGTCTTCCTGCCGGCCGACTGGAACGAGCGCATGCTGACGATCGGCAACGGCGGGTTCGCGGGCGGCATCAACTGGCTCGAGATGGGCACGGGCGTCAAGTACGGCCACGCCGTCGTCTCGACCGACACGGGCCACAACTCGACGGCCGGCGACAACGAGTGGGCCCTGCGCGCCGAGGAGAAGCGCAAGGACTTTGGCTACCGCGCCATCCACGGCTCCGTCGCCATCGGCAAGAAGATCGTCGCCGCCTACTACGGCAAGGGCATCGCCTTCTCGTACTACTCGGGCGGCTCGACCGGCGGCCGCCAGGGCCTCAAGGAGCTCCAGCTGCACGCCGACAGCTTCGACGGCGCGCTGATCGGCGCCCCGGCCTGGTGGACGAAGCGCCTGCAGCCGTGGACCACGCGGGCCGCCATCTGGAACCTGCCGGTCGGCAGCCCGAACCACGTGCCCGTCGAGCTCTTCAAGGTCCTCGAGGCCGAGGTCCTGCGCCAGTGCGACGCCGCCGACGGCGTGGCCGACGGCATCGTCTCGGCGCCCGAGGCCTGCAGCTTCGACTTCTCGGCGCTCGCGTGCAAGGCCTCGGGCACCGAGAACGCCTCGTCGTGCTTCACCGAGGCGCAGATCGAGACCATGCGCCACATCTACGCGCCCTACACCATCGGCGACGAGCTCGTCTTCCCCGGCGCCGAGCTGTCCTCCGAGTCGCAGATGCCCTTCCTCTTCGGCGGGTCGGCCCCGTCCTCCTACGGCGACGGCTACATCCGCAACTTCGTGCTCGACGACCCGGACTGGACGTGGCAGCAGTACAACGACAGCCTCATCGCGCTGTCCGACGCCAGGGACGCCGGCGGCTGCACGGCCGACGGCTTCGCCGCCATGAAGCAGTTCGCGCGCGCCGGCGGCAAGCTGGTGCTGTACCACGGGCTCGCGGACGCGCTGATCCCGCCCGGCTCGGCGCGCGTGCTGCGCGACAAGATCAGGGCGGCCATGAGGGCCGCCTGCCAGGAGACGGACAGCTGGTTCCGGTTCTTCCTGGTGCCCGGCATGCAGCACGTGCAGGGCACGGCGGTGGGCGCGCCCTGGTACTTTGGCGGGTCCGGGCAGGCGGCGGGGCTGACGGCCGGTAAGGGCGGCGCCCCGGGCGACGTCGTGGCCGGGCTCGGGGAGCTGGGGCTGCGGGACGCCAAGCACGACCTGATGCTGGCGATGATGGAGTGGGTGGAGAAGGGCAGGCCCATCGACGAGATGGTCGCCACGTCGTGGAACGTGGAGAGGGACGTCACCTCCGGGGTGCTCAGGCAGAGGGTGTTGTGCTCGGAGCCCAAGAAGCAGGTGTTCATCGGGGGTGACGAGAAGAAGTTGGAGAACTGGAAGTGCGAGTAGAGAAAGATGCAGACGTATGCGCGAAAAGGCCCGAATTCTGGCAGCTCGTAGATAAGAACAAAATAAAACAAAATAATAATCTCTTTTCATGGCGTCAAAGTGCCCCCTGACAAGTTGAGGTGTGTGTTCTCATTAAGGAGGCCCACGTGATGGCGCGGCTTATGCGCGCCGATACCAAACGCGTCCGAGTCAGAAACTTGCCCCGCCGAAACATCTCGTCTTCAACCGAGCACTTCCACGAGCATGCGTCGGGCGACGTCGATCATCGATTCTGTATCTAGTTGACTTTCTATGATGGAAGTGCGAATGCTGTGGATGGCAACTCCCTGCACATCTTGACCTTGGATGGTCGCATCGCCGACATGATGACGACAACAAACAGTCCTCCCGTGGATGTGGATGGATCAACCAAAGAGGAGATAGATGAGACGTCACCAGAGCACAAAACACTCAAGTACTCCCTGCTAGGCCCGTCACTCTTGAAGGCTGGCCAGGATGCAGTCGATCAATCCAAGGTAAGCCGAGATGCTGAGAGCCGGGGTGATGCAACCGCTGACAGACACCCGCTTAGGTCTCTGAGATTATCTACAACGCGTCAAAAGGGTCCAAGTTCTTCAACCGCGAAGAAGTCAAGGACAAGATCCTCACGCAAAAGATCGACCAGATCCTTGCGAAAAAGGCCCGCCTCGAGAAGCTTGACCTCTCCCACGAACTGCGCCAGGCCGACACCCTCATCGCGCAACTCGAGCTCTCCCGCGACCTGTCCCAGTACATCGTCCACGTCGACTGCGACGCCTTCTACGCCGCCGTCGAGCTGCTCGACCGCCCCGAGCTCGCCCACGTGCCCTTCGCCGTCGGCGGCGGCGTCCTGACGACGTGCAACTACGTGGCGCGCAAGTACGGCTGCCGCAGCGGCATGGCCGGCTTCGTCGCCAAGAAGCTGTGCCCGGACCTCGTGATGCTGAAGCTCAATTTTGAAAAGTACACGGCCAAGGCGACCGAGGTGCGCGAGGTGCTGGCCGAGTACGACCCGCGCTTCGAGAGCGCGAGCATCGACGAGGCGTACCTCAACATCACCGAGTACTGCGCCGAGCGCGCCGTGCGGCCGGCCGACGCCGTGGCGCAGATGCGGGCCGAGATCTCCGAGAGGACCAAGATCACCGTGTCGGCGGGCATCGCCGCCAACGGCAAGCTGGCCAAGATCTGCTCCAACATGAACAAGCCCAACGGCCAGTACGTCCTGCCCAACGACCGCGTGGCCATCATGGCGTTCATGAAGAACCTGCCCTGCCGCAAGGTGAACGGGATCGGGCGGGTGTTTGAGCGAGAGCTGGCGGCCATCGGCGTCAAGACCTGCGGGGACATCTACGACCATCGGCAGTACCTCAGCAGGCTATTTGGTGAGAAGGCGTTTGAATTTCTGATGCACTGCTACCTCGGCCTGGGCCGGACCAGGATCCAGCCGGCAGAAGAGTACGAGCGGAAGAGCGTGGGCACCGAGAGCACATTCGGCGACATATCAGACCCCGAAAAGCTGCGGGAGAAGCTGCGCTGGACGGCGGAGGAGCTGGAAAAGGACATGAAGCGCGCCGAGTGCAAGGGCCGCACGTTGGTGCTCAAAGTGAAGCTGCACACGTACGAGGTCTTTACGAGACAAGTGGTCACTCCAAAGGCCATCTCCCTGGCCGACGACCTCTACAACTACTCGCTGCCGATCCTGGCGAAGCTGGAGCAGGAGATGCCCGGCATGAAGCTGCGGCTGATGGGACTGCGCTGCACCCATCTCGTCAGCACAAAGAAGCCCGACACAATGGCGTTCTTTGGGCTCAGGCCCCGCCGGACAGAGTCGAGCGACTCGGACCAGCGTAGCAGTAAGCGAAAAGCGTCAGAAGATGCCGACGGCGGCGCCGAGGATGAGTGGGAACAGTGGCCGGAGGAGGAGCCCGACCAGTATGACGTAGACGTGGACAGCGACGCGAAGCCAGGCACGGAAGAAGAAAGCCCCCATCGGAGGCACGGTAAAGAGGTGGTGCCGAATCCTAAGAAGAAAGACGCGCCGCCGCCGGAGGAGCTGTGGGACTGTCCGATCTGCAGCCGGCCGCAGCCGGCCGACGAGAGGCAGTTCAACGAGCATATCGATCTGTGCCTATCGAGGCAGACGATCCGCGATGCGGTGCAGGAGGACATTGGGGGGTCATCGTCCGCAGCAGCAGCAACGACGAGCCGGGGTACGACTCCCGAGGCGTCGTCGAAGCGAATCAAGACGGGCGGCGCGGAGAAGAAACGCGGCCGGCCTGCTGCGGCAGCAGATCCGCGACAGAAGAAGCTAAGTTTTGGATGATGGGAGGATTTGTGATACTTTCATGCATGCATAGCGAGGTGGCCACGTATGAGATCAATGAAGTGATACCAATATTCTTGTCCGACATGCTGCTCGTGAGCCGCTGCTTGGAGCCAATGTTTGTCCAAGGCCTGATATGAACAAAGCGACCTAGATCTCGTATCCTTTCTTCACACTGTAAATGCCCATGTCCCTGGCTGACCCCTTGTATTTCCAAGCCTGCAAACGCCGTAGTCCCTCGAACCCTGTTCAAAAGCACAATCATGACGCTCCGCTCCCCGTTGCGAAATTATCCCAGAAAACGCCTCTCAGCATACGCCCGAGGCCACGGTCCACCCAGTCCCACCAACCCACACTTTGCGCCCGGCACAGGCGAGACACCGCGCCTCCTCTCCGAGGTTGCTCACGGAGCACGAGAAGCAGACGGCCTTGCCGCACGCGCTGCAGCTCCGGCCCTCCGCGGCCCGCTCGCTACACCCCTCGCCGTCCACGTCCATGGCGCCGTCGTCGGCATACGCGGCGGCAGCAGCGCTGCCGCTCCCCAGAGCCACGCCGCAGTCTTCGCAGCTCGTCGGCGAGGCCTGCCGCATCGCCTGTGATGATGACGATGCCGCCATTGAGCTGGAGGGCGGGGCGGGCGCCGAGCCGGGGATGTTCCAGAAGCTGTGGAGGGAGCGCTGGGTGCGCGTCGCTGGCGTCGGGGCCGGAGGGGCCATGTCTGATGCTTCTGGGGTCGCGGGCTGGTGGTGGTGCTGCTGTGGTGCCGCGGCGCCGGAGTAGAGGAGGTCTAGAGTGTGTTCTGCAATATTTTCCGATTAGCGAGGCCGTTTCGAAGCCGTGAGTGGGGATCCACCGCGAACAAGAAGCAGATCATTACGTACGGTGGACTTCGGCCTCGGAGGGCCGGTTGTCGCGGAAGCGCTTCAGGGTGCGGGAGTGCAGGTGCGCTGGCGCGCGGCACGACGACGAGGAGGAGAAGAGCGAGGGCTGGGCGAAGGGGGAAGGGGAGGAGAAGCTGAAGATGCTGGAGTCGGGCCGCGGCGGGGAGGAGAAGGCGCTGCTGACGGTGCTGGTCATGGAGAGCTCCGACTCGGAGCGCTTGCGCTTGAGCAGCATGATGACCGACCGGGACGAGAAGACGTGGGTTTTGTCGGGCGATTGATAACTGGCCGGATGGGCGGTCGCTACAAAATTGAGAAGTATACACGTGTATCTGCGATTGAATACAATATGATGGTCGTCGGAGTCGACAAAGGGCTATCAATTGGAGACGGCGATGGTGGTGAGATGGGGTGAGGATACGCAGACTGCGCCAATTGAGGTGGCTGGTCTGGCGTAAAGTGCTTTACGGGACGCGTTTTTGGCGGGCGCGTGTTTGTGCTGGACGCGGCGTTGATGACCCGCTGAAACAGGCTCCAGCGCCGAGAGTCCATCAATGTGTCTGAAGGTACTCCGCCAACCAGAGAGTGCTTCATTACGGGTCTCACCTACATGGCATGTGTCAAATGTGCACCAACAGATGAGACTACTGCTCATGCTCCCAACGGATCTATCATGCTTAGCGATATATCAAAAGTGTAATGCATTGAGACTGTAGATCTGTCTACTAGCACACAACCCACAACCCCCTCACACGACCTGGATGACCAGCTTGCCCACGCCGCCCTTGCTCACCCTCGTCAGCTCGCAGTGGGCCCGCACCTCGTCAATGTCCGCCATCCGCACCGTCCGGACGACGGGCCTGACGTCCCCGCGCGCGGCGACGGCCGCCACGGCCTCGACGTCCTCCCGCCGGCCCATGTCGCCCGACAGGAACTCGTACCGGACGGCCGTGCCCCGCAGCAGCCAGGCGTAGTACCACTGCGCGGCGCCGAGCACCCACGCGACCCAGAACGGCGTGTTGGCCGGGCCCAGCACCTCCCGGAACAGCGCCGGCGAGGGCGCGCTCGCGATGGACACGATGACGCCCGTCCGGGGGTTCGCCAGCGGCACCGCGGCCGGCAGGTCCCACTGCGTGTTGTACACGACGTCGAAGGCGCCCGCGCCGCCGGCCTCCCGCACGACGTCCTCCTTGGTGTAGTCGATGACCTTGTCGCACACGCCCGGCAGGAGCCGGTCCACGAGCGGCAGCTTGGCCGTCGACACGGTCGACACGAGCCTATCGGCCTTGAAGGTCCTCTTGATCATCTGCGCGCCGATGTTGCCCGTGCCGCTGAGCGCCGCCGGCATGAACACCTTCTTGCCGCGGAGCAGAGGCCCGGCCATGGAGGTGTCCTCGACGCCAGCGAGCTCGAGCGCCCGCCGCAGGTTCTGGTATGCCGTGACGGCGTTACCCATGAGGCCCGCCGCCTCGTCGAAGGAGAGGCCGGGCGGCTTGGGCACGAGGAACTGCTCCGCCGCGACGACGTACTCGGCCGCGAAGCCGACCTGCTTGAGCGGGATGATGGGCCGCTTGAACACGGCGCCGTAGACGGCGTCGCCGGGCTTGAGGGTAGTCACGGCGCTGCCCACGGCCTGCACGACGCCGGAGCCCTCGATGGCCATCTTGATGGGGAAGCTGTTTTTCTCTTCGAGTGAGTTTTGCCCAAGGTTCATCTCCTGATGGACGTCCTGGAACGACCTACTCTAGTTTGCCGAGGAGCTTCGCCATGCCGCCTGCCATCTGGGTATCGCCCGCTTGGATCCCGGCGGCGTGGACCTTGATGAGTACATCGTCTGGGTTCTCAATGGTGGGGGTAGGTATTTCCCGGATCTCGTAGTCCTTCGGCTTGCAGTACCGCGGCGCGACGAGTGCCTTCATGGTTTTGGGGATCGACGAAGCCATGACTGGTGTTTTCTGAACAAGATCATTGATGCACTTGGAAGAGAAATGTGCTAGAGAGACGTAAGCCCAGCATAATCTCGGTTCATATTTATGAGAGTAAACGGCCGCCGATACCACACGAATCGCGCGACCTGACTTCGGCGTTGCGCCGTGCCAAACATTCGGCGTTCGGCGGGGCGCCACCGAACCTACCACCGAAGATCCACCCCCGACCACAAAGGCGCTCTGATACCTAGATGCTCATCACCATGACTAAACTTATCTGCAGAACATGCTGAAGTGAATTTGGGGACTTTTCCAAATCAATCATTCTCCTCTTGTCATTCGCTGTCGGATCACAAAAACATCGGATGGCCCCGTCCTTCGATCAACCTTCACTAGTTCTCGACTCTACGATTGGCGCTGCACATCGCCCTGGGCAGCAGCCGGCTGTACAGTCTCCGGCGAACTTCGGCCAAGAACCTCCTGTCGCAGCAACTTAATGGTAAACTCAAACGTGAGCTGGCCGGTCGGGATGCTCCATCGGGTTTGAGTTCCACGGCGGGCACGGAACGCTGCCACGGTCCGCATGACGAGGAGAATGAGATGCACCAAGCTATCAAAGGGGGGGCGCATAATGCGTCAGTCTCACAGGTCACATTAACACTGAGTTGTAGACTCACCTCAGAAAAAGGACGACGAGCAGGTACACGAAGATGACGATCTCAAGAGCACCAAACACATTACTGATGTTCTCGTACAGAGCGTCCAGGACAGGGAAGAAAATGTAGACAAAGACGAGAATGTCCACAATGATGTTGATACCCAGCGGCATAGAGGCAACGCCGTGGCGGCGTAGTCCATGGAGGTTGAAGGACGAGCAGATGAGCGCAACGAAAGACTGTCTCGGTCAACATCGGGGGCACCCAGAGGTAGCCGCTGGGAGCAACACTTACCAAGACAGCGGAGAAATTCATGGCGACTATTGTCCTGTACCCGAGATAATGATAGTCTATCGCTTGGAGGACCTGCACACCCAAGTACAGAATCAATGCGCTGGATGAGAAGACTACGGACAAGCTCGTGAGGATCAACGTCCAGTTCCGGCGGGGGTGATTCTCGCCGCCGGGCTCGCCGCCGTCTGCACCCACAGCTCTCTCCTCATCGGGAGCATGTTGAGGCGAGGGCACTGCCAAGTCGTCACGCGTGGCTTCCTGGGGGCCCAGGAGCGGCGTGGACTCGGTAACAGCTTGGGGCTGCGCTGCACTGCTGCTCGGGTCGGACATGATGAGCTCTTGGTCGCGGTTTAGATCGTTCCGTGTGATATGGGCTTGAATTACGAGGGTGTTGTGAAATTGGTGCTGGTCTATGTGGGAGAAAGGGAAGCAGGTGAAATAAGGATCGGGACGTGAGCGAGGTCGAGGTTGGCTGCCTGCGCCGTAGAGGCTGTGCGCGTGGTGGGGCGGTTTGGGGAGGAACCAACGGCATCCTGGTCGCGATCCCTGCCTGCCAGGAAGAGGACTGTCATCACGGGCTTTGAATGAAGACAGATTCATGATTCTTCCCACTGGACAGTCTGTCCTCGTATTTGCTTCAATTAACCTGAGCTTCCCAGTCAGGACACGATAGGCTCAACAAATGGCTCTTGATCATTTCAACAACCGTGTCTTTTATTTGAACTTGAGTGCACACTCGCAACCCTGTTTCCATACGTCTTGGCAACAAAAGCTATCGTCGAAGACTCAATAAGCGCCTCCATCCGACCCTTTGATAGGTGTAAAAGCCACCTCCGCTGGCTGGTCCGAGATACCCCTCCTAACAGCCTCCTCCATGATGGCCACGGTGGCCGTCGCGCCGATCCGGGTCACCCCGAGAGACATCACATAGAGGAGGTCGTCCAGCGTCCGCACCCCGCCCGCCGCCTTGATCTGCACCCGGGGCTTGCAGGACTGCCTCATGAGCTTGAGGTGCGGCACCGTCGCCCCCTTGTACGTGTACATGCCGTTGTCCTGCTTCACGAACCCGTAGCCCGTCGACGTCTTGACAAAGGCCACGCCGACGTCCGAGCAGATCTCGCACAGTTTGATGATGTGGCCTTCCTGCAGGAAGTCGTTCTCGAAGATGACCTTGAGCGCCGCGCCGCGCCCGGTCACGGCGTCGTTGACCTGCCGGATCTCGTCCGACACGTAGTCCCAGTCGCCGCCCAGGGCCTTGCCGATGTTGATGACCATGTCGATCTCCTGACCCCCGGCCGCCGCCGCCGCGTCGGCCTCGAACACCTTGACCTCGGTGGTGCTGTTGCCGTGGGGGAAGCCGAGGACGGGGCAGATCAGCACTCCGGTGCCCTCGAGCTCCCTCTTGGCGAGGGGGATGGAGTACGGCTTGATGCAGGCCGTGGCTGTGTTGTACTTCTTTGCGATGCGCAGCCCGTCGAGGATGTCGGCGTCAGTCATCGTCGGGTGCAGCAGTGAGTGGTCTATCATCTTGGCCACATCACGCAGTGTGACGGTGATGGTGTTGGCCTTGCTGTTCTGCGACATGCTTGATGTGAATGAAGTCTTTATGGTGTGTTCTTTGTGTTATGGCTGTGGTGTATACTTCGAAGGAATTGAAATCTGTCTGGAAGTCGCGGGACAGAGAGCGCCTTATATGCACATTTGACTGGCGCGACACAGCATCCTCATTCGACCCTCGGCTTTGCAAAGGTTCGATATTCTCTTCGAGTAACCCGTATTCGGGTGTCTGATCATGGGATGACACTTCCATTGACGCCTTGCTACATTCACCAAGAGAACCAAGCCAATGATGGAAAGATACTTGTACCGCCGGAACTCTGCCGGTGGACGGAATTACCCAAAAGCGTTAGTCGCTCCGACCCATCGATTCCGGTGGCACCTCTCCAAGATGGGCATATTCCCAGTCTTGCCGTTTACACGACTAGTCATGAGCCCGTACATAATTGAAATTTCTCGTGTTCGCTCCTTGGATGTCAATTGAAGTAACTTTGCCCGGCGGAACAGAATCCCTTGACGAAGGCAAACTCAAAATAGTTACGTATTCGTCCCTGCGTTCTAAGTTCCCGAGTCATTGTCTAGTATGACCCTCAGCATCTGATACCTTCATCTCAATCATACTCCTCATCCACGTTGCCTGTTTTTTGTTACTCTGGCCTGTATATAATTTCCGGGGCTTCTTCATTATGGGCAAGGTACAGCGTAAAGTCGTCAACGCATGTGGAAGATGTAGGAAGCAGAAGCTCAAGGCAAGGAATCGATACTATCATCGCAGGTCAGGGCTAACAATCCAGCAGTGCGATACTGAGCGACCTTGTACATTATGTAGGCGGTCCGGATTCGAATGTATCGCCATATCATCAGAGACATGGAAGGTATATCAGCCTGACATACCCACTCTCAAGAGTGCAGGCGATGATAGAGGTCGGAATGCTCCGTTCAGAAAACAGCGCGACGGTCGAAAGCGAGACGGCGACGACTCTGATACTCAGTCAAACAGAAGCAAGCGTCAGAGACATCAGAGCGCTCCTGTCTCACAGTATCCCACGGCTTCCACATTTGATGAGAGTCTACCGGAAGCAGCGCCCCGGAACTCGAGTTCGACCATCACGTTGGTTCAAGAGGTCGGTATTGCACCGTCACATTTGAATTCACGAGGCCTTTACACTGACACATCTCGGGCCTAACAGGCATTTCAGCATCACTGTACTAGCACGCCCGAGGAGGCGGACACCTCGGCCTTCTCATCGACTTCGTGGAGCAAAACATCGACCAAGGGAGACACATCCACACAACAAAGGCCCCTCACCTACTCTAACCCATTGCAGTCGATTCTCTCCCGTCAGGTGGGATCCCTTGGGGGAGTCGACCATCGTCGACAGAAGCGGACGGCAGCCGCAGAAGGAGCGTTGATTGCCTTGCTTCCGTCAGTCGAGGTGGCAACATTGTTGGTCGACAACTACTTTGACAAGATCCACTGGTTCACTTTGTTGTTTTATCAGCGGGACTTCAGGCGAAAGTTCCGAGAGCTCTATGCCTCTGTGTTTGAGCTGGCTCAAGAGAAAGGCGCCATACTATCCTCTGGTAACCGGCTCGGGCATATCGCTGTCCTTCTCGCTGTCATCGCCACTAGCCTGCAGTACATTGACGAGGACCAAAAGAACACATTGATTGCATTGGAAGTTGACATGGAGGCCCTCAGGGACGACATATTGGACGCGCTCAGAATGCGTCTGCTAGACATCCTTTCTCTGGGTACCCTCGAGGTGGTGCAGCTCTGTGTCCTGACCGGAAGCTACTACCTCTATCACAGCGAACCGGAGCTGGCTTGGCCCCTGTGCGGATGTGGTCTACGCATCGCCCAGGCACTCAACCTGCACCGACGCCTTCCCAATGACCAACAAGCAGAAAAGTCTGTGGTCGAAGCGCGGAAGCGATGTTGGTGGGCCGTCTATGAGATTGAGACATTTTGCTCGATGCTGTATGGCTTTCCGCAGAGCATAAATGATGCGGACTGCGACATCGAGCCCTTGGACCCGTACGACGAGTCTTCCGAGTCTACGGTGCTCGATCGATCTACAACAAAGCCGACCTTATTACTTTTCAAATATGCCATGTCTCAACTGTCGTCAATCATTAAATCGGCCCTTGTCGATCTCTATGGAACGCAGCGAGATATGCCAGTCGGGCACGCCAAGGACCAGGCATCTCAACTGCCAGAACTGATCCACCGTGTCAAAGCTCTGAACCAGAGATTGCGCAGGTGGTATGACAACCTGACGCCAAGGCTCAAACTCAAGGATATGGGTGCTCACAATCTGGAAGAAACGTCCGAGCAGCGATCCTTTGAAGAACACCTGTTTCACCTTCAGGCCCTCATCCTCAAATTGGCGTATGAGAACACCAAGATACTGATACACAGGCCTCTGCTCTCCTTCAAAGTCGTCACTCGCTCCAACTACACACCCAGACAGCCCACAAGTCAGACTTCTGACCCCTTCGCCTCCGCGATTCACATATGTCGAGACTCCGCGCTGCAGATCTCGCTCCTCGGCGCCGCACCCAGCGTGAAGCAGGCCGCCGATACGTACGCCCTTTCCTTCATGTGTCTGCACCTTTTCACTGCCGCAGTAACACTGTGTATCGTCTGTAGTATCGATCCGCTCAGCCAGGATGCTCACAATTGTAAAATTGGCATCCGCCGCCTTATGGAGACCCAGAACCAGCTCAAACACAAATCCGTCGTCGCTTCGCAGGGCCTGGACATTACTCGGCGCCTCATGTCGCTTGTTCTTACTAAGGAGATTGACGCCACATTTAACATCTCCTCTCCAGTAGAGGTGAACACCACAGTGCGGGCAAAAGGGCCGAAGGTAGTATCTGGACCAAGTGAAGGCACCCAATCCCTATCACCGGGCCTCCCTATGGCCATGCCAGTCATACCTTCATCTGGACAATTTATGGCCACAGGCGACATTTACACAGCCCCAAATACCAATGTAGCAGTAGAGGCAGCTGAGAGTGGGATGGTTGACCCTGTAAATCCCGGGATTGACTATTGCGAAAACTCTCTTATCAATGAAGCTTTCGTGGATTTTGGCCAAGGCAAGACTCATGTTGCAACGGGTTGTGTGGGATCTCTGACTGACTGAGCTCTATAGCATTCTTCATTCCGGGCAACGGACCACCACATGATGAACACGGATTTTGGGACGATTATCATGTCGGGCAAGACCCCGGTTGGATGTGGGGATGTGGTTGGCAGTGAAAACAATAAGGGGTGAAAGCACACTGCTATGCGCGATGTACTATTCTGTGATGACTTTTTGTAGCAGTTTTACTTCTCTATAGTATGAAGAACATCATAACATCTATTCATTATATAGCGCTAGTTGAGTCGCTTACACGGCTGTCTGTCCTTGATCAACGGCGGCGGTTTCGCTCTCAGTGTACGGTGCGAAGAGTATCACTCTGCGTAACAGGGCATTCGCCATTCATGTTTCTGTTTCACAAAAACCAGCACATTGAACTGTAATACGGAACAGATGGCGGTACTTGCATCACGACTACTGCTGTTTGTGTTGCAAGCATTCAAGCGGGAACCCGTGTTTGTTTGCCACGCGTCGAAGCGATTCTGTTGCACTCAGCTGAACGCATACCCGAACTGGAATCCGGAGAGACAGAGACAGTATGTAATAGAGCGCGGGATTGTAGCGTATAGTTGCTTACACTGATTACCTGATGCAGTCGCACTGTCACAGAGAGTCGCTCCCGAGCTCACTATGCCCGGCTTCTTCACGATACTCGATCTGATATGTGGGACGAATGGAAACCGAATCACTAATCGCGGCCAACTCACCGACAGAAACGAATAACGATTCTCGAGCATCTCCTTGGAGATATTTAAGTCGTGGCTCGGCGCCGGAAGTTTAGAACTACAAAGCAAATCCCTATTGCCTGCAGCTTTCCACAGTACCAGCACAACCTAAACACCGAGGTCATGGCTTCCAGTCCCGGACCCAGCTCCGAAGCTGGCGATGTGCAGCTTACCATCGGCGTCGAGTGGGAGTTCCTCTTCGCCTTCATCCCCGGATATGAGTTCAAGGTCCTTGAAGATGGTCCAGGCGATCCCTGCGGCCGCCCGTTGGTGACTTTGCCCTGCGAACACCCTCTTTTCGAACCCGTGGCTGCCCGGCGAGTCGCGCAGTCCCTACGGCCGCACCTCGCAGGCTTCTCTCCGGGGAAGATCGAGACCATATGGGATATGAGAGTTAAGCCCTACATGAGGGGCTACGCAGACCACTGGATGGTGAAGCTAGATCGCTCTGTCGGGGGTTATCCAGGGGGCGAATATCACTTCACGGGCCTCGAACTCACGTCGCCTATCCTTCGGGAGAGCGACCCGCAGCTCGGGGCCATGCTCGTGGAGGCGACGCGTGCCCTCACACGTCACGATCGCGTCAAGCGGAACGAGACATGCGCGCTTCACGTCCATGTCGGCGTCTCGGGAGAAGAGGGCTGGGATATGCTGACCCTAAAGAAGCTCGCGTCGCTCCTCTGGCTGGCAGAGGACCGCCTTGCTCGTCTGTGCCACCCTGACCGGAGCGACAATGTGTATTGCCTCTCGCTGGCCAAGACGAGCATGCTGGCTGTATATACTATCGAGCCGGGAGATCCCGAAGACACGACCGAAATCAATACCTGGCTCGCGCCCCTTTTCGGCGAAGCCGCGAGCGCTCACGCAGAGACGCAACAGCGGCTGACCAAACTTTGGAGTGCGAAGCAGCGTCTCATCCTGGCAACCATGCTCCGCGAGACTTGTGCCGGTTCGCTGAGATACAACTTCAAGAACCTGGTGACACAGGTCTTGGGAGAGTCCGAAGCCCCAAATGGCCCATTGGACAAGAGAACGGTCGAGTTCCGCATGATGGACATGACCTTCAACGGAAAGCTCGTGCACGCGTACACAGCCTGCTGCATCCGTCTTGTCCACTGCGCTAAAGATCTAGGCATCGGCGAATATCAGGTTCTCGCGCGAGAGCTTCTCAAACCCGAGACCGAGTACACCATCTGGCAGTTGCTGGCAGGCATCGGCCTCGACAAGCAGCACATCGATGAGCTGGAGAAGTGGGCAGCAAATGGCTATGAGGATCCGCTGGACCTGCCCCTCGCAGGTGCTGACGAGGCAGGCATCGTTCAGGCGCAATGATGACGATGATGATTCAGTGCTAGCGAGGATATAGAGTTGGCCTCTCTTTTTGGAACATTCACATAACATGAATCAGTTGACAATACCAAATTTTTCGCTCTCACATTTCTTTCTCGAGTAGACCAGGCAGTATAAACCAGTCTACCAGAGCAATACCTAAACCAGCTCACTTCTCGGTAAAGACGGGCTCTCCCTCAGCCGCATCCACACCCTCCTTGACGCAGCGGTCGACGGCCGCCTGCCTGTCGTCCTTGCCGTCGAGCAGGTCGAGCCAGCAGTTCTTGACGCCCCCCTTCTCCAGCAGGAGCGCCGCCACCTCGGCCACCGTGGCCCGGCTCGACTGGCCCCGCGACGTCGCCGTCTTGCCCAGCTCGATGGCGCCCGCCGGCTCGGTCGTCAGGGTGCCGGGCCGGAGGTTGATGCCCGCAAAGTCCCGGCGGGCGCGCGACGCGCGGTACAGGGCCTCGTCCGAGGCGATCTTGGCCTGGTAGTACGTCTTGAGCGCGCCGTTGTTGACCTCCTGCGCCGCGTCCCAGGCCGCGCCGTCCCACCACGAGGGCTTGGCGCGGCGGGAGCCGACGTACGAGATGAGGAGGAAGCGCGTGACGGTCGGGGTGGCTGCTGCGGCGTTGATGAAGTTGATGCAGATGTCGCGGTCGATGCGCAGGGTCTGTTCATGTCAGAGATGGTTACATGATGGTGTTGTTTCAGCAATCCAGGCTCACTCTGTCAGGCCCTCCTCGCCCGCCGGCACCTTTTCCGCCCCTTTGATCAGCACACTATTCGCAGTCCAAGGTCAGTGAGGTAGTAACATCACCTACCGGCACTCCAGACGACATAGTCGGGCTTGACTTTGTCGAGGATAGACTTTGCCTGAGCCTCATCCTGGACATCCTCGAGGCTGCTCACTAGGACGTTGAGCTTGCCGGCCTGGCCCTTGCCCAGGGCCTCGATAGTGGCGGCCTGCTCCTGGGTGCGGATCATGCTGGTCACGGTCCAGGACCGCTTGAGCAGGATCGGTGTCAGCAGCTGGGCGATCTTGCCGTGGCCGCCGATAACTAGAACGTGTCGAGACATGGTTGGGATGGTCTGATGATGAGGCTTGGCGGTTACGGGTTAGCCTGGCTGACGTCGAGTGAAGCGGGAATCGGCATTGATGGTCCACTCACTGCTAAGTAGCTATGCTGGTGTAAATAGTGAGCTGTTGAGTTTTTATCGTGACTCGGTTCTTGATATGAATTTGATCTCCGGCGATGAGCGCAACCGCTGCTTTTATGCATCTACTCTCCTCATCAATGGGAAGAGTGTAATACCGCATGACGTCAAGATCACCCGCTCCCGGCGCTGCATACTAAGCAGCCAGCAGAATTGCGCGATGACTAATACCCACATATCCCTCGACACGCGCCGAGGGGATTCAATGTTCCGAGGTAGAAATTCAATTTCCAACATTGAGTTACGATATTGCTCGTCTATATCTATGATGATGTGTATGTTCTCCCTTATTGTCTAGCTACCACAATCACAGGCCCTTCTCACGTCTCCGGACCATCATCTTCGCCCCGAAGGGAGGCAGCAGCACCTCTGTCAGCCACTTGTTTTCTGGCCTCTTCCCGCCATATTCATCGGGGAACTTTATATCGTAGTGTGACAGCACATAAGTCATCATCATCTTCATCTCGAAGTCGACTAGGAACCTCCCCGTGCAGGCGTGCCGGCCGTGTCCAAAGGGTAGATACTGGTGCGAAGTGGCGACCATGGCCAGGCTCGGCCCGTCGGCGGAAGCCTCCCGGATGCGTGAGAATCGGAAGGGGTCAAACGCGGCCGCGTCCTCGAGCACTTCGCCATCCATGTGTGCCGGCTGAGACAAAAAAGAGATCAGAGAACCCTTGGGTAGGTGCACGCCGGTATTTGTCGTCAAGCCGCCCTCGGCAGCCACCGTCCGGAACATGACGCGGCCGCCCACCGAATGGGCCCGTAGCGTCTCCCTAATGAGGCTATCCGCCCTCGTCATCTTGGCGACGTTGGCCCTCGTCCACCTCGCCGCGCCCAGCCCCGGCGGCACCACCCTGCGCATCTCGTCGCGCAGCACCGCGACGGTGTTGTGCTCCGCGTCCGAGCCGAGGATGTTGAGGAATATGTTTGTCGCCTGCGTGCTGAGCTGCTCCATCGCGCCAAAGTTGGAGTGGCACACACGCTGGTTGATCATGCCGAAGTCGTCGAGCTCCTCCGGGCGCTCCTGCTGCGCCAGGCGCAGGTGCCACTGGAACATGTCCATGGGCTCCTCGTGACCCGGGTCGTCCTTTGCATACTTCTTGACCAGGGCGAGGCGGTCCTCGTAGAGCGGCCGGAGATATCTGCCCACCTTGTCAACGAGCTTGCGGGTCTTGCGGCCTGCGATGAAGCCGACGATGGGTCGTATCGATGCCGGTGCGCCTGCAGCCATCCCGGCTGTGCTCACGCAGCCGTCACCCACTTCCATACACGTCTCTAGATAGTCATCGTTGCGGCCTGGTTGTAGTTTAGCGAGGCCTCAGCAACGTAGAAGTGTAGAAAACACTCACATAGTGGTCGGCCAACAATGAAGCGACTGGCAACTTGAGCGGCAACCATGCGCATAACCGAGTGGAGTTCCATCTCCCTCCAAGCTGTAGTGTCTAATCCGAGACGTTTGTCGAATGCCACAGCTATCTCATCATCAATTTCTTTCACAATCCAGTCGAGGTGGATGTTTATATCCTGTCGGACCAGCGTCATCTGCCAGGGATCGGCGACAATGTCATGGCTCCCGAGGCTGTAGCCCGTCTGGTCCAGCTCTGCAAACGCGCTGTTGACCTCGAGGACGTCCTCGGGCTGGGAAAGGGCCCATTTCATCGACTGGACTGGCAAAATAATCTCGGATCGCGACAGGATGCCGGGGATGATGACAGCCTTGCCCTTTTTGGCATACTGCAGCAGAGTCAGCAAGGCCATATCACATATGATATACGCGCAGATTCCAGCACGTACATCATGATACGCTTCACGGAACAACGCCTCGCAGTCGTTGTAGTACGCCTTGCGCGTCCGGAGACTAAACCACCGTTTGCCCGGAGGCTCACGGATGAGGTCGACACCAGCTGGGTAGGGCACGGTGAAGAAGGCAAAGTGGAACGCGACAGCCAGGCAGAGGCCGAGCAGGCCGATGAGGACGGCGCCGGCCAGAGTACTCCAAGCTGCCGGAAGGAGAGCCGGGATGGACCAATCCATGTTGAATCGCCCCAATTTCACCGAGGATAGAACAACGGCAGAAAGCACTCAGCCGAAATCTAATTTCTGTGTTAGACACTCCTTTCTTGGGATCCAGATCGTTGTCCGGGCCGAGTCGACGTCAGGTCATGATCTCGAGGTCCAATTTTCGCGCACCCTCACTTGGCGGGACTTAACCGGAAGCGGGCGGGCTCGGCGGAGCGACCCGCACGTCAAAGAGCGGCGCGGCGCCGTTGTTAGGGCTAGCAAATCACGAACGCTGTAGAATAATCATAAAATTCGCCGAGGATTGTCTATTTGGTATGCGGTCCACCCAATGTGGAACTTGTTGTTGGAAGGTTGCGGGATACCTAGATGGGCGAATGGGTTTACATGTGCACAGGCTGCAGATGCTGCTGCGACAGAAGTAGAAGAATACAACTCTTTTTGCGGTAAAGTACAATCCCGTTCCAAACCTAGCTCCCAGGTCCGGCCGGTGTCCAGGCATGGGTATGGAACGCTCGTCCTCGGCTCTCCCAAGACACCCGTCTATTCGATCAGCGTGTTGACGCGGGGCGACGACCAGGTGTGCTCCTGCCCCTGGCCCCGGCGCGGGTCCTCCTGGTGCTCCTGGATGTCGTACCCCCGCGTCACGACGATGGCGTTCTTCTTGTTCATGCCGTTGTCCTTGAGCGCCAGCTCCTCGTCCGAGTCGGCGCGCCGCGTGAGCTCGCGCGTCGAGCTGCCGTCCTCGGTCTTGCTGTAGTCGTCCTCGAGGCGCTCGGCGCCCTTGGGGGCCGAGCGGTTCGGGAACAGGTTCGAGAGCTGGTGGCCGCGCGAGCCGGTGCCGTGGCCGTTGCTGCTGCCGCCGCCGCCCATGTTGTAGCCCTTGCTGGCGCCGGGGGACGAGCCGTTGGTCGTGAGCCCGCCGCCGCGCCACGTCTTCCACAGCGCGCGCAGGGCGGGCATGTTGGCGGCGAAGATGGCCGTCTCCATCTCGGCGGCCGACACGATGATCATGATGCCGACCTCCCACGTGAAGTCGGGCGTCTTGGTGAACTCGTTGATGACGATGAGGCGCAGGCACGAGACGAGCACCGAGGTGCCGCCCGTGGTGATGACGGCCAGGACCTGGAGGCGGCGCTTGAAGCTCATCTGCAGCGTCATGATGGTCGTGAGGGGCAGGATCAGGATGGCAAAGTCGACGGCGATGAGCTAGTGCGAGAATTTTGTTAGTAAAAAGGGTTGACTGTGCTTGCCGGAACGAGACTGTTGTTTGCGGTTTGAAGCAGAAGCAGCAGCACATCTGCTGACTGCTGCATCATAGGGGCGTTCGATGATAACAAAAACTCAGGAGAGATTTGAACAGAGACTTACCGCGCAGGCAGGGAGCCACAGAGACACGGCGAAGGGGAGGCACTTCACATCTGGGTACTTTGCCTTGTTCCAGTATGCCTCGATAGGCTGGCACTGCAGACAGTAGAGAATCCAGACACCGACAGTGACAAAGATGTTGATGCCGATCACGGACCACACCGCACGTCTGAAGCCCGTCGCTGGGGAGAGACGTAGGAAGAAGAGCAGGAAGGACATCTTGATGCAGAAGTGCAGAAAGACGTAGTAAATCTCTTCGGTAAAGAGGAGCTGCATGGGTTGCATGGTTAGCTGCGACTCGACCAAGGACCAGTTGTCATTGTCAACCAACCTTTTGCATGTTTACGATCTTCATCGGGTCTTGTTTCATAACCTCCGCCGTGGGACTAGGAGAGAAGAATTGCATGTTAGTGAGTCTTCCACCTGTCGAGGGGGCATCCACCTTACAGCCCGGCACCGTTGTCGACGAAGATGTACAAGATAGCATGCTGGCCGATGTTGATGAGCTATCGAGCCCTGTGTTAGTCTTACTCGTGCGAATGCGGTGTTGTCCGTGATCCCTACCGCAGCTATGGTCATTGCAAAATCATCCCATCCGTACGACTTGAGAACAACGGCCTTGGTCCAGATCCGAAGCAGTGCACTGCCCTCGCCGAAAGCAAAGCAGAAATTGGCCATGAAATGGATCACGGGCAGGAGGTTGGTAGGCGAGCCTGCCATCTTTGCAGCTGGTGGCGAAGCCGCTACTCTGTGTTTCGAATATCCTTTACCGCAAGAGAGAAGAAGAAGAGATGGAAAAGATGGTCGGCGATAGTAGGTCTTGTCTTTTGTTTGCGAGCACCGAGCAGCTTCACGAAGAATCGAACATCCCGACAGACTTTTCACCAACAACACTCGCACCAAGCCAACTTGTAGAGAGTCAGTCCTTGCTTGTTATGTGCAATTGAAGGCTACGGGGCGATAAGGAGTTCGCCATTATGGGACAAGGTGAGGATGAAGGCCCTGGTCAGCTGCAGTGCATATGCTGTCGATCACGTTTCGAGAGGAGGAGACCCTTTTCAGGGGTGTCTTCCTGGGTTTTAATGGGGAATCAGTGCTTTTGTCCTCCCCATACGAACCACCAACAGGCAAACTGTTACTCCATAGCCCACGGTCACTCCCCTGGACCGAGAAGAGACTGTTAGCAGACCCCATAGGCCAGGATGCTGGGCTTCCCCGTCCTAAATCCGCAATTGGGGAGCAACTATGGATTGCACCTTGTTCTATCCATGAAGAATCTGCAAGCAGCACGTAAGCACCCTTGGATGATCTGGGACGTCTATCTTCTTCATCCGGGGTCAAAATACGCGCAGCCTTGACAGATCAGGTGCTTAGGTGTGTCGGTGCTGTTGCGTATCTACAAGTACACACGTAGTTAGTCTCGGTAGTCGTGCCCATCGATATGGCGTTGGTGCTTCTCTGCCGGCTTTGTGGCGGCACGGATGCTCGCCTCGAGGCACTTGATCTTCCTCCCCTTACCCGACTGCCGTGACTACTTGTTGGTCTAACTGTTGTACGGGAATAACGAGACGGGTAACCTCCTCAAGACCCACTGCAGACTCTTTAGCACTGAAACCCGATGTGACACTTCTCCATCTGAGGACAAAAAGTTGAATTATGTCTACGAATTAGGGCTAGTTCTCTCTCAATTTCCGTGTACGCACGCTTTGTGGAGGCTCTCCATGTTCACAAGTCTATTTTTTCCTCAATCTCGGCCCAAGCCAAGGCAAGGATCGTTAGGTAATGAGCCTGTGCTTCACATGATAGACAGGTCTCGATGCTTGCAAAATTGCGGGCTCACTTCACCCTGTCCGCAGCTATTGCGCGCTCCTGAAAGTTTTCGTTACCGGCATGTCGGGTAACGAGGATTTCCTTCCTTGCACAGGTACGGGATCATCATTTGGCCCGACTTGCACTCCAACAAATACCTCGCATATGACTGGTCACCCTTGTGGCTCTCGGCGTAAATGCAGACCGCCCAGGCCAAGGACCCTTGTTACGCTCCTGTGGAGCAGGTGCAGATCATGCCTCGTTCGGAGCGTCATAGTCATCTAATCCCCCTGGTTCCTGGGACGGAATGGTCCAAGGTCGACGGCCATCTTTCCGTAGTGACTTGCCAGGACTGGTAATGCTTGCCGTCCAGTGCACTACTTGTACTAGTAACTACTGGTATTCGTAAACGAAAAGCTTGCAGTGCGGCACAGCAAGAAAGGGTCGCAGGTCTGGTCTGATTGCTAATGCGATGCGGGGCGGCACGGATATGCCGCGCGCCACGGCGCCGCTCCTCCCGCACGTCCTCCAACGCCCAAGTGATAAGAGTAATAGCAAAGGCTTTGCTAGACACCAACAGACATACAAAAGTACTTGTACTCTGTTCAGCCCGTCCGTGTGTCGCGAGACGCACCAGAGGGATCTACAGCTTTGGCATCTTTAGAGACGTAGTCAGATGAACGACTTTTATTATTGAGCCTTTTGGCGGACGCTAATGACATTTTGGGGAAACGAGTGCTCCATACGGAGGCATTGCTTCACACTCTGGCCCACGAGCCCCTAGGCGGCCTTGACAGCCTCCTTCTCTGCAAAGTCGGGGAACTGCACCTCGAGGTACCTGGCGTCTCCAGTGACGCCGTAGTTGGCCTGGACGTTGAGCCCGAGCCACTCCTTCATCTGGGGGTCCATCTCGTCCTGCAGCTCCTTGGGCAGCTTGGCAGTCCAGTTGACCTGCTGCCGCACGTAGGGCGCCGTGTAGTAGCCAAAGAGCAGGGCCCGGTCCCGGTCCTTGGACGTGTTGGTGCCGCTCGTGTGCCACAGCCGGCCGTCCATGGCGATGACGTCGCCGGCCTTGCCCTCGAAGGGAACCAGGCGGCGCGGGGCGTCGGCGGGGATGTCGTCGCGCGTCGTCCACTTGTTGGAGCCCGGGATGTAGCGCGTCGCCCCGTTCTCCTCGTCGACGTCGTTGAGGCACCAGATGATGTTGAGCGCGTTGACGTCGGTCCAGGGGGCCGGGAAGACGATGCTCTGGTCCGAGTGGAGGCACATGCTGCGCGAGCCCGGGCGGGCAATGTTGGCCGTGAAGTTGGAGATGAGGAAGCTCTCGCCCAGGACCGACTTGACCATGTCGATCGCCGTGGTGTGGGCGACCAGGTCGCGGAAGATCTTGTCCAGCTCCATGAGATAGAAGACGCGCACGTTGTGCTCGTTGGGGTCGATAAAGGGGATAAAGGTAGGGTCGCCGCGCTGCTCGGCGGCCTCCTTGGCCTTCCAGAGCCGGTCGAGGATGGAAGCGGCCTCCTCCTTTGAGAGGATGCCCGGCAGCCGGGCCCAGCCGTGCTCCTTGAGGTGAGCCTTAGCGTCTGCGTACTGGTCGGCCATCTCGATGCCCTTTTTCGGTCGTTCAAAAACAGCGAGTACTCAAGATACTACCCGATTCGTAGTGGATGCGAGGGTTGGGCAGAGCATGTATCGATGTGTGTGATGGGAGGAGGAGGAGCAGATGGAACATGGCTCCCACGTGGCTTTTGATATACTGTGGTCCTCGAGATTCCAAGAAAGATTGGTCAGGAGATGTTGGGCAAGATTTCACCGCCAGTACCGACAGATGCCCAGGCAGGGAAACGCGCTGTTATTCGCTGGGACTTGGGAGCGCAGATCCAAGAACACCTGCTGCACAAAAGTCAGTATCTACCCAAGCTACCCCAGCCTGACCCGGCGCTGTCTTGCATACGGAGGTATCTCGCGTGCGAAGCGCAGAGGGGCGGCGGTGAGGGGTTCTTCAGTCCCACTTTCCCCTCGACCATGCAGAAAGAGGGCAAATCAGTGCTCATCTTGACAGGATTATCCTGTGGGATACTACGTAGTCTTCTCATGTCGCCTCGTCCCAGGGCATTGGTGTGATGATAGCAGCCCATGACCCACCCGGCCCCTTGATCGTGCGGAGGGAGCAACCAACAGTTTCATGATCAACTCTGCAGTCGGCAGCATCTACCTTACCACGTTGGTACTAGACAAAATCCATATGGTCAGCAGCGGCCGTGGTCCTTCAATGAGATTCAACTGTCAGCCCAAATGCAAGGGTCTACTTTGCCCACCCAAGAGTTCCCCCCACCAGGAAGTGGGCAAAATCATTTCAACGTCGTTTCCACCTGGTGGACCGGGCCGAGATGTGGAAATTTGCCCTCACTGGACGCCCCTCGTGTTGGTGATTAGCTCCATTGCGGACAATCCCCCGCTTCGGGGCGTGCACTTGGCTGGCCATCATGACAATCCGCTCTGCTCATGGCCGGCATCGCCCCAGTCTCCAGACCCGAGCCAAGTTGCCGGCCCAGAACTCTCCCTGCCGGCCTCGTTCATGTCGGCAAGCCAGTCCACGCCCCAGGAGAGATGGTACTGGAGGTCGTCGAGCCCAAGTGCGTACTCGGGGCCGCTGACAAGCTCGGAGAGGACTTGCCCGCCGCCACTGGGAGCAGGAGCAGAAGCAGCGGAACTGGTTGCTAGTGAGTCGTTGGCCGCAAAATGAGTCTGCCCGGCGGGCTCCTGTTGTACGCTAGACGACCAGGATACCGTTCCATGGTGGGTCTGCTGCCTCGTCATCTGTTCCGGCACACTGCGAGGTGTACCTCCCATCGACGAGCCTGCATCGCTCGATCGTGGCGGTCCGCCAAGGTGCTCCGACGAGTGCTTCTCGCTGATGGTCTTCCTCGCAAGGCGATATAGCGAGAGAGGGTTCAAGAGATGGTCGGGAGTGTTGGGTATCAGCACGGCTGGGGCATTGTCATGTCTATGTCTCGCAACTCTGTCAGCCACTTGCCACACCCTTTCTCCCTTTATGATTTCGGAGATATGGAATGGTTGCGCTCACCGTATGAGACCTTGTGGGTCGGATGGGTCGGCGGGATCAATGTGGGCTGTAGCATCTGCATGAACAAAGCTCGTCCGTACTTTATGGAGCCATCGCTCAGCAGTGATGTGCTGCCATACGTCCAGATCCACGTTAATCAGGCACAGCAACGCGGTGAGCACGGATGACAACTTACCAGCTGTTCAGCAAGTGGGATCATGGCAGACATCACTTTCAACACTTTGTTGTTGCTCTGCACATACTCTATTGTCTCCTTGACCAATTCAATGGCATTTGGACTGCTTAGGTCGAGCACCCGAGCGATATAGTAGAGCATGGACCGATTGCTGTTGTATGCAAACGTGTGTAGCATCGAGTCCGCAAGGAAGCGAGCTCCTCGTCGTGCCGTCTCGGCCAAGACAATTGCTATACTCTGAGCATGTCCTTGGCCCTCTAATTGCATGCTTTGGAGGAAGCGGTGCTGCTCTGGCGGAAACGTCACGGCATTCCCGAGCCGAAACAGCTCCGGCAGGAAGATCCGGTAGAGATCAAGCATAGTATGGTGGTATGTGCAGTGAAGGAGAGCGAGGGCGCCGAACTGGGACGACTCGAGCCGGATATAAATGTTCTCGGGCGAGAATTCTAGACAAGAAGGAAGCTGAAGGCGCCATCCTTGGAGGTCTGCCCGCAGCTGCGAGAACTCCGAATGTGGGAGCCAGGGAGGCTGGGCCGTGTCCAGTCGTTTTACAAATCTGAAATATCCAGCTTCAGTCAGTGTGTGTTTCAACGCCAAAACAGTTCAAAGGCCGGGCATCGCTCACCGCGCCACGCGTTTCCAGAGAGATACCAGGCGAACATAGCACGTCGCCATACCCACATCTTCTTCTGGCTGAGGCTTGTAGCGGACTCCGAGCTTCTTGGTGACCGATGGAAGCTGCAGCAAGAAGTTCCGTTCGTTGCAGGGCAACTGAATCTTGATATCGCTCTCATGGAGAAGGGTCAATTGGTCGACTCCTGAACCAGCCCACACGTCAAGAATGAAACAAGCCCAGAAAACCCGACGTCTCGCCTCCAGATACGTAGTGGATGGTGTGTCTTCACCTGGTTCTACGGTATACTCGAGGTTGAGCTGGAGCCCATGGGCCATGCGAGTGGTGAGCCCACTCAGCATCAAGGCCTGGGGGTAGTTGCCAAGACGGAACTGGTAGTCATACAGGAGTACGGCGGCCTACAAAGAGCTGTTAGTTGAGGTTATTGTTGCTAGCCAGTGCCCAGGTGTATGTTACCATCAAATTGGATATTGTGATTTTGCCGTAATTCGTCAGGATCAGCTGCTCAGCAACCTTTGCCCATTCGTTGCCAGCGGAACGCAAGAAGTCGGTGGGTAGTGGCTGGGTGTTTTGGCTGTATTCCAAAGCATGAAATCTGAAGCGCCTCCATGTTAGCTATGTTTCTTAGGGTAGCAAGCATGACAGGCCACGACCTACTTTGCACCGTGGGCACATATGATGTGCAGCAGGGCATTTTCGTCCGTGTTCTCGACGGCAAAGCCCTGGTCGAGCTGCCGCATGAAGGAAGGCTTGTGGACGAATGCAAAGCAACGAAGAGGATGCACATTGCCAAAGTATTGCTCGACGACCTGGCGCAGGAGAGCCGGGTTCGACGGGAGTCTCGGGGAGACGAGCCTGGGAACTGGTGTGTAAGCAAATGTTTCAGAAGCCAGGCGATCCGATCACGACGCCTACCACTGTAATGGATTGGAAATTGTGCGAACTAATTGCAGCTCGGCAGCTGCCGAAGGATTGTCGCCTGGCTGAGTAGGGAGCTCGGGTTGATGTGCATCAGCATCTTGCGGTTGGACTTCATTTCGCTGTATAGGAGATATAGGCGCGATGCATTCTTGTCTGGCTGGCAGGTGCGTGTCGGTGACCAGCACCCTTGTAGAGGAAGCTGCGGGCGAAACTGGCTCCGGCTGCGGAAGCTGCGGCGGTGATTCTTTAGGCATTAGCTGGGATGTCCATGCGGGATCGGGTCCGGCATCGTAAGTGCATGGCACGGATCGCGTCCGACATCGCCGGCACGACGGTCTGTCGCCGTCGCACTTGGTCTTGGATGCCCTGCAGCTGATACAAGACCGGAAGGTTCTCTTCTTCCTGGCCGTGGTCGGCTCATCGGCCGCGCTGGACGGTCTCCTGCTGGCCGAAGGCGAGCTAGGCGAGCCGTCAAAGCAATCCAAGCCCAAACGTGCGCATGCCATGCACGGGCGACCGCCGTGGCACTTGACCTGGAGTTCGGCACCGTCTGGTGTCAGCCTCACGAAGATACTTGGCGGCGATATGTGCAGCACCTACCTTACGAACTCGGCAGACCTGACACCCCATCGCGGGACTGTTCTTGCCGTACAATACTCGACAGAGGTAGATGATCGGTTGGTCGGGGGCGGTGGGTGGCACGAGTCGGGGTGTTTGGCCTCAACTAGGTCTGTCGATGCACGCGCTAGTTGTGGCACTACCGAGCACTTCGGCTGGTCGGCCATCTTGGCCCGGCTGGTCGGTTAGCAACTTCGGACCACATCAAAGTCTGGTCTGCCAAGAGACGACCTGGACTATAGGGCTCAAATGTCAGGCGATGAATCACCAATAAGTAATGATGGCTTCCTTAGTTTGCCGACTGTCCTGCAAGAATTCTGGGGGTAGATATCGCAGTGGGTGGCCATCAACGCTGCGTTTGAATCACGAAACAGGACCCGTTGATCTCGGACTCTTTCGCAATGGCACAGAGCATGGCCAGGGTTTTGCCATGTCCGGGAGGATCAGCAACCACAAGGCCTTGGGCCCTTGTTCGAGCCGCATTGATGATTACGTTAACGCCACGACGCTGATGGGGAGCAGAGCCGTGATCAAGCCAGGAATATTGTAGCTCGGCTCGACAGAATCGCAGTGCATGGCTATCTATAATAGAGTCAGCAAGCAGAATTGTTTCCGACACAATGCTTTGGTGGGGTTCTCATATCACTAACGATCGTAGCATTGCGTTCTCTCAGGTTCTCAATGAAATCTCCTAGCAGGAAATGTTCCGGTGCGGCATCTCCCGAGACTTGTCGCCGGTTCACAGGCCTTGACTTGACGACTTTGTGGTAATTGGTGCCGCCATTGTGTCATCGTCAGCTTAAGGCGAGTCTGTGCTCGCGGCACGCCGCCGCTTGCGTGGAGTCAGGACGTTACAAGAGACATAACCTCGACCGGGAACCAGGTTCTTGAAAATCTCTTTCATGTAGGTTTTAGGGGTTCGAGGATTGGCCTCTAGGGCATCGATAGGTCCGGGTGAAGACCGTCAGGAATCATCTCATCAGAGTCAAGTCTTGAACTAGAGAGTGAGATAATCATCTGAATTAGGTAGTGGGATAATCCTTGGGGCGACCGGGTGATACTATAGCCGTAAGTGATTCACCGGACAATTCAGAATGTTAAGCCTATGCCCGGCGATGAAACTTGACCAGGACCGGGGGGTAATGTATGACTATATCAAAGGCGAGCTCGGACAGCGTCGTCACGAACTGTTCTGAGGATGTCCTCAACACACTCGACAGCACTGAGCGCCATACCATAGCCAGCCTGGAAGCCAGTACCTCCGGCGCCGTAGTTGTGAACCAGCGCCCGCTTCTTTCCCGCGACGGTGACATCTTCGCGCTCTACCCTGGTACCGCCCTGGCGGGACGGCCTGAGACCAGCGACTGCGCCCAGTATCTCCGGCTCAGCCCGGCGCAGCTCCGAGCTGATACCTTTTGTTCGTTCAAGAATGGACTCGGTCTCGTGTGGATATGTAGCAGTGTCGCTGAAGAGGCTTGTCAGCGACTATCAACACAACACGGGCCGTCATGAATACTTACCCATTTCCCTTCTGCATATAGCCTCCTAAAATCACATTGCCATTAGATCCTGGCCTAGGGATCACATATGTCTCGTAGTCTTTGCCGTGGCGCATGACATTGGAGTGGACATGCGGCGCCCGGACGAGGAGAACTTGGCCGCGGGTTGGGTAACAATTGCTATCCTCAACGCCTGCGAGCGTCTTCGCCGCGTTACCGGTGCAATTGAAAACCACTTTCGTATCTTGGCTCATAAACGCCATTTGAATGTTTTCAATGTTTCTTCGGACGAAACGGACTTTGTACTGGTCTCGCAGCCGACGGTAGAGATACTGCATATGCTGAGGCGCGTTCACAGTGAGTGTGTAGCTTGGCCAGATGTGAATAGCCCTTCTTGTCCCACCTCAGGGCGTTGGCATCGGTTCCAGAGATGGCCGAAAAATTACAGCCAGCCCTAATAGGTAGGATTAGCATGTTTCCTGTTCATGTATGCAACTAGCCTGTCCATATATGAGGTGTCTTACCAAGGGGAAGTACAGATACTCCGCTATTATGGTGATGCGCTGCCCATATCCTCTCTCTGCAAGTACCAAGGCCTGTGGTGACCCCGCACTTTCTGTTGTGCGTCATGTGGAGGGGCTCTTCCCACGATGACATGCGCATTCCATTGCGATGTTGTGTTCCACCTTTATCACTCTTGACATCGCCTTTCTGGAGACGGTAAAAGACAGTCCCACACCCTCGAAGTTCAGCCTAATGACCCGCGTCCGAATCATTACTTCACTCCCGGCATCGCCAGGCCCCAGCGACGGCTTGGAATGGCGTTTCCCTCCTGACCTGGAGTCTGAGATAACCACCCTGGCCGCCTTGTGCCAAGTCAGGCAACAGCAGAGAGAACCTATTGCTCCTCATACCCAGGAGGGTGAAGATGATGTGGACAATCCGACGGAGGATGAAGAGTGTACTGCTTTTCTCTCTTCACTGTCCCTAGATGACTACACAGAAGATAAGAGAGGCTTTCTCGATCGACTCGCGGAGTTGCTTTGCTATAGCAAAGACCCTACATTGATCACCGGCACGGCCTTGATATACAGTGACGAGGAGGCCACTATTGTGGCTGCTCGGAACTCGTCTTCTAGCGGGGATACGTGGTCACGCAGAGATCGCAAGATGCTTGAATACCTAGCTGAAGTCCTCGAAAGAGTATCCTCTGATGGTTTGTGTCTTTTCTAGAAACTTGCCTTACCCATCGACAGAATTGATGCATGGCGCAGACGCTTTCGAGTCAGACCCACTTCCTCTGCTGCAGAGCACTTCGGTGGAATATTATACCCAACGAATCCGGCACCACGCTAAAACGGTCACGTCCATAGAGGAGGGGAAGACGGAATTGAAGTTCTTCAAAGAGGACGGATGTGTTGGAGTTGCTTCCGGCCGTCTGGATGCTTACCAGTTTGCTAAAAGCGTCGAGGTCTTATCTCACAGCACCGACTTTTATGCCAAACTGAAGGCCAACCTGACACCTACGAAGCTTCGGCGTGTCGTGGATGAATTAGCGTTTATCAGAAGGCCAATGCAAGACGCAGTTGAGCTCTTGCTCATCGCTCAGAGATACTCTGGTTTTCGCAATCTCAAGATCGTCTTGCTGAACAGTCTCCCAGCTAGGAAAGTCAAGGCATGGCAGCTGCCCAAGGCAGACATTTCCCTGACAGCCCGGCAAAAAGCGAAATTCCACAAGACGGCCAAGAAGAACAAGAACGTTCATGCCGAAATGATGCTGATGACCTATCTCCTTGGCCTCGGGAGCCCTGTTTTCCCGTATCTCGGGATCAGCAAGAAAACGTGCCTTCTTTGTGGCCACGTACTTGAGAAGATAGGCCAATTCGAAACTCGAGGGAACCACGGCAAGTGTTATTCTCAATGGACACTTCCCTCAGCGCTATGGACCACGCCTGAGGCCACCGAGAAACTAGACAAGGCTGTTCAGCGTTTAAGAGATATCCTTCGAGAGGAAGCGACGGAGGAGGTCCCTCATAGGGATGCAGAGAAGGAATCGGTGATGGCAGCCCCAATCCCGCCCAGATATGGGAAGGAGACGACTGTTTTCAATGCCGTGGTTGAGGACCCCAGACTTCTAGCGAGGGAAGCAGAATGGATTTCGGCGTTTCGCAGGAGCGAGATAGAAGTTGGGTCCGTCGTCCATCTTGCTCGTTAGCTCATCCTTAGGTGCTCACTATATTAACAACATACTAGAACGACTTCTAGCGAAGATGAATGCCCCGCCATTTTCGACTCGAGGCATGACAGGGCAAGCGCGCCAAGGGGAGATACCGAGGGTTCCAAGACGGCTAATCCAACAGCCTGCCTGTCCTGCAAAGAGACTGGCGAACTCACCCATACTTGTACAAAGTGTGGTATCGCCGCCTACTGCAACATCGCTTGCTACCATGCGGATTGGTATCGACACAAATTCTCTTGCAACCTGGGAAGAGCGACCGACGCTACAGATTACTTGGTGCTCGCCTGCCACACGAACCAGTATCCGCAGGAAGATGATGTAGCCGAGCAGTACGGCTTTATGTGCTTTGCCACCGGGAAGGATCGGTCGAGGCTCTTCGAACTTTACCGCCGGCTCATAATGCAGTGGGCCATTGATGAGGAGGAGCTGCGTGCTGCGGTGAAGCAGAACAAGCTCAAAGAAATGCTCACTTTTCGGTGCCGTCAAACCGGAGATTCCGGCATGCTAAGTGACAAGCAGTGGCTGGAGAGCCAAGAGGGATTCGGAGTCAACGGCAAAAGGAAGAGGCTCATCACTGTCTTTGAAGCGGCCCGAGAAGAGCTGTTAAGTTCTGACGAAAGAAAATTGCCGTTCAGCGAACTTCAGCCTCCAGAAAAGCGAAATGCACTTCTATTCTATGTCCAGATTCGCAATGGATTCAAGCCAGATGTTGACGAGGACAACTGGATCTCGTTGGGATTTTGCACAGCCCCGGACGCCGTATCAGAAAATCGACTCTGTTCTGCTTATGAATCACTTGTTGAGCGCTGCACGTTCAATGAGTTCTGGAGTTCTATGGCGGAGTCGGGCATCGTGGAATTGTTCAGCAAATACGAGCTTGCGGACCGAATCTTACGCATGCGCAATTTCAAGGACTTCATGACCGTTGTAAAGAAATGGCACCAAAGCGTCTGGGAGCTTAAGCGATTTATACGCATGGACGTGCCTGATCCGTTTCGAGCTGTCGTGGTCGACTACGGCTTCATGAATTGCAAGGACGCACGCCAACGGATGCAGCTTCGAAGGATGTACCAGGAGTTCTTCGAACGGGGAGAAGATGAGATGAGACTCCACCAGGCTTGCGTTGCCGGAAAACTGGCGAGCTTCCTCCAGTCGGTCTTTGGTGGCCTGCTGGTGCCCCCGGACTGTCTCAGGAATCCGTATCCGTTGGAAAACCGCCCTCTAATGGGGATGGTGACGAATTCTGTTACAATGTGTCCTGAGTCTGCATTGGAGCAGGTTAGGGCTTTGGCGGCGGCCCAAGGGAGGGAGTCAATGATAATAGCTATTCCAGATGCTGAGGACGAAGCTTATCTTCACTTCCTTCACGACAGAGCTGCGTTTCTAGGAACGGGACTGAGCAAGCGAATTTATTCTGGATCAGGTGGGAGAAATATCACGGAGTTTACACTGTAGTTAGGAAGGTCGTGTTTATTCCATAAGTAACTCACTGTTTAGCTCTAAGGTTTCTTCAGGCTGGCTCCGGTTAAAGGAATAGAGCCGATGATTTTCAGTTTCTTCACCGAAACAGCAAACCTCCCAATCCTTTTGGTGGCTAGGTTAAGGCTAACGCCACTGTCCCTTGTATAAGTTATCCTATTGAGAGTCTACTGATATGTTCCCCACGTTTCCTGGAAAGCATTCCTCGGGACAGATCTCCCTTGCAATCAAAAGCAGAGACGCATATGTCAGAAGCTAGGGGCTGTTGCAACTCTGCGTCTTCAAGCACGTATGTAGGGATAATTATGTCCAGCCATCTGATTTCGAGGGTTGAAGGCTAAGGCGAATTGGGAAGTCTGAGCACAGATAGACAAGCGGTCCCCTGGCTTGGCTTCAACGTGCTTGATATTTTCCCCAATGTATTCAGTTTTGACTACCATTGTTACTGGCTCTAGTAGGACATTTATCGACCTATCCGCATCCTTCGGCTGGGATGACTCAAGAGAGATGTTGGCTTCGCTGTGCTGGAAAGCCGCTGTTAAAGAAAACATCATGTCTTGAATTTCTTTCGTTATGCAGGTGGTCTCGTAGAGGTATTGATGCCGGCGCCATTCTGATTGTCCGAGATAGGATTCGGCCGGGAGTCTTCAAACAACCGCCCAGAGCCCTCCCTTTTCGTATTTCCCAGCTCGACACCTTCCGACGGTCTGGACAGAGTCTTTAGCTACGATTTCTTACCCGGCGAGACCTTTTCTTTTATCTTATCCTATGTTGGATGTATGTTAATAGAGTGGCTGAGGGGTGAAGGGAGCCGTTGTAATTTAGCTTGATAAAGGCGATCTTAACTGCAGGCTTTTATGACTGCTAGGATTTTCTATAAAAGAGCAAGTGTATAAAGCAAATGCTGGCCTGACAGTAGAATCATTTATCGTACGATACCACCCTGAAGTCGCACGGATGTTGCTTGTGTCCTGGTACAAAAAGTGTTCATTGTAGCTATTAGCCCTGTGTTTCCTTTTTTGGACTCGCTTCTCCACATTGGAAATGTCCAAAAGAGGAGATGTTGTGGTTAAGTGGGCCCGTTGCAATAACACCAATCTGGGAATAGCGTCTAACACTCCCTGGTCCTTGAGAGCAAAAAGGATAACTCAGCATAGAAAGCATGTTCCTCGTTAGACTATGTATCACGAGTGATTTTATGGGCTGTTTCTTTAGTCATTGCCGAGACTATTCTCGTCTTCACATGCCAGCATGTCTGATATGAGGGCGATCTCGTGGATGTCACTGCTTCTTATCTGAGATGCTATTTAATAGATGATGTTGCTCTCGTATCCTATGCTCTTGTATTGTGTTAAACAGAAGATGGTATGTTCGACTAGGTCTGTTTTCAAGCAAATACAACACAGTTCTACATCTATGAGATCCTTCAAGGCAATACCGTCAAGATTCGTCATTGGTGGTGGTAGTCGCAGCGTGCTAGGAAGGAGTTTTGACAATACAGATTAGAAATTTGACTATCCGAGTACTTGAGAAGCTGAACAAGGCGTCTCGGGACATTGCAGTCCAAATATTGGAGGATGGTACAACTGAGAGCTACCTCCGTAGGACTTGTTGACTCCACACACCCGAGACTGATCAGGCGGGATTGGGGTTGATGCGGGGGTTCGAGATAAGGGGTTTTAGCGTTCCCCTCTCGACTAGAGCCATTACCCCGGTGCGCTCGATTCCAGCTCGGAACGCTCGACAGCTGCAGAGAAACCAAGCTCCGCTCTCTTTTACACTCCCATCCCAGTCGGAGGAGAAACGTCCCCTGATCTCATTGATGTTGGATGGCATACGACCTGTAGAGATTCGCGATCATGTCTCAAAACACGCCGCTGCCCAAAGAGTTCAAATTCGTCGGAGGGCCGAGCAGGAAGCGCCGGCGCAAAACAGCTCCCGGAGAGGCCACAAACACGGAGAAGGTCCCTGCATCTGCCGCAACCGTTCATGCGGCCCGTTGCCGTGATCCCAGCAACTCGACCCAATCCCGGCTCCGAAGCACCGCGGGCCCACCGTCCACATCGCATGCGGCCAGTCTGACGGTTGGCGACCAGTCTGCTCATGACGCCGCCTTGCCGTCGACGATCTTGACAGATCCTGCCATTGCCGGCGATGTGTTGGCGTGGTTGGACGACGGCTCCATGAACCCCTTCTTTGATCCGGCCTTGCAGTTTGCCAACGCAGCAGGCCATGACGGCGCGTGGTCGCAGATGCAGTCCATGGTGCCGTTCTATCCCGGAGCTGACATGCTCTTCTCGCACTTGTGGGATTCTCCTTCGACAGACGATGCCTATGACCAGCATGTTGGCGGTGACGTTATCCAGGCCTCCGACGACACCGTCTCTCCAGAAGAGAGCCCCACGGCGGACTCACCAATAGAGGAGATAGGCAATCACACGATGCATGAGCGGTCCAGCTTGTCACATCCCCCAAGCACCTTCAGCTACACAATCACACAGTTGTCGTATAGATGTATGTGAACCCCCACTGCTTCATAGAAACAGACATTCGATGAAATACTGATAATCGCGTAGATGATAAAGAATTTTGCATATTGCCGCTGACGGACGATTTCGAAGCTAATCCATTCCGAATTGACCCGGAGGTCGTCAAGGGCTCCAAGCTGCTGCTTCACTGCATATTGGCACTCTCCTACAAGCATATTAATCGGGACACCGGTACCTGCTATCAAGAAGCCAAGATACACAAAAAAAAGGCTCTCCGGATGCTCCAGGGTATGGACAAGGAGTCAGAGAAGAGTCTTTCACCAAAGGCGAAAGACGAGGCTGGGCTGCTCGATGCGGTGCTTATCTTGATGACGCTGGATGTAAGTGTCTAACCAGCGAGGCTACTCACAGCTCCAGGCTAACTTGCACATCTCAGTGCGCGACCTCGGCTCACGGCCCTTGGGTTTGGTATCTCAAGAACGCTCTCAAGATGATCCAGGCAAGCGAGAGTCACAATGTACGCCGAACCCCACGAATGCGCGCGCGCCTGGGGATGCTCGTCTGGTGGGATGTAACATTGGCCTTGACAAGTCGCCGCGGTTGCGTCTTGTCCGAGGCTACTGCACTCAGCCTGTTCAACCGGAGCGGATCAGACGATGAGACTTTCTACAGCGTGTCTGGCTGCCCCGAGGACCTGTTCAAGTACATGATCCGGCTCGGAGCGTATGCTAGGGAGTACGAGCTCGTCTCCACCTTAGTGTGCGTCAAGTTTGACATGGAACCCGTCCTGGCCGTCGAAAAGTCTATCCGCGAGTGGACGAGCCCGCAGATGCACTTCAAGCGCCCGCAGCCCATTCCGGGCGATCTACTCGGGGAGGAGGCCGTAGGTGAGGAGATGGACGCCGGAGACCTGGCCCAGTACTCGGAAGATCATTACCACTGCACTGAAGCCTGGCGATACGCACTGCTTGTCTACATCGAGCGCGTCTTCAGGTGGCGGCGAGGCGAGGCTCCATCGTCGATGCTCAGCTATCTTGCCCGCAAGACGATGAATCACGTATCGTCGTGTCGGCGTACGACGATGCTCCAGAAGCAGCTCCTGCTGCCTGTGTTCCTAGCAGCCTGCGAGACCACGGATGACTTCTTGCGAGACCAGGCACGGTCATACTGCACCTGGTGGAGCGGCAAGACGCGCTACGATATGTTCCTCACCACTACAGCCCTACTGGAGGAGGTGTGGGCGAATCAGATGCAGGATCCTTTGAACAGCTGGTGGGGCTCCACCATCAACCAGAATACCGGATCTGATCGGCAGTATCTATTCGGATGAACATTCGGCAGTCCCATCTCTGGTCACATCAACAGGACATCTGAGCGGGGGCGTGGATAGAGGGCCTATCACTCGAAATCAACAAGTCCATGTATGACCTTGAGTGATTAGTGGGCTATCCAAAGGCTAGTCACCTCCCCGCCCGAGCATTTTTCCTTGGAAGGGCCGCTCGGTATCAAGGGACAAGCTTGCGAGTGCAGGTCTCGAGAGAGATGTGGGCGCTGCGGTGGGCCTGCGGATCTGTTGGTGAGCTTGGATTTCCACATCCGGTAATTGCCGTTTTAGGAAGCACCTAGCTCTCCATCCCTGGTCCTTTATCAGTCTTGGGATTTTGTCACATGCTTCAATGTTGGCGAATCGATCATTTCCAAGATATATCTAAGTGCCGCTATCGCGTCTTGGTTGATGAAATCGACATATGAAGATTCGTCGCACTTCACAACAACACCTCGTCATCCTCACCCCGAGCACATCAACAGCCCTTACAACGTGCAAGCTTGAAACAAAGATGGCGACTATGGAAAAGGTCCTTTCGGCATATGCCGACCGCCAGCGGGTCCTCGAGGCCAGTACGAATCCCTTCGCCAAGGGCATCGCTTGGGTAGAGGGCGAGATGGTGCCTCTCAAAGAGGCGCGTATCCCGCTTCTCGACCAGGGCTTCATGCACAGCGACCTCACATACGACGTCCCCTCCGTCTGGGACGGCCGCTTCTTCCGCCTTGACGACCACATGAGCCGACTCGAAGCCAGCTGCAAGAAGATGCGCCTCAGACTGCCGCTTCCCCGGGAGGAAGTCAAAAGCATCCTGGTGGAGATGGTTGCCAAGAGCGGCATCCGGGACGCCTTCGTCGAGCTGATTGTTACCCGCGGACTGACCGGGGTTCGCGGCGCCAAGATCGAGGACCTCCAAAACAACAACCTCTACATGTTTGTCCAGCCCTACGTCTGGGTCATGGAGCCCGAAGTCCTCCCCGTAGGCGGCAAGGCCATAGTGGCCAGGACTGTCAGGCGGACTCCTCCCGGCGCCATTGATCCCACCATCAAGAACCTTCAGTGGGGCGATCTCGTCCGGGGTCTGTTCGAGGCTCTCGACCGCGGCGCCACTTACCCGTTCCTCACGGACGGCGACACTAACCTGACCGAGGGGTCGGGTTTCAATGTGTTCATCGTCAAGAACGGCATTCTCTACACGCCACAGCGGGGTGTGCTGGAAGGCATTACTCGGAAGAGTGTCATCGACGTTGCGCAGATGAACGGTCTTGAGACACGCGTCGAGACCGTCCCCATTCTAGACGTCTACGAAGCCGACGAGATCTTCATGTCTACAACAGCTGGCGGTATCATGCCCATCACCTCACTGGACGGCCAGCCTATCAAGGACGGCAAACTCGGCCCGATAACCAAGACTATCTGGGATTCTTACTGGAAAATACATTACGATGACCGGTTCAGCTTCGAGATCAGGTACTAAATGCGCCGAACACGCAGGGAAGCTGGGCAGGCAAGTTGGGTAGTGGAAGGTGGCGGAAGTAGATATTGAATCACTTGTTTCATTGACTCTTACCTATGTGTCACTCACTCCCTACTAGCCTTTACCCAAAAATTGAGGAGCAAAAAAGGGAAAACAGGGCCAAAAAGAAAATAGCAACATTGACATCATCGGGAATCGAACGCAGACCAGGTACACCAGTGGATTGCTGAAATGCGGCAGTTTCTACTGTCCGACTCCCTAACCACTGTGGCATATTGCCACAAGCTGCTATTATTATTTTGAGTAGTGTTGTTCTTTATAAGGCCTCTGGCACTTCCACTTCTCAATCCTGATCGGCCAACCACACCACATGTGCTATTCTTCAGAGATTCATATCTGTACTATACTACCTATAGGTATAATTAAGACTCACAGGCTGAATCATTGCCTTTGAATTTATCTAACGTGACAACTATACAATTCATTGCCTCAGTAGTAGAGTTGAATGCTAGCAAATATGCAATTTGGCTTCGTCACAAAACATCATAGTCATGCGTCGTCACATATCGTTCATTCCATACTTGAGTGAGTGCCTATGATAGATAACTCATAAACATAAACGCGCCTTGACTGAAGCCTTTTTTCTCTTTCTTATACTAGGATTCGTTCTATCTACTCCGTAAATTCGCCACTTCAAAGGGAAATACTATCATGTTGCTCAATTTGCCAAGTTGGGACATTTGGCGGCCAGTTCATCACTCAAATGGACGTGAGTCGGAAACTCTAGAATAGGATAGTCCGACACCTCCGAATCTAGCGGTGTCCCCACATTTGTAAAGAGATCTCCAGATTTGGCAATACTTGATGTGCTAATTTAGTTGCGAGGAAAAGGGACTAAGATGGAGCGAGTGCAATTAACTGACGACTGGGGCCCTTATCTCCCCCAGACCTTCGCAGTGCTAAGCATTCTTCTTTAGCCCGATTTGACATCTCGCTATCTCTGAGTTGGTCAACTCAAGGCTGAGGCTCCCTACAGAGCCTCAAGCCAGTACTCCTATTAATACGCGCTCCCTCCTATCTAAGAATGATGTCTTCACCCGTCATTTGATCAACATCTCCTCTTGTTCTTACGAGGACACAACCTGCATCATGTCCAACAACGTTGAGTCACAACAGTATGCCGACCTCGACGATCTCGAGCTCGAGGCCGTCGGGTACAAGCGGGAGATGCCCAGGCAGTTCACCGTCGCCAGTCTCGGCGCCTTGTCCTTCACGTTGACGTGTACCTGGCTCGGAGTGGGCTCGTCTATCGGCACCGCCATCACCGACGCCTCGGCCGCCGGCACCATCTGGTCCCTACCCATCGCCGGCTTCATGACCATCATCGTCTCTCTGGGCATGGCCGAGCTGTCGTCTGCGTACCCTGTTGCTGGCGCGCAGTACTACTGGTCGTACATGGTGGCGAGCGATACCTACAAGCCCTTTGCGGCTTATCTGTGAGTGGAGCAAACTCGGTTTGCATCTCGAGAGACTGGACGCTGACTTTGGGAGGCAGGAATGGATGGATGAGCATTCTGGGCTGGTGGATGGGTGCCAGTTCAGTCTCCAATTTCATAGCGTCCATGATCCTGTCCATTGTGGTGCTCTGGTACCCCGATTATGAATACCAACACTGGCAACAGTGGACCATCTACCTTGGACTTATCTGGCTCGCGGTGGCGTTCAACATCTTCGGATCGGGACTCATTCCCATCTATAACAAATTGATCTGTAAGTGACCGGATTGCTCTAATTACGAGCCAAGGATGCTAACATCAGCACCAGTCCTCTTATCGGTCTTCGTCTTGTTGGCCACGACTCTTTCGCTGTTCATCTGCAGCCGCAACGACCACGCTTCGGCAACATGGATCTTTACCGACACCACAAACAACACGGGATGGTCCAACGACGGATTCGCTTTCCTTTTGAGCGTTTCCAACGCCGTCTTTTGCTTCCTGGGCAGCGATGCAGGCGCTCATCTGTGCGAGGAGATCCATAATCCCGGGCGAAACGTGCCGAGAGTGATCATCTTCCCCCTGGTTATGGGACTGATCACTGCGTTTCCTTTTGCTTGCGCGTGCATGTTTGCCATCACCGACGTAAAGTCCGTCTTGAGCACCGTGACTGGCCTCCCCCTGATCGAGATCTACCGGCAAGGGACCAACTCTGACGTCGCTGCTTCGGTTCTGGTCGCGCTCTTTGCTTTCTGCTTCTTCGGCTGCCTGGTCGGCAATGCCACGGCATCGTCTCGGACGCTCTGGGCTGTCTCTCGCGATGGTGCCTTGCCTTTCTCCCATATTTGGATGAGGATTAACAGGAAGTTCAAGATGCCAATGAACGCCATGCTCCTATCGGCTTCATTTGTCACGGTATGTTTCCTCAGCAGCTTTTATCCTTAAAATAGTCGTCAGCTAACGGCATGTCAGCTTTATGGCCTGATTTTCATTGGTTCGACCACGGCCTTCACCGCCATGGTCAACACCAACATTATCTTCTTGCAGACATCCTGTGTCATCCCCCAGGCGATTCTTTTATGGCGGGGCCGAGATAACGTGCTTCCGGAGAGATTTTTCTCGCTCAAGTCTTTTGGGGTCGCGATCAATGCGACAGCTGTCGCATGGGTCGCCTTCCTGGACGTTGTCTTTTGTCTACCGACAGCTATGCCTGTAACCCCACAGAACATGAATTACGTCTCTGTGGTCTGCTGTGGTCTTGTGGCGTTCATCATTGGCCTCTGGTTCACCTCCAAGAGAGGCAAGTTCACCGGGCCCCATGTCGATATGGAAAAGTTGCATCAGAGGCGGCTGGCGGCAATGCATATCACCGAGGCTCAGGATGACCACCATGCGATGTCGGTCACACAGATCGAGACACCCAATGTCAAGGCAATGTGAAGGGATTGATAGTTTGGCCGTCGCAACTCACCACGTTGTGAGGCACAATTTTCTCAAAAGTGTGCTTATGCCATAGGACGCATGAACAATAGATATTCAGCAATTATTGAAGCTGGATTTGTCTCAACCACGAAGCAATGATTATATATCTTTCATTCTTGCCCAACAATGTGTGCAGCGTGTAAGAAAAGACATCGTCGCACAACAACACAAAATAGTTAAGCGGTGAGAGAATGCGCGCGCACAGAATTGCCACCAACCCCACCAACCAATGCCTATAAAAAGAAGCAGATATCCAGGCAAATGCAGAGTAGAAAAATGAACATAGTAGCGCCTGAGTCATTCACGTTGATGGTGGGAAAGTCTGTTGGTGCCTAGCCCTGGCGCGCCATGCCGAGTCTAGCATAGCGCCAAGTGTACGACGTACATAAGGCAAAAAACGTCCACCGTTTGGTCAGAGCCAGCCCCCTTGGCCTAATGGTAAGGCGCCAGACTTCTAATCTGGAGATTATCGGTTCGAGCCCGGTAGGGGGTGGAACTATCTCCAATACGCCACACAAAACCAATATTTTTTTGCCAATTTTTCCAAATGTATCTGCTTATGATCGTTGATATGTTCGTCATAGCTTTTGTGTTGCCTGTGTTATTCCTAACAGGGCAGGATGCAGACAACATATTGCTTTCTTTTACGAATTTGACAAAGTGTTCCGAACCATCATGGAAATAAGCATTGGCTTAACCAGGTGCATTTCAATATTGCTGCCATTGCTACCTCCAAGCCCACTTCAGTAAGACATATCGATTATCCATAGTACAAAAATAGTCCGATACATCGGATCTACTGGGCCTTGGTCTCAGCCTCACTCTGTTCCACAGCAGGCCCCTTATCAAACACGCCCTCGTTCTCGAGCGCGGCAACAAGGTGCCCGGCGCCGTGCGTCTCGTACTTGCTGAACTGCCACGCCCACAGCTTGGCAGCAAACAGCTCGTCCACCTCCTCCAGAGAGCGTCCCTTGAGCTCGGGGAAGAAAAAGACGGCCCAGATGATCGCAAACGCCGCCACGGAGCCAAAGATCCAGCCGATCTTGACGCCCATGCTCGGCAGGAGATAGGGTGTGACAAAGGTTACCAAGAAGGCGCAAAGGACGTTGCATCCGGTGCCGAAGCCCTATTGAGAAGCCAACAACGTTAGTTCTTTTTGTTCTAGAAGGCTTGAATGCAACAGAGTGAAAGCGTACCATGATCTTCTTGCGCATCCGCACGCCACCAATCTCAGCGCCAGTCAGGAAAGCACAGTTCGAGCCCGAGATACGGGTGAAGGCCGGCAGGAGGATGAAGCAGGCGAGGATGGTGTTGGATACATTGTCGTTGGGGTTCTTATCCAGGCCCAAGCCAGACGCGAGGTAGAGAAGGAAGGCGCACATGGCGATGCCGCCGATGAACAGCGGCCGGCGGCCGGTGATGTCAAACAGCACGATGCCGATGGCGCACCCGACAAGCCCGACGCACTGTCCGACGATGGTGTACGTGAAGGAGGCAGCGCCGAAACCCTGCTGCACGTAGAAGGTCGGGGCGTAGGACTGGACAAACTGGTTGCCGTTGGTCTGCTCGAATGCAAACAGCGTGACACAGATCTTGTGGCCAGTCAGTCACGGGGTGGCAGATAGCAGACGGTATAGAGAAAAGAAAGCTTACCCAGGTGCGCATCAGGTAGTTGCCTCGGAAGAGGTCGAACCAGGAACCTTGCTCGTTGGCCAGCGACTCCTCGATCAGCATCTCGATGGCATCAAGCTCGGCCTGAGTGTTGCCCTTCTCGACCTCGTGCTTGGGACGGATCCTGTCCAGGGCAGCCTTGGCTTCTGACTTTCTATGGTGCAGCACCAGCCATCTGGGCGACTCGACGGTGAAGGGGACAAGGGCGAGCAGGCCGAGTGCAGGGACGAACTGCATGGAGACGGGGACGAGCCAGCCCTCTCGGGTCACCGTCGTGGAGAACGCGCGGGACATGGCGGCACCCCAGATGTTGCCGACGGTGGTCAGCACCATCAGGGAGCCGGACAGGATGCCTCGCATCGCCGCAGGGGAGATCTCGGCATTGAAGGCGGGCACGGCGTTCTCGACGACACCAACGGCATAGTAGGCAACGATACGTCCGACGGTGAACTGCACCCAGTGGGTACCAGACATCTCGACTGTAGATGGCTGTCTTTAGTTCCGGATCCGCTACTTTACTGTCTAGGAGAGCGTGGAGTTCTGCGAGTGATTAACTTACTGACAACAGCAATGATCTGGACGATTGAAACCAGGTACATCGTCTTCTTGTATCCGATGCGCTCGATGGTCGGTTCGGCAGCGAAGCAACCGGAGATCTTTCCAATCCACGGCAGGGAGTTCATTAGAGCCTTCCGCGTGGGCGGCAGCGAGTAGGTCTTGCCATCCTGGACGCCGAAGACCCGGAGGAAGGATGGCAGGGCTTGCAGAGAGCCGAACGAGCCGGTGTCACTGTTGCAGCACGGCGTGTGAGCAAGAATACACCACACAGTCAAGGACGAAGACGAGAAGTGATCGTGGCCGGCACGTAAGCACTACTCACATGCCGAAGAGGATCGCGCCCTGGAGGAACACGATGCAGTTGAAGATGAGGAAGGGCGTCGCCCGGCGCCAGGCTTTGGCGAGAGACATCGTTGGTAGAGTTGTAGTCTTGCACTCAAAGACCGGGGAAAGACTTCTGGGGAAGAACTCTATTACCCCTTCTGGAGTACCAGACTGGGGAAGAAGGCAACTTATAGCCCAAACCCTGCGATGCGCATCAGTCTCAATAGAGGAGGGTGAAGAATATGCGGGGCCCACCCCGACGAGCCGTTGAATGCGTCTCGTGAACACCGGCGATGGGGCCGATATGGAGCAGCTTCCGAGACTAGGCGCCCGACGAGCCGAAATGACCCTCAATGCTCCGTGCTGGGCTTTTCCAGTATCTTAAATAGTAAGGATTGCGAGCTTCTTAGCCTGGATGGTTCAATCGCTAGATGTCAATCTTTGTCGTCTCATTCGTGTATTAATCTCCTGCATCGCTGGGCACGCTGCTGGCGTTTTTACAGCACCTGCATGCTGTTGAGCCACCCATCAAGCCACACACAACTGTATATGCAGCCATGGCTGCCCAGAACCAAAAGAATGTCCTGCTCATGGTAGCAGATGACCTGGGCCTCATGCTCGGCTGCTATGGGTTGGATGCCATCAAGACTCCTCACGCCGACCAGCTGGCCGAGCAGGGCACCAGGTTCACCAACGCCTACGCAAGCACGGCGTCTTGCAGCGGCAGCCGCTCGACGATCTACACGGGCCTGCACACCCACCAAAACGGGCAGTACGGCCTGCTGCAGGGCTGGTGCCACTTCCAGACTCTGGAGCACGTCGAGACGACGCCTCAGATCTTCAACTCTCTGGGCTACCAGACGGGCATCATTGGCAAGGTCCACGTCGGCCCCAGCGAATCGTACCCTTGGGAATACAACCTGGAGAGCTTAAGCCGCGACGTGAGAGACAACGCGGCCCAGGCCGGGCAGTTCTTTGACAAGGCTGCCGAGAACGGCAGGCCCTTCCACCTGACGATCGGGTTCCGCGACCCTCATCGCGATGAGACTCGCGAGGGCTTCGGCAACGATGAGGACGATGTCAAGGATCTGCCAGTACCTGACTATAGACCGGACGAGGTCGAGATCCCGTCCTTTATCAGTGACGTCCCGGAGCTGCGCACGGAGCTGACCGAGTACTACAAGTCCATCAGCCGAATGGATCTCGGCATCGGCCTCGTGCTCGAAGAGCTCAAGAAGCGCGGTCTCGACCAGAACACCCTGGTCATATTCGTCAGCGACAACGGATCACCGTTCCTCAATTCCAAGACCACCTTGTATGACGCCGGTGTCAGGCTGCCCCTGCTCGTTCGCCAGCCCGGCGCGAAGGGCGGCGTCGTGAACCCCAACATGGTCTCCTTCCTGGACATCCTTCCGGCCTGCATCGAGTGGGCAGGCTACAAGGACAGCGACATCAAGACAGCCAACACGGGCAAGTCGCCCAAGCGACTGGGCAACTCGTTCCTGCCCATCCTCAGCGAAGCCCGGAAGCTGCCGGCCGGCGAGTGGAAGCAGCACGTGTTCGGCTCGCACACCTTCCACGAGATCCAGAACTACTGGCCCACTCGCTTCATGCGGGACCACAGGTACAAATACCACCGCAATATCGCGTGGCGGCTGGACTTCCCCTTCGCCACCGACCTGTACTCGAGTCTAAGCTGGGAGGGGATCCGCAACGCCGCCGCTCCCGCGCCAGCCGACCAGACCGACACTCCAGAAGTTATGTTGGGCCGCCGGCGGCTCGAGAACTACATATTCCGCGGCCCCGAAGAGCTGTTCGACCTAAAGAACGACCCGGAAGAGATTGACAACCTAGCCAACAAACCAGAGTACGAGGCTGTGCTCAAGGAGATGCGTGCAGAACTGGAAGACTGGCAATACCAGACCGACGACCCTTGGCTGCTGCGGGATGGGGTCAGCGCCATCATCACTGCCAACCAGCAGAAACTAGGATTGAGATTGCCCGACAGGTTCGACTTTGATCCCAAGAAGCCCGGCAATACCACGGGTCCTCATTGGGCTCCAAAGAGCACCAAGGCCGTCAACGGGAGCATGATCAAGTATGGCTGAGCTTGATGGAGATGATGGTTTCGAGGACGAGATGGACATCGTGCGGGGGTCAATACAGATAGTTGACAGAAGCTCTACAGCAGATACCTCAGAATTAACAATGAATATCCTTGCTCTGGAACACTTCTCAATGGGTTGTATGAGTAGCAAGATCTACCATCATTAGTCAGGAAGGCTGTGTTAGAGGGTGGTTACCGCGTCAGTCACAGAGTTTGAAGGATGGTAGCCCAGGTGCGCGTGAATAAAGACAGTATAACTGAATCAAAGATACTACCGTGTGACCTTCAACTATTGAATTTGCATGAGTCGCAGATAGCCAGGTAACGAGAGCTCTCCTCTTTCAAATGACGCCAGAGCAGTCAACACGAGTGGGCTGTATTGGAACTTAGTTCTCATGAGGTTGAAGCCAGACTCAGGATGGGCAGGCTGAAAATTAGCACGCTAGGATATAGTGTGAAGAATTGTTTGGCATTGAAAATATCGTTCATTGGATAATCTCGAAGCAACCATGATGTCTGTCTCCTTCGTAAACGGAACACTGCAATCTTGACGGCCTAATGCTCCAATGGAATCTCCGAGGCAAGTGACGGGGACATCAAGCGTGAAAGGACACACGACCTCTCTTCTTCAAAAGTCATCATCGGCCTTTTGCTCCTGATACCTCCTGCTCCTCTTTCTGGCCTTCTAATTTCGAAAGCTGCAATCGTAACCCTCTCGCTTGCACAAGCTGGTGTATAGATGACTGGACTCCTTTCAGCGGTACGACTGCTTCAGCATCGTCCACATGAAATCTGTAGATAGGTATATTTAGCCACCTGCCTTGTATAATTATATGTGCCGCCAGTATGGATGGGACTTACCAGAAAAGATGCTTGGGAGAATCAGTGCCAGCTTGGTCTTGCTTAGATTCCTCCTGCGAGACCACATCGTGCGGACGCTTTTCGCCTGCACCGTCTTCCTTAACTCTGCCAGTAGGAGTGTCTTCCGGCTCGTCTTCCTCCAGGCCGAATGGGTCAGTTGGGTTCAGAACTCTAACGATTGCCTGAGTGACCCTCTTCACAGCTTTGACGTCATTAGGGTTTGTCTCCGACAGTCCTTTGAGTTGCTTGTAGAGGGTCTCGAGTCTCCTGGCTGTGTATGGGTCCAGAAATCCGACCTTTCGAGATTCGGGCTGACCGAGAGGGTTTTCATACGGACGGGCGAGGTCTTGAAAGACATCTTCCATTGCATTTTCTTGGTAGCTTCAGGATTTTCCTTTGAGCTTCGTCACCCACCGGCGCTGGAGCGCTTCTGATTCCGATACGCGGTGCTGAATTCTTTGACACTGTAGTAGAGATTATCAAAGTCAGAGTTAGGGAAGTATTCCGCGATGATTTGACTGTCGACTTCGAATTGGTGGCTGTCCAAAATGATAGATGTCGTCGCCGAAGAGATAAAACGTCTCAAGTATGACTAGATGTGATAATTGGTAGCATCCAGAAGGTCTTGACCTTGAGAGATAAATTGAGTCGAGGCTGAGTTTGGGCTGATGTAGGCCTGATATAGCTGTTAAATTCCTCTCTAGTAATGATGAACAAAGCGAGATTTGTTGGCATGGAAACACTTGGGGAACAACTCACTATAAATGGGCTTGTAGTGTGGTGGCCGCCCTGGCCAATGGTTTCAATGAGGAAGAAAAGCAGACTTTGAGAAGTACTTAAAATGTTAGGAGGAAGGAATAAGGACCTTGGCACCTGATCCTTATTATTCTGAATGGGGATGGAGAGATTGTTTAGTGTCTCTGTGGATCATCGGAAGAGTCCAACTGAAGATAGAAGATAGTGAGTGATAATAAGTAACTATTAAGAAGGGGAGGCAAGACTACGTGGTCTTAGACCTTGACTTTACCTATCTTCCACTTCTCCTACTTCAGCTCCTCTTTTTCTAGTCTCCTTACTTTGCTATTTTATTAACCCAAAACACCATAAGAGACACACACACGTACACACACATCGATCTTAATATCCTAAGATGCTCTCACCCAGACTCAACTAAGTTCTAGGCTCCTCTCTATGTCTTCTTTTACCTTGCCCCTCTTTTGTTACCACTATCTTACTTTTCTTCCCTTGGTAGGTGAAGCAGTATCGACATAGATTATCTTCTTTTTATCAAGTTCGTACAATCAATTAGTCTAATTACTGATTCCTTCTAAGTCTCTTTGTGACTTAAGATACACTACATGCATACGCAGTCCAAGTAATACTTTAATCTTAAGACTTGGGTGCTACCCTTGAAAAAAGCTGTACTCTTTAAGATTATCTGTTACATACATCAAGCCTGCATTTCAACTTAGGTAGCTATGGTGAGTCCCGCTGGCGCTAGTACTTCGCCAGTACAAGCTCGCAGCTCACGGGTGACTTTGCGTTCAGCAGAGATGAAAACTGAATGCGGCCCGAGTCATCCGCCCAGAGAGACGTCTTTGTATCCCGGGAGCTGTAAAGCGTGTACAGAGAATTAGGCTGTAGACCAGCCACCTCGTGCGCCACTTTCCCTGTCGCCATCGCCGTTTCTGTCCATCGACGAGGAGATACAGATGCGAGGTTGCTTTCCCAGGCCTCTACCTGTATGTTGAGTTCCTGCGAGTTCGCCGGTCGAACTGAGAGGCCCCACTCCTTTCCATCACCGGGAAAGTACTGCACTGCAGCATCAGACACACTGATACCGAAAGGGCATGGTGCTTCAACGGTCACGTTCTCCGTGGTGATGGAAGAACCACCCGTGCTAAGGTCAATTTGGTACTCCTGACCTCGAAGGGTATATAGGAGCTGCGTGCCATTGAGCTCAGGGCTGAGATGGGGATCGAGGAGCAGCCGGTTCGGTCGCGGCTGGATGCCGTAGATGTCGCGGTAGAGACCCACGATGGCCGTGCAGTTCCCGGCCAGGATGTCGTCACCGGCGCCGTTTTGCTTTTCCCGCTCGTAGCGCTGGAAGGAGAGCCCGTCCTCGTCGTAGCGCTTCAGCACGTTCCTCACATACTTGAGAGCCAGCTCGGGCTTGTGCAGGGCGTGGGCGCGGATGGCGAGGGCACCCCAGGAGAGGAAAATGTCGCCGTTTTCGTACTTGGGGAAGGGCAGGTTAGAACTGGCGACCTCGTCGTCGGCAAACGTCGTGAAGTTGCTCGGCCAGTAGAAGAGCCCTTCCTTCTCCATGTCAGCCTCGATGCGCTCAATGATAGCCTTGCGGCGGCCCGCGTCGTCGCAGATGCCGACGCTGATGGCCGCAAAGTTGACCCCCGTGAAGGTGTTGTCGCCGTGCACAGAGCCGTCCTTGTCATGCCAGTAAACGTACATCCGATTCTTCTCATCCCAAAAGCCACCCTGTTGTATCGGGAGGTTGAAGGACTCTTTGAGGCGCGCGGCAAAGGCCCTGTAGCTGGCGGCCTTGGCGTTGTCGCCCAGCGCCTCCTCCGCGTCAGCCCATAGTGTCAAGGCGTTGTAAAGGTGGGCATTCACCCAAGCGTTCTTGTACGAGGCCCAGACAATATCGTACCAGTCACTGCCTTTGCCCTGGAGCCTCGAGTCTGTCAGCACGGTTACGATGCCCGAATCGTCCACCTCGCGGCGGATCAAGTACTCTAGTGCTCGCTCGCAAGCCTCCTTCTGACCAGCCAGCCACTTCACGTCACCCGAGATGTAGAACTGCTGCACAACATTGGTGACGTAGTCAGGTTGGGAGTCGAGCAGGAAGCCCCATTGAGCCTCATAGAAGCCATAGCGATTGTAGGTGCCCGCCATAGCGTCAACTGAGTCGTTCTTCCAGCGCGCAAGCACACGCCCATCCGATTCAATGGCGTGATCCCGCTCATAGTCAAGGCATTTAGCAAGATTGGCATCGTAGTTTGAATCGTTGAGAGCCGAGGCGATCTGCGCAAAGAAGGGCTCGTGCAGGCAGATGTAGCCGGTGCGCCAGCCATTAGCCCCGACCAGCTTCGCATCAATCACGCCGTAGCGTGCCACCGTGTTGAGCAGCTCCCGGATGCTGCCCCCGTCCAGGCCCTTGAATGTGCCTCGATTGTATGCCTTTTTATAGTCGAGGGCCTGCAGCGATATCTCGACGCTCTGCTCACCAGCCCGTGCCGTAAAAGGAGCCCAGAGATCCTGTCGGTCTCCTAGGAAGCGATTCAGGTTGTACTTGGGCTGAAGCTCATCGTGGCTGACAGTAGCGTTGTAGGTGAACTCGCTCACCGCGTTCCCTAGCTGTGGCTGGTGCGAGAAGCGCGAGGTGCAGTGTCGAGCTTGGCCCCGCGAGGATACGGGCGTAGATACGATGCGAAGGGCGTCGTTTGCGAGCCTGTTCCAAAAGGTCACAGCACCAGAGTGCACGCCATAGGTCATGTTGGGGTTCTCGAGGTACTTGGGCAGGACCACGCCGCCGGTGCCGAGGATGCCGCCCGTCCAGGTCGTCATGCTGGTGAAGTTCCAGGAGGGAAAAGCCACGTCGTCGAGGACCATGTCCTGGGGGTACGTGCGGTCGATACGCCACGTTATGCGATCCTTCTCCACCTTGAAGAGCCAGGTCTCGGTGACCAAGGCGTTCGGGGGCCCAAAAGCGATCTCGCTGACGGCGAGGGTGCTACTGGTGATGAGGAGACGGGGCGTGTGGATCGCGGCACGGCTGGTGTACCATCTGTCGCCAACCTTGATGCCGCTGGCTGCGCCTGTGGCTGCAAGGACCTGGCGCCCACGCACGACAGCTTGCTCGATCACGCAAGACTGGCCATATCTCAGCCTAAGCGACAAGTGGCCCCGCCTGTCGGTCAGAGTGATGGTGTCTTTCGTGGCGTCATGGTAGATGATAGCTTCGGGGCCGCGCCGGCGCCAGAGAAAGCCCAGGACAACAGCGAGGGTTGGCAAGAGGATGAAAGCAGCTGTCGTGGTGTTTGACAGCGGGATGAAGACAGAAGGCATTGCTGGGTATGAATCTTTTGTTTCGACGTTGCTTGATTATCGCACCTCAGAAGAATGCTATTGAACGTTAAAGGGCTGATTCCCTCTGATATATAGAGGTCTTACCTAGGTAGGTAGTCAACAGATGGTGAAACAACACGCGTGACGCCTCTCATGTGCCTCTCCCCCCGGTTCCCCGCATCCATCAAGTGATGGTAAAGTTCAAGGTGGGTCCGCGTTGAAACACTCGGTTCGGTTCGTTGTCTTGATTCTCTTCGAGCCCCAACAACGCCACATTTTCAACAAAAGACTTCGTGTGTTGTTTCGCCCATGGCGGCTTCAAACCATGCGTATGTAAGCAGCCCGAGAGCCTGGTCAGCAATATGAGACCACTCACTCATGCCGTCTTGCATGCATCTGGGCTGTGATACAGTAAGCACTCTATTCGAACACTGTGATCTGCCTCAGTTGCATCCGCACAGACGATGCTCGCGACATCGTAGATTGCATCGGTTCCGTCGACGAAGAATCCCACGTGGACTTGATTGATATCATACAAATGTCCGTATTCGAATCAAGTGGGTTGACCAACCACCCCTCTGACATGCAATGCGCCGTGTGTGCATGTCAAGTGCCGTCATACATTTATGCATTTCTTCCATCCTCCATCGAGACGATGATACCTCATTTCGAGACATCCGACCTCAACGTGGTCCAGAAATGGGCTTGGAGAGACATCTTCTTGCGAAGGACAAGCTTTGCGACCAATATGCCATGGCAGCGTCCGAGCGTGCATGTGCAATAACGTCAGACGGACAGACAACCTCTTGCATCTCCGCACCGAGTCTCTAAATAAAGTCCGAACCAAAGTCTAATTGGCAAACCTTAGCCAACACCACTTTGTGTACAGTCGCTCGCGGTGAGACACAGTTGTTTCAGAATCGTGTTCCTTTGGTCAGCTCACCGGGGAAATCGGCGGCAACGAAGTGGCTGAATCTGTTCCTGGCAGCCAACCGGGGTCGGTCATGACAGCGGGACATGAGACTGTTTGAGAAGAACGTGACCCTTCTAGATCCTTTACGAGCGGGAGCTCCACCATGAGCGTTACCCCGGATTTCGTGTTACGCAGCATGACCAGGGTAGAATTGGGGAAATCTCGTTTTCTTCCATGCCATCATTGCAATATTATCCGTGCACCCCTCAACTAGGACACACGTGGCAAGGTGACCACCCTCCATCATCCATCTCGGGCACATTCTCGTCGATCTTTCGGCACTGGACTCCATCACCAGACTTGCCCTTGTGGTTGGTTCTACACGCCCAGGAAGCCAAGACAGAGGTCGAAGATCCGGTCGAAACAAAGGCGGGCATTGCCGGACGAGAAATCGCATCACAAGGCCATTGAACGTCTCCATATTTGCTGGAGGAAGTAGTGGAGGCAAGCGTTCTCTAATTCTGTCGGAGCTTTGATCCTTCCGGAGGCATGTCCCGCCACTCTCTAGCCATATGTGGCCCCCAAGAAACCTCCGGGTTTTATTGCTGTGCAGCGGGGTAGGATCCCTCTCAGAGCCAGAATCTGGTTGTGCCAATGATGTCGATGCAGGTCTGTCATGAGAAGGGCTTCCCATATTGCGGTGGCACTTCCCGTTCCGCGCCCTCTTTCCGTCTCTCTACCGACAGCATTGCATCATGCCGTACGACAGCACCGCAGCGCAGCTTTAGGCGGCAGAAACTTCTGCGCGGAATTCCGCGTCTCAAAAGAGGTGAAATAGTCAGTCGAATCCGGTAGCAGAAACAGGTGAAGCCGTCCAGGAGCGGAAGCTCGACCTGTGACTTGTAGGTGGTTTGATACCTGGATTGAACAGACGTATGCTGGTTCGGAGCAGACACACGCCCTGTCGCATCGAGGAAGTACGGACCCCTCTGATCGACACACACCGTGTATTGTACCCTAGTCTTTCTATTACGGCATTTCCCCCTCCAGCGTCGATAATCCGGGGGTGGATCGCCGGTTCTCCATTCGTAGCTGTCATGGTTGTTGTATTGCATCCCAACTGGCGACCATCATTTCACGGAGAGGAAATGGTTGGCGAGACCTTTCCCAACCAAGCTTTATGACAGATGACAGACAGCAACCGGGGTATGTACGTTCTGCCCAAAACTGCAGAGCCAGAAAATACACATGCGTGTCGATAGATTCTATATGAATGTTGACCTAACCGTCGTTGTTGCACATTCTCCTTGAAAATTGTACACCCATGCAAGCCCAGCCCGAGGTCCAAGATCGAATACGGTAAGATGGGGCAAGCCGGTAGCGAAAATGAATCCCAAGCATGGGTCACGATCACAGTGACCACAGTAGCCACGGCGGTGGCCTTGACTGTGGCTTGCCTGCGCTTCTTTACCCGCGCCGTCCTCATCAAGCAGTTTGGGTCGGATGACTGGGCAGCCTTGGTGGCAATGGTAAGAGTCATAGCTGTCTAGTCAAAGAGAAATACCAATAGTATCTGACACGAGATTATTAGATATTTGGGCTAGCATGCTCGATACTGGTTGCAGCGAGTAAGTTGTGCGCATTTATCATAAGAACAAAAAAGGTGTCTTTGAACTATAAGAGCGCCATGATAACCTCTACACCAATCGAGCTTATGACTGACTCCGACTAAAGACATCAAGAATGGCCTGGGTAGACACTCCAATATCTTGTCACCGATCGAAATTGAGCATTACTTCAAGGTGAGCCCTAGGAAGTCATGTCTCGCAGACTGTATGCTGACACTTGCTCGCCAAGCTGTTCTACATGTCCATCGTCTTTTACAACTTGACTCTCACCTCGGTCAAGTTGACTTTCCTGCTGTTGTACTACCGCGTCTTTGCCGTCAAGAAGATGCGCAAGGTCCTCATCTGGACCATGATCGTCGTGGGCTGCTGGTGCGTGTCGCAGCTGCTTGTGGCCATCTTCACCTGCAGCCCGATCCACAGGTTCTGGAAGCCAGAAGTGCCCGGCACATGCATCCCTAGCCAGCCGTTCTGGTACATCAACGCCGCCGGCAACCTGGCCACTGACATGGTCATCTTTTTGATGCCTATCCCCATGCTGAGCAGCCTCAAGCTGCGGAGGACGCAGAAGCTACTCCTGATCGGCATCTTCAGCCTAGGATTCTTGTAAGTTTCCTGCTGAGCGAGTCTCCCTTACCGGCGGACCATGAAACTCACATTTCACAACAGTACCTGCACCATCTCGGTGATTCGGTTCCAGTATCTCCAGCTCGACGACGACGTTACCTATGAGAACGTGGCATCATCCAGCTGGTCCGTCGGCGAGATCTGCTCCGCCATCATCTGCGCCTGCCTGCCGACGCTACGCCCTTTGCTGCACCGCGTCGCTCCGGGTCTGTCTAAGTTTGAAGACGGCAGCGGTCAGTCGAGCGAACGGTATTACTGGGCGCATCGGGGCGAGAAATTCGGCTCTCGCCAGACGGCTTCCTACCGTAGGCAGTCGGCCACGGCTGGAAGCGAAGACCAGCTGTATCGGCGGGACTTGGAGGCAGGCAGCTGTCCCCATCATCGTGGACACTCGAGGAGCGGCACCACCTGCGGGAGCGTCAATGACGACATGCAGCTGCGCATGTACAGGACCAACTCGTCCGAGCTGCTCGCGAGGCCGGACCCTGCCGCATGGCCGCTGCCCGAGCGGAGGGAGGAGCAGGTCCAAACGCCGGAGCTGCTTGGCCTGCGGAGCACTGTGATCACGCAGATCGGTGTGGGGCCGAGCCGGGCTCAAAATGTGCCCAAGCACGAGATCGAGGTGCAGAGAGACCTGGTGCAGACCGAGTCTGAGAGGAGAGTCTAGGGTCCGACGCGGACGGGGAAGGTAAGTGGCGGTCATAAGAGCCTTTCCGATGGCGGTTGTCGGCCCATGATTACGGTGCCTGGAGTTGAAAAGCGATCTAGTGTATCTATCTGTGCACCTATTACACTTGCCTCATGTTTTGCTCATCGTCTGGCCAGTCCTTCCCGGCTCGTCGTGTGTCAACAAGAAAATACAACACATTCTCTCATAGCTCACTTAATTGCTGTTGTAGCGATATGAGTTTAAAGATCCCGGATGATTTCTCGGAGTAGGTGTAGGATACTTGTACTGGAAAAGATCCAAACCCGCGCACGATAAAGCTCGATTGGTGTAGAGGTTATCATGGCGCTCTTATAGTTCAAAGACACCTTTTTTGTTCTTATGATAAATGCGCAGGTCGACCTGCGGTTGATATATTTTTCATGTCTCATACCTCTTTTGTCTTCACAGTAAGTCTCTGAGATGTACCTAAAACGTCCCAGTCGGCCAAGACAACAGCCGACATTGCTGAACGAGGAATCGCATCACAGAGGCCACTAAACATATTCAAAACCAGTAGGTATGCTCTTACTCACCGACAGATTCCGGGTCCCGGCATGAAGACCGATGCGATTTATCCATCAGTGTTGCCGCTGCGCTCATTAATTTGATTTGCTGACGTCCTGTCTACAAGAGCTCGATTGGTGTAGAGGTTATCATGGCGCTCTTATAGGTCAAAAGCACCTTTTTTGTTCTATGATAAATGCGCAGGTCGCAGGTTCGAACCCTGCATCGAGCAAGAATATTTTTTTTTGTCCCTCTCCACGTCGAACACAGCATTTTTGTGCCTTACATCAATCAAGCAGATCATGCTTGTGTTCTTTTTTTTATCAGAATCAACAAGAGGAGACATCTTGAAATTCATCTATTTACACAACAAATAACCTAGTGCTCAGTCTATCTATCAGACACCATTAAAGAGTGTTACATGCACAAAACGCTCTGAACGCTACTTAATGTCAAAAAGACCTAGCCCGACCGAAGCTTGCCTTCGATCAGGCCTACAGAGCCCTAAGTACCGGAATAGAGAGACATATGGGATGCAATACTTGGGCTCTGGCGAAAATATGATGGCTCCCAGTGATAAGAATCCAAACAATTGTCATCGTGGATCGACCAATGACTGCCTCCGAGCCTGACTGCTGCCGTCTCGGATGTGGGTCTGGGGCCGGAACCGGTCCCGGACCGTTTAACCTCTCAACCATGGTTTGGCCTGTAGCTTACAACTACTGCTCTTGCTGGAAAACAAATATCTTCCCGATAGATATTGGTTTTCTAGCCGGGTCGTGAGGTCCCAGGAAGGGTGTTAGAAAATGAATATCTATCGGATAGATATTTGTTTTCTAGGCGGGCTACGGAGCCAGGGCCACACACAACTTACATCTATGCAGAGACCTCATCAATATTCATCATTTGGTCTCGAGAGCTATTTGAAAGCCCATGAGAAGAGTCAAAGTAAGAACGCGAAGGAAGCTGCTGCAAGTTGAGACATCGGTAGACAAGCTCAGCCCATAATTCATAAGCATTTCAAGAGGGATCTTTTTCAACATTATTGACTGTATCACAGTAGTATTGATAATTCTGACGTTGCTGAGTTAACAACCTTTTCAATTCTCCTCCACAAGTCCCTCGCCCTTTTTCTCACACGTGAGAAATTGGTTCCGTACACCCCCTGCCTACCTTAGCAGTCACCTCTGGGCCCGTTCTTTTCCACGCGTGGAAAAAAGTGCATGGTTTGTGCCCATCAAGTATCACGGCGACTCGTCACCACGTTACACCCTGTACATCTTCAGATTTTCAAACCTGCCCTGGACAATAAGTAGCTGGCTAAAGTCAAGTCATCGGTAGACTCTATGACTCTCTGGTAAGACAATGATTATGCTGTCGGCTCTTGTGACTAAGTGAGCTGGCATGGCTGACCATGTATTTGTAGGCCCGCCATGTATTATCTAGAAAGTTTAATTTTTATGGAATAAGATGGCTCGTGGGGTTAGACAGGCCTCTAGTAAGATGGTGAACGTTTGTGCAAGGCATATGCTCTGTAAGTAGGTACGTCATGTCAATGCAGCTGCTCCAGCCCACTGTGGTTCAAGGTGCGGATGCAAACCTTAGTTACCCTACACAAAGGTTCAACGCTATGGACATCGGATACTTTGATCCAGGTCTTCCGAATGAATACGGCACGGGCGACATCATTCAAAGCGGGAAGAACACATACTTCTGTAATGTCCATTTGTTTGTGAGCTCATTTACTGACTGCACTGAGATATGATCAGAGGAAGGAGGAAGTCGTCCGACAAAATCTATCATCCTGTCTTTGAGGGGATGCACTCAAATGGTTTCTATCAGAACTTAATGACCTCCAGAGGTCAGACGTAAAGTCATCACTGGCCAACTAGAAGAAGTATCTCATCTAGCGATTTATGCGTATAAAGGGAGAAGCTTTGCGAAAGCTCAGCACCCTGAAGTACACCATGACGGACACTCTCACGGCAAAGAGCGTCCGCGAACACGCGATGGAAGTCATGCGTGGTGCCCGAGACTTCGAGATGGATAACACCGAAAAACAGCTGACGCAAATCTATCTCACAATCGCGTATTTCAAGTCCATCCGAAGTTGCTAGCCGACGAGCTGGGCCAAGGTGCTATAACCCTAACCCCTAAGTATAAAATTAATTTCAGTTCAATCCCCACATCGAGCAGAATTTTTGTTCTTTTTTTTGTCTCATCGAGTCGGAGCTGTGTCTTGATGTCTTCTGTTTTTGGCGCCCTGGTCCACTACAATCCATGAAATCTGGCGCAGAGGGACGAGAGAGAATGGTAGTGATGCTTGATTGATGTGTACCTTAGTGGAGAAGACACTCAAGCTAATATTTTGGCCCTTTTTATGTCCATCGGCCTACAGGTAAGAGATAGGGGATAGGTACCTAGAGCTGTTTCGTAGTGGCCTAACCTCAATCGTGGCGGCAAGGATAGCGGCCAGGGGAGCTGGCCGGGGCTGCATTACGTCCATCAGTGTTATCCATTTGATCAAGGCAAGCTCCGACGAGGTCCCGCGTGAAGGCTTCGAGGTTATTTTTTCCATTACCGTGAGTAGACAGGTAAACTGCAATCATGTTCGGCGGCGGTCCCGACTGGTGTGTCTAATGGTGATGATCGTGTGCTCGGCATTCCCCTGGAAATACCATCGGCAGTGGATCTGCTGCTCCATGCTACGGCAGCATCACCACCTCAACCGCACGCACTTGGCCCTCCCCTCTCGTTGGCCATGAAGCTAGTTATCAGCCAAGTGCTAGTCTCGTGTGCACCGTCTCGTTCGTTGGAGATAACTAACTGCCTCGCCCCTCTACCGCGCGGGGGTGGGCCAGGCTTAAGCCACTTCACCTTCCCGTCTTGGCAAAGTCTTGACCCAGCTGGTGATCATTGCTCAAACACCACACACCATGATGTCAATCCTCATCGCCAATTACCTTATGTTATCAGCGACTCTTGCCTCTTCGCATACCCACTCCGCCAGCTCTTCTCCGCCCGCCAGCGGACGCAAGATGTGCGCCCCGAGACCAGGCTTGCCAGGGTCCGGTCCGGAGATATGGATGCAGCTCTCATTATCTGAGCGCCAGAGCGCATTTGGCATCCCAGCGCTGGCGGTCCTTTCGCCGACCAAATAGCCGACTATTTCCAATGGCAAAGCTTAACATGACCTGTTGATCGGCATATCCGCAACCAGCACGTATGCGACCCCGCCTTTCGGTGTAAGTGGCTGGCTCGTCTGGTGTTTAAGTAGCACAGCGCCTCCTGGCCCGTGGACGAGACCACAGCTTCCAGTACCACCATAGATCCTTTGACGGAGGGCATACCAATCCGCAATCATTTGTGCATCATGGCGGAACCCGAAAAGCTCAGTCAGGATGGGCAAGGCCTTCCGGCTGGCGCAGAGAAGTCTGCCGACCCAGTAGAGCCTGCTGCCCAGAATGACGACATTGAAGTCGGCAAGATCCTCAGGCACGCTGACAAGAACGACGCCGATGAGGCTCTCAAAGTGATCCAAGGCGTTGAAGGCGAGACAATCGTCCTTACACCCGAAGAGGAGAAGCGCCTGTTGCGCAAGATTGACTGGAACATGATGCCCCTGCTGTGCCTGGTCTACGGGCTAAACTACCTGGACAAGACCACCGTCTCGTACGCCTCCATCATGGGCCTCAAGGTACGAACATCATTTGGGTATTCTATTGTTGTATCGCTCTTACTTGACTGTGCGCTGACATGCGTTCTCCAAACCAGACGGATATCAATCTGGTCGGGCAGGTAAGCATCCCGCAACCCCCCTTCTCCTCAACTCCAGCCACCAGGACACTGACAACTCACCCCCTTCTTACAGGACTACTCATGGATAGCCTCAGCATTCTACTTCGGCTACCTAGCTTGGGAGCAAGTTGTTCTACAATCCATTATTTGATAATCTATATACTAACAAAGTTGATCCACAGATGGCCTACGAACCTACTGCTGCAGCGTCTTCCCCTGGCGAAATGGTCCGCGGTGAATGTCATCATGTGGGGGTTAATTCTGGCCTGCATGGCCGGGACCAAGGACTTCGCGACGGCCATGACGGTCCGCGTCTTCCTGGGTGTGTTTGAGGCTGCGGTGAGCCCTGGCTTCGCGCTCTTCACGAGCCAGTGGTACACCATCCGTGAGCAGGGGTCCCGTACGGGTATCTGGTTCAGGTGAGTCTTTCTGAAAGCTTGTTCCGTTTGTACGACAGCCCATATCATGTTGGCTGATCATGTACGCAAATAGCTTCAACGGCTGGGGACAGATCCTCGGCGGATTTGTCGCGTACGGCATTGCGGTGGGAACCAGAGCGCATCCCGTCGCGATCAAGTCGTGGCAGCTGCTGTTCCTCGTCATCGGCCTGTTCACGTCTGCCATTGGCGTCGTCTTCCTCTTCGTCATGCCCGACAGCCAGCTGAACGCCCGGTTCCTGACCCCTCACGAGAGGGTGCTGGCCGTGGAGCGCATCCGCGTCAACCAGCAGGGCGTGGGCAACAAACACTTCAAGTGGTACCAGTTCAAGGAGGCCCTGACTGACCCCATGGTCTGGGGTCTGGCCTTTTACAGCCTCGTCGCCAACATCCCCAATGGTGAGCAGATAGCGGTTTTGGGACGTGGAAGCGTCTGACCAAAGCTAATGCCTATGCCTAGGTGGCATTACCAACTACTTCTCGCAGCTCATCGTGTCCTTTGGTTTCACTCCGGAGCAGTCGCTGCTGCTGGGCACTCCGGGTGGCGCCATCGAGATCATCGCCCTCGTCCTCTGTGGCTGGCTGGGCGACAGGTACAGAAACAGACTGGTGAGCCTTTTCTCCTTTTGACCAGTGGCGTGGGGGGGAAACAAACACAAACTTGGCTGACACTCTCCTCGCCTCGCAGCTCATCGGCACATGGGGCCTCCTCCTCTCCATCCTCGGCATCCTGCTCATCGCCTTCCTGCCCAAGAGCATGCCCGTCGGCCGCCTCATCGGCTTCTACTTCACGCAGGCGTCCCCGACGCCCTTCGTCGCGCTGCTGTCGCTCATCTCGACCAACGTCGCCGGCTGGACCAAGAAGACGACCGTGGGCGCCATCTACTTCATCAGCTACTGCGTCGGCAACATCATCGGCCCGCAGGCCTTCCAGGACAAGGACAAGCCCGACTACCGGCCCGCGCAGATCACCATCATCGTCTGCTGGTGCCTGGGCCTGCTGGACATGCTCTTCATCTACTTTTGGTGCCGGCGCGAGAACGCGCGCAAGGCCCGGGTCCGGGCCGAGCCCGGGTACCGCAAGATCGACGGCCAGGAGTTCTACGACCTCACCGACCGGGAGAACCCCGAGTTTGTATACAGCTTGTGAGACAGAAATATGCTTTCTTGAGATAGCCCCAGTGGGGAGGGCGAAAATGTGCGCCAGGCACAACTTTTCGACCAGTACAGGAGGCATGAGCTTGGCGGAGGTTACTGGTGGGAGGCGCTGAAGCGGAAGATGTCGAGGAGGGACCGGTAGATATGTTTGACATAAAGATCCATGCACAAAACCTCGTGGTCTCTTAGCTTGTTCTGATGTGCTGCAATAGTTTTCTACTCAGTCTAGCACCGTTTCAAATCACAGGATTGTGCAAAACGGTGGCACAGAAGGGGAGCTCCCGTGTCCTGCCGAAGTCAGGGCCTCGCGGAGTCGGGTACCTAGACCGGTGGGCCATGGCGCTCTTCCATGGCCCAGACTTTTCAGCCCTTTTGCCGGCTTCGTGATAACTTGCTCGCTCTTGTTACTTGGCTTCGCTTGGGTCAAGCTTGGCAGATTACGAGAAGAGACCTTCTGGAAGCATAGGTGGGGGCAATGAACGTTTGCAAATTGTCTCGACCTTCTAGAAATCTCCCCAACCTTGCAAATTTGTTATGGGATGTTCTCCCATCGGCCACCTCCTCTGGTGACAATCTCAACAGTCAACAAGTGTATTTCTGATGGAGATACCCCAGTGCTAACAATTCATATCCTTTCTCTGGAACTTGGAAGGGCTATCCCACTACGTAAATCCAGTGGGATTGATGGATATTTAAATACTTCTGAGGGAAGTAAAAAATAATCTTCTTATTCTAGGGTCCTCAGGAAGGATCTCGTGGCGGGATTGCATCATCTCAAAAAGTTGTGCGTCTCGACCCCAATCATGGCTGTCCTGTCCCATCTCGTCTCGCTGTATTCCCCAAACGAGCAAACGTCCATCCTCTTCTACTTTGAAAAAGGATTTGGTACTCGCCCAAACTGCCGAGGGCGCTCCGCTTTTTGCATGGAGATCACAAAACGCCATCGTGTCAGGGGTGGTGTTCGTTTGTGCGGCTACCTGTGGAGATCGTACCATTCAGTGTTGCACTTGTTGGTAACTACCCGGTTTCCGGGTCCAACACCAGGAATGCTCCGAAGAAGCGCGAGATCAAGTGTTCGACGCCAGGTGGCACAGCAGGAATAGGGGTCCTCCCGAGAATTGGCAGGGGGCCAATGTTTGAGGTATGCTCCGAGCCTCCGATGTACAGTACAGGGAAGCTTTAGTCGCGGGCTGGCATCTGGCTAGGCAGATCCCTGAGCATTGGCATATAACGTTGGAAACACCCTTGCCGGCCCTGCGGCGTAGTTTCAGGCCTCGGCTTTCTACTTGTACGTACGGAGTTCGCTGTGTGATCGACCTAGAAATAGAAACCAGGTGCTGAATTTCCTATTTCGGCTACCAGCCACCAATCACAAACAGGCCAAAGGGAAGACCCAAGATTGGGTTCCACAGGCGAACAGGACTTCTTTTTCTTCTTGGCAGATGTACCCGAACTGGTCGTTCGGTTCTATTGACTGCCTGCTGTGGGGACAGTGGTAGGAAAAGAGAGAGAGAGAGAAAATTCGACGAAGTGACTACCAAGGTAGGTAGGTAGCTGCTGGCCTGTGACGGGCCGGGACCGGGGCCGGGATCCTCATTTTTTTCTTTCTTAGTATCATGAGGTTTTTCTGTTGAAGGCACGCCCGCGAGACGTGCTGCGGGTGCAGCCGGGGCGCCACGCCACATTGGGGATTCTAGCGCTGTGCCGGGCGAGAATGGCTGGTTTCGGAATGTGTCACGACGAAATGAGACAGAGCAAAGATACCCAGATGTCGAATTGGGGATCACACCTTCTTCGGGGGCTTGGTTCCGTCCGGCATTCCGGAAGCAGGTGTGGGCAATCCAAAAAGGGGTGGACTGGAAGTACCGAGTTTTCGGGCATCGACTACAGGCACACATCACCTAGACACAAACTCGATCAAAGGTATCGATGATGGATTGAAGATTCTCAGTGTCTCGAAAAGGCATTTCCCGCCAACCACTCACTCCCAATCTTTGTTCCCAACGCCTGAAAGCAGCAAAGTAGTCGTTCCGTAATAATACAAGTCGTGTGCAAGGTGAAGTGGCTCTGTGTCAGAGACTCCGTGCTGGGCTCGATGCTCATCGCTAAGCTGCTCGGTCCCCCCCCCTTTTTTTTCATCTCTATGCGTCCATCTCCCAACTTTTAAGCTCCTTTCCTCTATCCACCTCCTATCCCGCCATTCCTTTGTGTGCATATACGCAGTCTATGTCCATGATGCTGTCGTTGTCTCGGCCCTCTGAAGGGGCTCGGTCCCGTACTGAGACGGGGGGTATCGGGCTCGTGAAGCCTCATCCGCAATCCACAGTTCTTTAGCAAGACGCTGGGTTCGGCTGGATTTTTCATTATCGTGAGAAAGTAAAAAAAAACATAAGAAATAAAAAAAAAACCGCGACGTGTCTATCTTGCAAGAGAAAGAAGAGAAAGACTGGTTCTTGCTCACTTCATAGTGGAGGCAAACGTCCCGGTGCTAAACAACTCGAACTTGACACGGTGCAGGTCGACGCCCTGGTCGCGGATGTACTCGGCCATCTCGAGCATGAACTGCTCGGGCCCGCAGATGTAGTACTCGGTGCCGCCGTGCTCGAGGAACAGGTCCTCGCGCTTGACCTTGGCGAGGTCGACGCGCTCGTCAAAGTCGTAGTGCACGCCCGCGAGGTCGCTGCCGGCCAGGTCCGTCTTGAAGATGTTGGTGCGCAGGCTGTCCGGGAACCGGCGCCGGAGGCTCCGGAGGTGCTCGTCGAAGGGCACGGTGCGGCGCGAGCCGTGGACCCACGAGATCTGGCGGCCCGGCTGGGTGGCGGCGATGGTGTTGAGGATGGAGACCATGGGCGCGACGCCGACGCCGGCGGAGACGAGCACGACGGGCACGCTCGAGGTGTTGTTGGTGTCGAGGAAGAACTCGCCGGCCGGGTGGGACAGGTCGACGGTGTCGCCCGGGTGGTAGTGGTCGATGAGCTCGTTGGTCAGGATGCCCGGGTTGATGTAGCTCGTGGCGACCGAGTTGCGGTAGACCATGCCCTGGTCGCGCTTGACGCAGATGCGGTAGTAGTCGGGCCGGGGCGCCTCGCTCAGCGAGAACTGGCGGCTCTGGTCGTAGCCGATGTCGGGCACGTGGATCTGCAGCGAGACGTACTGGCCCGGCAGGAAGGAGGGCAGGGGCCGGCCGTCGACGGGGACGAGGTAGAACGAGTACATGTCGTCGGCCTCGGCGACCTTGCGGTCGATCTTGAACTTGCGCCAGCCGACCCAGCGGTCAAAGTTCTTGTACAGCTGGGTCTCGCGGCCGATCATCATCTTGGCGAGGACCCAGTAGGCGGCGGTCCAGGCGGCGCGGACGTCCGGGGTCATGTCCGGGCCGAGCACCTCGGCGAAGGCCTGGATGAGGTACTTGCCGACGATGCCGTAGTGCTCGGGCTGGATGCCGAGGGAGCAGTGCTTGTTGCACATGCGCTCGAGCTTGGGGATGAGCTCGCTGATGTGCATGATGTTGGAGGCGAACTGCAGGATGACGGCGGTCAGGGCGCGCGGCTGCCGGCCGTTCTTCTGGTTGACCGTGTTGAAGTAGTTGTTGAGCTCCGGGTGGTCCCGGAGCATGCTGTTGTAGAAGAGCGAGGTGATCCTCTCGCCGTGCTCCCGCAGGGCCGGGACCGTGTTCTTCACCAGCTTCGACTGCTGATATGTCAACGCCATGGTGGAATCGATGTGTGTGTACGTGTGTGTATCTTATGGTGTTTTGGGGTTGATTCCCTGGAGCTAGCACTCGGGAAGGGTCTTCCGGTCACAGAGCGCGAAAGAGCAGAGACAGGTAGATACACAAGGACAGTAGTTGTATGGTCTTCCACAAGGTCTGAGCTTTGATATCACGAAAAAGGCAAAAGACCGCGAGATTCAGTGGCTGGTGGGCTTTCGAGACAAGGAAACCCGGATGTCTTATACGGGAAGCCCCAGTTTCTTTGCCTGCCGCCTTTTCCCCCCTAAAGAACGTGTCTTGGACGACCGAGCCGGCCGCTCGTAGCGTTTGAAAAAAGGAAAAGAAAAAAAAAAGTAGACGACGCCATGTCGTTTGGCGAACCCTGACGCAAAGGCCCAGCGGCAGCGGGAGCAGCGGCGGGTTCTGTCACATCTCGGGATTTCTCGATGAGCAGGGGCTAGATATCTAGGCCTCGTATGATCTCGTGCGGGTCCTGCAAACCTAATTTCACAGAGTGTGTAGAGCTGAGTTTGAGGAGGCCATATCAGGATGGGAACCATGTGGGTGGCGCATGGATGCCCCAGACAAGAGAAAACCTTGGAGTCTTGGGAAGGCCGGTATCCTTCACTTCGCAGGCCGCTTCTAGAACCCGCATGTCCAGGGTTCGGGACTTCGAATCCGTGGCTGTTTGTTCCACCCCACAAATCCCATCGACGGCGCCTGTGGCAGTGGAACGAGGGAGCCCCCCACAGCCTAGAAAGGGACGCTGTAGCCCACTGGAAGCGGTTTAGTTTGCTAGAGCCACTTTCCTAGTGCAGAAGAGGGAAAACGGCGTGCTGCCTGGCGGAGGAGCGGCGGAGCACCTCACGTTTTGGCGAGAAAATGATGTTGAACATCATATTGATCCACGGATGCAAATGTTGTGCCTGGGCTCTCTGTGCCATCTTTCTTCCGTTTCGCCTTTTCGCCTTCCCTGTGCTATTTTCCCCTTTTTGCCAATCTGTGCATGATGAACCGTGCTTTTTCTTCTCCAGTCGGAAGCGGGTTCCGAGCATGGGAATCTCTCGGATTGCCAATCGTGGCCCATTATCACATCACACTGGAGACCAGCCCTGTAGCCGCTCCAATATCCATCCACGGATCCATCCTTGAAGAATCACCACGGCGGATCCCGCCCGGTTACCTCATCGTCGTGCCATGCCACGGTTCATCAAGGCACCACATGCCGCGCGCGGTGCAGGGGTGAGCCACAGGCAGAAAGGTTTACTGTAGAGAGGGAGGGTACAGCTTCGACTTTCCAAACTCGTCAACGGGGACAGGGAAGTTGCATTGATGGCCGCCCGGCGGTGTGACGGCGTTTGACGCCATGCACATGCGGTTTCGGCCCTGTGATCGCTGGACCAGGAGATGATGGCTCGAGGCTTGCGTTAGACGTCGATAATTTGCTTTTTTGGCGTGGCCGTGCCCAGCCAAGGATGCAGAAAGCCCAAACGAACAAAATGCCAGAGCACACAGCACACAGCACGGAAAGAAAGTGACGAAACATACGATCCTCCTTCATCTCCGCGAGTTGCCGATAACCCCTACCCTACCCTACCATCGCTCCCGTCCCTGGCCATGCATATTGGTGTTCCGTCTCGCCCAGCATTGCGGCTCGGCCGTTCGGCACATGGTTCTGCGGTAAGGGTCATTGCTTTTCCAGACTAGGGTTGTGTGGCGCATGCCTGTGCCGATTTCACCAGGAGAGCCTTCCCAGGAAAACGGGTGACTGAAGAGATTGTGCTGCAAGGGAATGGGGCCACATGATCGACGTCGTGTATCTGCGGATGCGCAGACGCACGGTTGCAAATGTACAAGATGATGGGGAAGAGAAGGGGAAGTAGAGGAGTCGGATCTCATGTAGGCCAAGATCGTCAATGGGATGCCTTGTCATACAGTTTACACCGTCCGTTGCTGTCTGCTTCGAATTAGTTCAAATTTGAGAGCCGGGACATTGTCTCGGTATCACGGCAAACAGATCAGACACAGAGACACAGATCCCCGCCGTATCGTAATTATCCTCAGCATCTCTTTTTGTGCGCGCAAATCGAGAGACAAGAGCTTATTTTGACATCGTACGATCTGGACCCTCTGGGTTCGGTACCGCGCGACTCGCTCGCATGTTCCCGGGTCGGTGCCGCCCGCGTGGCAAGCTATTTACGCTGCTTCAATGAGCCCGCGTTCGGTGGCTGCCATTCCGCAGTGGGTTGGTTTATTGATCTCCACGCGAGGCTGTTCACTCCCCCTTAAACGTGCCTTAAACGTGGGGACCACGAGGAGAGAAGCTCCGGAGTAGAGATGGAGAGTCTGCTCCGTGAGGAGGAGGTTCAAGCGCATCGACACCCGGAGTTTAAAGCGACGGCTTGCGGCGGTGCTTGCGTCCGGAGCAATTACAGAGATGCCGCCAGATGCCGTCTGCATAAAAATAAAATTCCTCGCTGTCCCTTGCAGGCAGGTGTCACGAAACCAACCGCAGTTACCGCGGGGGCACCTCCTAAGGCGGTCAGAGAAGATAAGATAGGCAGAAAACGCACGGACCACCGGATCGCTTGGGACTCTAGTGATCCATCACCATGGATCAC